ATCCAGCCTAATATTTTCAACGTTTCGTTAATCGAGGAATTTCTTGTAATTTTCTTACACAGGAACGAACGCCGTGGAAAACATTTTGAGCGACGCTAAATCCACGGTAAGGAAGAGTGAAATTTATGTGTTTTCAAAGTTTCAGGGATTTTAGTATCGCAATTATATCGAGGCAGGGGTAGTCGGAGATTGAGTTGAGGCTCATAACTCTTGCCGGTCGTAACGTTCAACTGCAGACTGCTCAGCCCTGCATTTCATAGGCCGCCAGATGTTACGTACCTACATATCAGCAGGTACCACTTCACGTGCGCATACGTATTCATTACTAAATTACGCCCACAACACAGTTGTATGGCATAGAGTCGCGTTTCAACCGCGAATCGCCGATGGCAACGTTGTTCGTTCGGTCGTGTTTATATTGCCAGATCAGATTCATATCTGCGGGCGGAATGTTTTATACAATATTGAAAAATAGTCCTATGAGAGAACTGAATGATTGTTACGTATACAGATGCGTCTACTTTTGAAAATACCTAGAAATATCAGTGTTTTAATAATTAGAGCTACACGTGCGTTCGAATACAGAGTGCAGGGCAATAATTCTCAATGGGGACGACACGTGAACCGAAGAGGGCGATAAAATTGTATAAACTGATGAATAAATATTCCGAAAAATTTGCATGCTTTAGCTGCGACAAAGCCTTAGGTAGGTCGGGGCCGCACGTGTGTCGAAACAATGCGTGTCGTTCTTGTTTTAAATTCAAGAAATAAGGAAAAACGAACGACCGTGCGTGTAAAAACTGCTCATCTGCATCGGGCATAGTAAAAGTTTATGCAGATAGATAAAATTGTAATAAACATTTGTACGGAACACGATATCGTAGAGTTATTAGTTTCTGCAAAATAAACCTTAAAATTGATTGGACGAAATATGTTAAAAATCTTCGTTTAAATTGCACCATGAACGTACGAATGTTTACAAACCGCTGGTACAAAGAAGGATTTATAGAGTAAAATATAAAAAACAAAACCTGTTTTCTAATTATATATTTTGTACTTCAAGAGATGCACATTTTCAAACACTATTTTGACATTTTCCAAAAAACATACGATTTCATTCGTTAATTTAATTAGGGGGAAATATTGTTATCGCGGACTGTACCTTTTCATACAATTTTATCCGCACTCACAGCTGCAGTGGAAAGAAATATAGTAGCATATAAGTGTGCTCGTGTGCCCCATGTAAAGGGAAAGTATGTGAATATGTGTGGGAAATGTGGTCAGTATGGATTTAATTATATTTCATTGAAGTCACAATGTAAAATAAAAGTTAACTATCGTTATTTACTCACTTTATCCACATATATTTTTTATTGTAACTTGTTATTGTATTTGAAACGCCTCAAAAATATCGAAAAAAAAAAAAATTACAAATCGTTGTGAAAAAATTATCTTTGATTGCGAGGGTCAATTACAATCACTTTTGGTCATTACACATACCCTCGAAATCCTACGCACTTTCGAGAAAAAAATTAATTACCAAAAATGTCTGACCATACATTGACTTGTTTCCCTGAAATTTCCGGCGAAAAAAAAATTTAATATCGTTCCAAAAAAAATTATTTTCAGTTGCAGGGGTCGATTACAATCATTTTTGGTGAATAGATATACCCTCGAATTCCTACGCACTTTCGAGAAAAAAATTCATTACCGAAAATATAATGTGTGACCAGAAATGTTTCTGTAATTTCCTGTTCTGCCCCACTTCCTCTTGCGTTAATTTTTGTAACCTGTTGGTAATGTTGCGAGTCAAACGAAAATAGGTCGAAAAAATACATTGAATTTAAGATCCACAAAACATGCAAAATATATCAGAAATCCTACTACTTACGAACAAATAAAAAGGATCGTGGATCCTCGTGCAACATCTGTTCAAATTCTACATTATGCTCCAATATTGAACTGCCCCTGTCATCCCTATTGTAGTTTCTAATTTAACCCAAAGTGTCATATAAGACAATACGAAGTTAAGACTAGATAATTAAGAGAGTTCGCTCGAGTTCCAAGTGTAAGTGTACATAACGATATTCTCTGCTTCCATTATACTTCAATTACATCCACACCGACAACGTCCGGGATTCTACAATTCTACTTATTCAGGAGATGTTCCGTGGAATTACTATTCCGCTGCACATTTTCATAGAATTAAACACTATGCGCATGTAACGAAGTGAAACCTAAACTACAGGTAAATTCAGCAGTTAGAATTATAACAATTTTCTATTTCGAATTCATAACCGGATGCGTTCGCGACGACGAGGATGAACGAACGGCGCGACCGAGGTAAATGAAATTACATTTACTAGAAATTCACGAAAAGGAAAATAAGATGAACCCCGTCCTAAACTAGCCGAACAAAGGTAGGAAACGACCGTAGGCGAATAGAACTCTTAGTATCCTATCGGAGGTTTCACCGACCTCTCGAACATCAATATCGGACAAGATCAGAACTTAAGGCAATTGCGCACTGATACAACAAAGGGCATCGTCTAACGCGGTTATACCTCGTAAACGAAATTCTATTGCTATATCCCATCTCAAGCGTCTATATTGGCCTCTCTCTGAGAACACAACCGTTCTCTCATCCCGCTCTTCTCATCATCTTCCTTCGTTTCACTCGCACTATCTCGCTCCAACTTATTTCTACTCTCTTACTCTCATCCTTTCCCTATACTCTCTTTCTCTCTATCAATACCAACCTAATCTACTTTGCCAACAAATAGTGTTCACGTTCCCCAGACAATGGTTTTCTCTTAGGTGGATAACCCCTTCGCCGACTCGTTCCACCGCCTCGTCGTATCTATTCAATACATTCATGCAGCTTTTACTATCTTGCACCGCATAATTCAGTTATGCAACGCCTTTTAATCGTCCACAATAAAAGTTACCGGTGCCGTTGAAAAATTCAAAATCGCTGATACCGCTAACCGTGATTTTTTACCACGAGGAGTACTATTTTATTAAACGGGGCGATTAAGCTCCAAAAATTTGCCAGTTGATCGTAACACGATTTTCCACTTTAAGAAAATTTATCGAATTTCACTGACAATATAAATCAAACATTGATTATTACGAGGTCAAGTACCAAGCTTACTTAAAAAGATTCCTACAGTTTGAGAATTCGACTGCCTGATAAAACTAAGTTGATCTTCATAAAAAAAAATAATTTACGTTATATGTGTGGCGCGCTGCTTTGCTGAGGGTAGGATTAAACGTTTTTTTATTTGTATCTCCTTTCCATAAGATGTATAATTTGTACTCGTTATTCGCAAAAAGGTTAAAATAACTCTGCGATCTGAATATGTTAAACAATATATTTCTGTACGTAGATCGAATGTTTACCTGAAAAACTAGCACAGTCGTAATCGATGCACAATGTTCAGATTGATGGTTTGAATAAAATGAAATAATTGAATAAAACGGACAGAATTTGGCCACGTTTAATAATCTACGAATAAAATTGATTTGAATCCGACTTCATTAATGCAATTAAAAGTTAGGTAATTGAGAAAATGTTTTAAAAAATTATCGAATTCTCAAATGCACGCAAAAGCGAACGATATAAAATATTCTTGTAACGATTTACATTATTAAGGTTATTCGGTTATTTAAAAATATTTCGATATGGATAAACAACAAGAGAACTCATCGCGCAAAGCAACTTTACGTATGTAATAATAAACTTTTAATTAAGTAACTTAAATCAAATAAGAAACGAAGATAAATAAAGCACATGTTCGTATGAATTTCTTTCATTGTACTTGTAAACCATATACATGACTAAAGTAGATACGACAGGTCATGGAGAACACTATAAAACTTTCAGATGTCTTTCCTAACACCATTGAATTAAAACGAATCGTTAAGGAACATCACGTATTTCATAATTTTAAATACAAAAAGTGTAGCAACATTGCAGTAAAAGTGAAAAATGTTACAAAGAGTTATAGAAAGCGATTAAATAGTACTCCGCGGAAATATCCTCGTTCGTTGCGAGGTGAGTGAAATTAAAAAAAAAATTTAATTATCAATACCTCTTTGTAAATGTACAAAAGATTAATTAAAATTCCAATCACTGTTCAAGATTCTAAACGCGTTGAAAACTACTATCGGTACTTTGTAACGAGATATTTGATTTGCAGAACATACCGACTTAGATAAATATTCGCATATAATGACTTGTCCAAATTGTTTGAGTTATATAAAAACCGACGTTCATTATTATAATACTCGCGTTACGCACGCCACTGCTGCAAGTCTGTCTCTCATTTGGTTCGTATAAGTTAATTTAATGATCGTACACAATAAAAGTTACTGTTACTTATGTTATTAAAGCATGTGCATGATACCATATTTCACTACAAAGTTCAAAGATGCAGCCCACTACTGTCCCACATGCAAAATTTATTTAGGAACAAAATTCGGATCAGGAAAAGATATATTCTTTTGTTGAATCAAAAATGCAAAAAAAAGAGGTAGTAAAACGTAAAATACTTATGAAAATCCAAAATGTATTTACTAACTCTGTGTGTTATATTCATTTCATATTCGATTATATTCACGATTAATGTTCAAGCATTCGCCATGGAAAGCGTATCAATTATATGGAACTATCATCACAATTGCGAAACATTTAAGACTAGATTTTTATGCAACAAGTAGCTGTATATCGACAAAAACAATTTGTTATTAAATATTTATTCAACTCACCAAATTGTTGTAGACTTTGATAAAGTTTTGCCTCGTCGTTTCTTGCGTCCTACGCGTTGGCGGGTTTTATTAAGGAGAATCTTCATGGCAGTACATGCAACCGTGGAACATATTTTGTTTTACACAGTTGCCACGCATGCTCGCTTCCGGCGACCAATAGCGGGCCTGAACGATCTCATCGTGAAGAAGCCATAAGGTTTCCTATTCAAATAAGTAAGTACTAGGTTCAACTGTGCATTCAAAGTGCCAGTCATTCAAGATTTTAGTACACTCGATATCTGTTTCTCATTAATGTTGCATTAGACTAATTCAATAAACAATGGGTGCAGTACGTGTAATTAATGACGATGGTCAATTCTACGGTGAAATGGCTAGTGCTGGTACAAAATTGGTCGTGGTAGATTTCACGGCAACATGGTAAGTCCTTTAGGGTTATATTAGATGCCAGAATTAAAGATCTCCAATTGTTATATCTTTGCACGTGCCAGTTTTCAAATTTGAATATCACAATCTTTTTTTTATTATTATATATAATTCACAAATACAACTTATAATAATTGTTTCTTAAAGTTCAGTAATACTGTTTATTTTATTCGAGATTCAATACATTAAACTAAGTGCATGTAAATGGTTTTTCATCACATACGCATTAATTTCACATTTTAAAGAAAGAATACGTTCGATAGCTTGTAACTAGAATTAGTTTTATTTGAAACTAATTTAAACATAATTTTTTTTTGTGCATTCATACAGATATATACTGTACAATTGTCAAAGATTAAAGTAAACAAAATTGATATTTAATAAATAACGAATATGTTTCAATACCTTTATTGTTACAATCTGTAGGTGTGGTCCTTGCCAGAGAATTGCACCAGTCTTTGAACAATTATCAGTTAAATATCCAAATGCAGTATTTCTTAAGGTTGATGTAGACAAATGTGCAGAAACTGCTGCTGTGCAAGGAGTTAGTGCAATGCCTACATTCATATTTTATCGTAACCAATCAAAATTGGGCCTATGTCAAGGAGCAGATCCAGTTGGGCTAGAATCAAAAATTCAACAGTTTTATGGCAATGGAAGTTCTGAAGAAACTGAAAGCCCAGTGTCTGGACATGTACGAAATAGTGATAGTGCTTATTATCATTTCTTTGGAATAATATTTCTTGCTGTTGTTCTATACTATTGGAATAAGTACCAATAAGAGAGTTGTGGTAACTTTCTTTCAGTGGATATTCAAGTATTACAACACATTTGTTAAAAAAAAATGTTAAACAAAATACACAATATAAATATTATTACTTGGCTAATTGCAAGCATTTGTAATTCTATAACATTCTATAAATATGATTTTCAACATAGTATTAATATACATATAATGTGTACATGCCAAAATGTAAAAGATGTATTGAATTTATATGCTCTCATTTTAAATAAAAACTCAATTTATACATATATACATGTATAAGGTAAATTTGTTAATGAATCGCCTAATTCAAAGTTCGATAATTTTTTCATATATTGTAGAAACTAACACTTTGAACAACTTTCTCCTCTTCCATTAAATGTTGATCGGCCTTAGTTTTCGAGATATTTGCAAAAAAATTGGTGCTACTGTTACAATAAATTCTCGATAAGTGCAAAACGCCTCGGGATCGAAGGTTTGTTTTTAACTGAAAGTGAACGACAATGTATTAGAACTATCGTCGCTAAATAAATTACATCGAAATTTAGCAAATATTATTATATTTTTACACGTGGGGCGCTCAATTCAATTCTTTTAAAGTATATCTATAGCTTTTCCTTCGCTATTTATATCGCGTGCAATTTAGTGAACGATTTAATTTAAAATAAATACTAAATATTCTCGCACTTTTCTTGGTCGTATACAGAATGTATTTCTTTCTCGACGACACTCGATAGAATACAAGAAAAAAAACTACACCCACTGCCACTCAAACCAAGGACGAACGACTGCAATTCTGCTACGCACGTACGCAAGTTAGGAAAGGAATTGCTAATATCCCGAAAACCAAGGTCGACCGACAGTAAATAGAAGAGGAAAAAGATGTTCAAAATATCGATTTATACAACATATTAAAAAATCATCAAAATCGGAGTTAGGCAATTTATCGATAATTTTACCATATATGTATAATTTATGATATATATATATATATATATAATAATTCCCCTGGATATTTTTACCCAACTTTGTGGTATGTGAAGATTAGCAGAAGAAATACTTGTTGAAAGTATTCTAAAATATATCTTTTGCAGACTGATTTATCTTCTTTCATTACCAAAACACAATGTGAATGTTTAAATGAATCTGACGAACATAACTTCTTACAATGTTTGACTGCTGATGATGGATACCTTGAAAGTGATTGTGATGAGCAATTAATATTGTCCATTACATTTTCACAAGCAGTCAAAATTCATTCACTGAAGTTTAAAGCACCCAGTGATAAAGGACCAAAAAATATCAAATTATACATCAACCAACCTAGAACAATTGATTTTGACATGGCTGATTCTAATACAAGCATTCAAGATCTTACGTAAGACTTATATTTTTATATTATCGCATTAAGTTTTCATTCTTATAACTGCACTGATATGCAGATTAACAACAAAGGATATTGAAGAAGGCAATCCAGTTCCCTTACGTTTTGTTAAGTTCCAAAATGTACAGAATCTACAAATTTTTGTAAAAGACAATCAAAGTGGTAGTGAAACAACAAGGATCGATCATTTGGCTATAATTGGTTCAATAATTTCAACTACAAACATGGGAGAATTCCGGAGAGTAACTGGTAAAAAAGGAGAAAGTCATTAACAATAAATGTATTACTCATAATGAATTGTAACAGAATATGTTATTTCAAATAAACTTTGTTTTTCTCGTACTATATTCCCGGATTATATAAACATTTCATTGTGAATATATATATTTTTTTTGTTAAGTTATTTTCGCGATACAAAAATATTTTTATTCTGCAAAGTTGAAAATAAACTAAAAATTAAAGCGTCTATATTTTTTAATCGATCCCAAAAATACCAAAATTATGATTTAACCCCCCTCCTTCCTCATTATCACACTACAACGTATTTCAATTCGGATAAAACCCTCGCCATCGCGTACAAATTGATTGATATGACGTGGGATGGCTCTTAAACAATTTTTATAAATATTATTAAGAAGAACATGAAATAAAACAGTTGAATTATATTTTAAATAAAAACGTTTAATGTCATTCGCTGCATAATGTACAAAATCGCAAGTATAATCATTGTATTATAAATTTTATTAATCGCATTATAAACTTCCATCTAATTACACGTTCATGGACAAGTTTTATGAATTCGCCAAATACCACCACAACGACAAGCCCTTGCCCACCTTTGATCCCATGCTCTGATTGCTGCTGTTCTCGTCATATTTTGGACCTGAGCTTTTCCCCCGCACCTGAAATATTGATTTAGAATATCTTCTAAATCTTAAGAAAGCTGAAAAAAAGAAATGTGTAAAGGATAAAATTGTTGCACTCAATACCTTGTACACTGCTTAACCAGAAGCGGTTGTTTTCCAAGGTACAAGTGTCGGATACCATCTACAATCTGCCCACTATGCATACAACCTTCAACTGAATTAAGTTCGGGTACAAATAATAATTGTTCCGATTCTACGCCATATTCCATCTATAATGATACGGAAGATTAAAACTATCGTATTCTTAAAACCGAGTTTCATAAATCGATAAAAAGAAAACATTGATGCATGTTTACCTGCAAGGGAAAATTTTGATAAAAAAGCATAGGAGTAGCTATGGCTGTTATACTATTGCCCTGGTGTAATTGAGGTATCATAATTTGATTAGGTAACAAACAACAGTCATCTGGAAGAAAGTGATTGACGTAGCACGTATCCAATTAAATTACATTAATAATGCGTCATTTGTACTTTATCGTTTCTAATATGCGACTGAGTTTTTCTCCGCCGCGATGTTAGCGAGACTCGATGTACTGTTTACAATATTATAACTGTATATCGAACAATATTACACTATTTATACTATTACGAAGGAATTAATGATTGATAGTAAAATTACTTTCTAATTGAAAATTGAAAGTTTTTTGTTTTATTTGTTTTTATTTTCTTGCAATACAAAATCCGCCGTCACGCTATTTAAATTCACAGGTTCTCGCCGAAGTAATTCTGGATCTGGATCAATTTTTAAATATACTTCGGATTTCTCGCTTCTTGGACTGTCTATATTTGCAATAAAATAAGTTGATTCGTGCGCTATACTAGTTGGACTTTCGATTGATTTTTGCTTTCCATATTTTATATTACTGGCAATGTCTTTCTCATCGGGAGAGAAATCATGCGGGAAAAAATGTTTTCCTCCCGTTATTTTCGAATTGTCGGGTGCTTTGCTTTGTTCAGCTTTCTCTGCTTCTCTTAGAAGATCGATAAAAAATAGATCTCTTGGCGAGAGTGGTCCTTTCGGAGATCTAACATCCGATTCGTTATCTGGAGTAACCGTTACCAATTTCATGTACTCTTTCATTGATTCTCTGTATCTTTTATGATCGTTTCCTGTTTTTAATACATCTTCGTCGTTCTTATCAATATTTTCTTTCAGGTCCACGGCACCAGCACTTTCGATATCACTACCCGTATTACGACGATGTATTACAAGAGGCGGCAGATCTTTGTGCATTTTAGTTTTAATCGATCGAGATTCGTCGCAAGTATTTGGATCGTTTTCATCGTGAACAATCTTCGTTTTATCTCTCACGTCCACGAATTTTATACTTTGTGGACAGTCCTGTGTTACATTGTTTAAAGATGCCGATGTATTTGTACCATACGATAGTAATTTAATTTTTCTATCTTTTTTCAAAACGAAGCGTCTCCAAATTAAAGTCAAGCACAACATAATAAAAAGCCAAATTATAAACGCGAAAGCGCAGTATAAAACGAACCGTACGATGGGCCACCTGTTCGTCTTACTTTCATAATAAGTAGGGAATAATTTGACCAAAACGGGAGTTAAGAAAATCCAATAAATTATAAAAATGCCACACGTTATTACACAGAACGCTATAAGTTTGTACGGTACCGAACATCGACAACAATCTTTGGATTTAGTCTCCTCCTTTAATAAATTGTGTTCCTTCATATCTGACGAGATTTGTTTTACACTCTCACTCATTTCTAATTACCTAACAATAATACCAAAAATAAAAAAAAATACTAATTTTCGAAATACTTTCCCGCCACGCTTCATTTAATAAAGAAAGTCGTTTAACGTTTCATGTGGACTCTGCAACGCGCATTTAATAGTACTGAATGAAAAAATCTGGAATTCCCTTTCAACGCACGAGGAAGTGGTACTTTATCTAACTTCCTACTAACCGACACGTTACGATAAAATTCAAGTGATTATTCAGCCGCATTAAATATGTATAATTACTCATGTTATTTTTAATATAGATACGACTATATTAATATTATTTCTACAATACAGAAACTCACCAATTAGCCCATCATCTATCTGCTGAGATTGACTATCTCCATTCGGTTGAACTAATCTCGACAATAAACGAAATAATAGAGCCAATGCATCGAGATTATCGGCACTACGGAGAAATACTGGTAGACACGAAGGACGCAATAAACCCCATATACGTATAATTACTAGCAATTCTCTCAACGTATTTAAGGCCTTATGGTCCCTTAGAAGTTCGTACTGCGTTGTTGTTGCGGTAAAAAGAAATGTTGTTATTACAAATAAAGACTAATTAAATTATTTTGAAAATTATTAATAATACTAACACCGCCAGATTTCATTTGTAGCCGTTGTTCCGGAAGACGAGCTAAGAGATTCAATGCTAAGTCTGCTACCCACTGAATTAATTGTTGCAATGACTGAAGTGTACTTGGCTCTACGGTAAATTCTTTGGGATCAAGGTGTAAAAGTACCTATCAATTATATACCAATTACCCATCATACTAAAACGTGTATTAATGGAAATGTGATAGAAAAGAATAAGCCTAGTTTGTACCTTATCTACATCAGTAATTGCATCATTAATCACGGTTGCCAAACTCTCTGCTGGTCCCTTATCATGAGAAATTAAATCTGATGGTCGTAATAATGATTTAAAAGCTGTTGCTACCGAATGTATCATAAGTAATGATGACAAATCTGCTGCCTTAGTCTGACCCGATACTAACATTCTGAAAGCAAACTTTTAATATTCACCCTACACTAAATAAATACAAAATATTGTGCATACATAATATACAATACTCATTTTTAAAAACGACGACTTTCTAAATAATCTAAATATCTAAAAAATAATTTGAAACCTGTATAATGATGTTTTAATGCAAAGAAATTGAATGTAATGATACTGCTGTATGGGCTGCAATTGCCTATTGAAAGAAACATCCAGTCTTTCACACAATGGCTCAAGCATTGAAGATCTTAAACATAAAAGTATATCCAACCAGTCCAGTCCTGTTACTAGACAGTACTCTAAGAGTGTACAAGCATAAGTCAATGTCATTGATGGTCCTATAAAAAAAATTTATACTTCTATATTTTGCCTTTACTTTTGTCTATTTATAAATTTGTAACAATTACCTCCATCGGGTAGTAATTTATACAAATATAAATTTCCGCGTGTATCACAAGCCAAAAGTACACAACCTAGCCAGGACAAATCTATACTTGTTATAGAGATTGTACTCTTAAAATACTTATTATTCGGTTCGTCGGGTCGCCAAGCCATATTCAAAGATGAAAAAGATATTTCTTTTAGGCAATCGCGACTTAAACAATGCACTGAAGAATCCGCCAATGCTACTACTACGTAACTCGGAGGAGGCAATGTGGTAACTATAGACAATTTTGTAGTTGCTATTGCTGTTATTGGAGATTGACAACGATATTGTGATTGATGTTGCCATACCTATAAATGCATGTATAGGAAAATATATATTAGGCATGTTACTATTAAGCAATTGATTTCTTATCACTCGAACGGCGGACGGCGGCGGTACCAAGTCCGTACAGACCCCAATCTATGTATATTCGTACATAATTCATAATATAAATAATAGCAATTGTTAATAGAAATCAAAAATAAAATAAACGTTTTATTATTTTTCATGTCTAGATTGGGTCAGAACGCACCCACGCGTCGCTGTCCGAGCGTTATTCGTCCCATTTAACACATACCACTACAGTTTTGAATGGTTCTAATGTTTTAGGTTGAAATAATTTATGAACTGGTTGTGATTTTTCTCGCAATTCCCATACTTCTACAATACCTCCACTTTCACTATTAACAGCAATAACCAAAGAGTCTGCATCTTCCCGGACTACAAACTTTAAGTGTGTCACACTTGTATCTAAGAAAATAATTCTATTGTTTGAAAGTGCAACAACCATTGGTATAATAAAAAAAGTTGCATAACTTTACATGTATTATCTTTGGGTGCACCATCTTGGAGAAAGAAACTTGGGAGGGCTTGAGATGTAATAGTACATTTATCATCATTTTTACGAACTAATACTCTGTAACATCTAATTGGTAAACAAATATTTCCACTGCTTACAGCTACCAAAATGTGGCCATCTAAAAATTTACGAAATTTGATTTTGATCTGTGTGTTGTTGTTTTGATATTACAAAAAGCTTAAATTTATGTACTTTTTCCATAACATAGGTCAACTGCAGTTATTCTATGTCTTGTACTGCCTAAACTTTCTGTTGACGAACAAACAGGATTTTGAAAATCTTTTGTGATCATAACTGCACCAACCATGCCTGTTGTAGATACTAGCAATACTCCCTCAGCTGCTCTACCACCAAATTGTCTTACAGAAGGAGCAAAAGGCAAGTGATTAAATTTCTCACTATAGTGAATATTATCTTTTTTCTCTGTTACAAGCCCTGTCTGAAAGTATAATCTTCTGTAAACTGAGTCTATTAAAAATAATTCTTAAACTTTAACCACTAATACCTTTTTCCCATTATGGAACCAAGCTGCACCTAATATATGTTCACCAATGAAACAAGTAGAACCAATTAATACCCAATCATTGAGAACATGATCTTTAAACATCCACAATTGTACATTTCCAGTACAATCTGCAATAACTAATTTATCACCTGATAAATCCCATTCTAATGCAGTGATAGTGTTCTTGTTTGATAATATCCTAATGATATATAATAATATCAATTTTAGTTTTGTAGAATATTTGAAATAACTAGCAAATGATAGTAAACTATTTCATACTTGTGAGTATGCCAAGGCATATTTAAATCGCAAACATAAACATGAGACCCCCATGTCTTTCCACTATTATCATCTAATTCTGTGGTTGTAATAAATGCCGCTATATTTCTACTAGATAATGAACATAAAGATTGTCCTTCGTACAAGCTAAAAAGTTGATTATGAGCATAATTAAAAACTTGATATTAATATAATACTATTAATATTTTATTTGTACGTGATATATGTATCACAGTACTATATAAATAAAAATTATTTTCAATAATAAAATAAAAACGACAATTAAACATACCTTTCTTGATTCATAAAAGGTTTTGATGCCACTTTCCTATTTACAGTATACAGTAAATCCATTTTTTTGAGGCTATGGTGTGCGAAGGTTAAACAAATGCTATAATCACGAGTGCTTGCACTGCAATATTTTTGGTTTATTGTATTCGTGCATTGCGATACACAAGAATATAGTATTTAAGCTTTAAATAATAATGAATCACGTAATAAAATTATACCGGGAAAACCATAACACACTACACACACACCGTCGTCGTTAGTACTGTACTGTACCATCTACCATATGATAAAATATGTGGTTGTGATGGAGCCTATCCAAATATGCATTCTTCGTTCTGATTCAGGTCATTTGCAATTATGAGGCTTTATCCGTTACATTAAATTATTTAATACATAAGCCAACTTTAAAGAATCAAATTGCACTTCGGCCGCGACGGATATAAATGGTATACTAGGCTCGTTCAACAACTTATGCAAGTGTTAATGCATTTTAACCTCGCTCCGTTTGTTTTGAAAATTATTTCTGCTTGTGTCCCGCAAAAATTGTTGCAATAATAAATCATATACGTATCATTTTCTCCTTATTTATTTCACTTTCCTATACCTACTTATGCCGTAATAAAAGTAAAAACCATTGCTTAACTTTTGTAGACTTACATACTATTATATTCTGGGTTATTTGTTTTTTTTATATGATTGTGATGCGTTTTGTATGTATGTATGTCACAATATCTCTGTTGCTTAAATGTTACATTTATGTAACAATGTATGAATGAAAAAGCATGTGTTACATGTTTAAATTCAAGGGAGAATTTACAAATTTCTAAATACATATCTCCTTTTCTGTTATTTATGATGAACATTTTTGTTTACTTTGCATGCTTTATCTCTTGAAACATAGAATGGCAATGTGACAAACTTGTTAGGAGTCACATATCCATTGTTTCTTCTTAATAGAAATAAGCAAAATTATGTTGATAATTATGCCTGTTTTGCATTCTTTTTATACACATAGGTACATAGGTAAGATAGCTATAAAAGTAATTAACTTTTGATGCACGCATGGGTTTTCTATATGGGTTACAATTGATATATGTATATATATAATATATGTGCAAAGCATTGAATTTGATTCTCAGCAAAACAGAAGAGAATTTCAATGGTTTCCTTTTATAGAAAATGGATGGTGATCAGGTAAAGGACAATGCTTCTAAAACAACAGAAAATACAAATAAAAAATCTGCAGAACCATTAGGATTAACTACAAAAACTGCTCTTGAAACATTACAACGTGATATCAAAAGAGTCTTACAAGAATACAAAGAAGACTACAGAAAAAACAAGTACTTTTGTTATTTATATCCTACTTTTATATTAAAGAAGAGAAAATTTTATGTTTGTATTATATATAATGTATGTATTATACACAGAAGATACAAAGCATGGCTAAAAGATACTTTACATCATCGTAGTCAATACACAACTCTTTGTTGGACTTCAGCAATTGCACTTTTGATTAATGCAATTATCCTTATTGTTGCTTTCTTCACAATTGAGGATACATGGTATGAACTGACTAGATTATTTATGTATTTTCAAACAGAATAATGTTGAAAATAGTCTAGCTATGATATAAATGAGTTCTAAAAATCATAAGTTTTGTAAATAATCTTTCCATTGTAGGTATTCTACATTGCCTTATGAAGGACTGAGTGTCTGTTGTTTAGTAGTCTTAAATTTTATTTTAGTTGTATCAGATAATAAATTACGACATGAGGAGATCCCTCATAGAGTACAAATTCTATTTGATCATCTAGAAGGTATTTAAACATTTACATAGAACAATGTAATTTTTGTACACATATTTCATGTAATTATTTCACCTATTTAAGTTGCCAAAAATTGTTCTCAATGGAACCCTGAAAATTATCCACATTTGTGCAGTCCATTGTCTCCTTGTCTAACTTTACAATGGACTTACCGTGATGGTCATATTGTGAATTTGCCATGGGCATTGTTAGTTGCTGGAGATATAATTGTAATTAAACCTGGACAGCAAGCACCTGGATACTGTGTTCCTTATGATGTAAGTTTAATATATATATACATAAATAAATAAGTTCTATTAGGCAAAATAAATAACAATAACATAAAACAATTTTAGGATCCAGATGCATCAGTGTTACATGCAAGGGAAGTGTATAGTCCTCAGGTTCATAATGCAAATGAAATTTTCTCAACACCGCAGGCGCGGGCACCATTGAAAAATAAAGTTTATAAACTTCAAGAAACACCATACTTAATGAATCTCAGAATGGCACTTGATCAAGCTCTTGACAGACCAGTCACATATCATAATCGCAAACGACATTTATTAATGATTTGTTGCATTGAACAACTAGCTTATCCAGTTCTTTTAATTATTGTATTAGTTGTAAATTTATTCCGATATTCATATTTATCAGAATACTTCGGTGTTGGGTACTGGAATGAAATGTTTTTACTACAACCAATTGCTGTTAGCATTCCTTTACTTCCGTTAGTATTTCCGATTTGTTGGATTTTCTTGAACTGTTTTGGAATGGCACGATTTAAAGCTTTATTTAAACTTTATCAATCTTCGGAGAAACTTCAGGTTAATATGCTTAGAAGACATGGAAATTTACACATGTACATGATCCTTCATAGAAAATAATTGTTTTAGTTTGTGGATCCTTTTGAAGATACAGATATTTCTGGTCCCAGTTATCCAGATGTAGTGTATAATTGGTTGGAACTGAAAGAATATTTTTTCAATATTCTCTTTGGTAAAGAACACATGATGTCAAGATCTGCAAATATTCTTCACGTTTTGGGATCGGTCACGGTACTTGAAACGCTAAATATATTACTTATAAATTAGTGTAATAAGATGAAAACGATAATTAAATTTTTAGGCATTATGTTGTGTGGATAAAAAGGGAATTCTTTCATGGCCTAATCCAACAGCTGAAAAAGTATTTTTCTTACGTAATTCCAATACTTTATCTCCGTCTTCAAGGTAAATATTTTATTTAATGTTTGTAAATATAAAAGATGTTAATTAAAACACTATTGTGTGATAGCACTGGTAGTTTAGACAGAACATCTGAACCTCAATGCCAAACTCAAACTGAAGATACGAAACAGTATTCAAATAAAACGTCCTATGTTCAACATGGTAATATAAAATGAAGAAAATATCGCTCATGTAGTATTATACAAAAACATGATTTTTTTGGCAAATGAAAAATTGATTTTAGATATGTCTCATTCAACGGCCGAAGTTTTGGACCTTACTCATGATCATGCTTTACCGTTTCGTCTACAGTTTGATGATCATTCTTGGAGACAGCACTTGAATTCGTTGAAACCACTAGGTCTAGCAATTCTACTCAACACATGTAACATGGACACACAAGAACATTATATGCAGTTCTGTTGCCATGTCACTTGTGAAGCTCTGTACAATGAGAATCTTGTACCAGTTACGAACAGACGGTACGTACTTTTACTACTGAAATGATTGTGTTTCGTTTATACGCTTTGTTGCACTACATTTTCCCCCTTTTTGAATACATTATTCAAACTAATTCTTCCGATTGTCAAGCTAATTACGTCCAGTTTTATCATACTCATATTCCTAAGACAGTCCAAAGGTAACACTTCCAGTTACCAGTAACGTTCATCATACACATTTGTCAGCTACCAGGATCACAGTATAGAAGATAAGAGTGGGTATGAGGCAAAAGATACAATGCAAAGTTCAAGACAAGTGTATTTAGTCGACGAATCAGGGAGCCTTGGACAGATGTGGTCAGTCCAACCATAGTTATTTTATGTATCCTCCGTATTTATAGTTAATCTGTCTGTATGGGTGAATGGATCTCCAATCATAATGTATATAATCATATGAATGCTGATCATGGGACAATTTCACGTTTCTGTTTTATTCTTTATCTTACTGAAATAACGATCACTCCCCTAATGCCGAACGTATGCTTAACACAGGTGTCTATGCGAATTAGCAAAGCAGATAGGTTTCCAAGACCAGGCACAACACATATTTCAATTGGAGCAACAACTATCTACGTTCAGACACGTTGTAAGCATCGCCTATCATTCGAGTTATTCTCTATTATTCTTCATAAGAGATGCGTTTAAAATTTTTTCCAATTTATTGTAGCAACCAGAAATGGTTCGACGTGATATAAAGTTCGCACGCTCTTTGAGTATTGCGACAAAATTAAAATTTCCTTTCCCGCATATGGTTGCCGTGGTAGTTAAAGAACGGAGTGGAGGTGGTTTACAATTATTGACACAAGGGACAGCAGATATAATTTTGGACTCCTGTATCGAATTTTGGGATGGTCATGATCTCTGTCCACTTTCCGCAACCGACAGGTACACGGAAATATTAATCGCTACAAATATATTTTTAACTCTACACTTTCCGACTACCGCGCGTGTTTTCTAGGAAAAAAGTGCAAGATTTTTACCAAAGGACGAGCTTAACGTCATATTGCACTGCATTTGCATATAGACCATTGACACGGGGGATCAATAAAAAAATGTCGAAAATATATTTGGAGCTTCCCGCAGATAGCAAACATTTATATACTCCTCACAGAAGTCCTACACCATTACCTTGGGACTTTAGAAATGTTCTTGATCCAAGGGTAAAAGGCATACTTGGACAATTTCATTCAACCGGTAAGCCCTAAACGCATTTACGTTACTTGTCCCGCAGACCGAGTAAAAAATTTCATTAACTTTCTTTTATGTGAATTTTTATAGATTCCTTACTGTGCAACGAAAACAAAGACGATAATGTGAGCGACGTTGAAAGTTGTTTTGATATTCAATGTAATCAAGTTTTTATCGGGATGGTAACTATGCAATATCAAGCACAAACGGATATGGTAAGATATAAGATTACAACCAGTATATTGACGATTACAATCGATTGTTAGAAAAAAATTGTTTAATAGGTACAATTGATCGAACAACTCGACAGAGCTTGTATCCGTTTCGTTCACTTCAGTAAAGAGAACGAATTAAGATCACGCGTGTTTTCGGAGAAAATGGGACTCGAAAGTGGATGGAATTGTCATATATCATTGCTCAGTGAAAGAGCTAGGTACTATATCTCATTTTTTTTATCGTTGATCAATATCTCTATAAACTACTTTGCTTTGCTTTATTTTGCTTATGAATTAATCTGAAAAGTTTGGGGCATGTCCTCACGTTGGAAAGTATAAATATGTTATATTATGTACGTGTAAAATCTGTGTACAAAACATATTCAACACAAAATATTACACTAATCGTTGCTGGTGTTATAATTATTTTCTTGTTAATTAAACCGATTATATGTCATTTCTCAGTGTCTTTTTTCTAATCTGTTGTAAATCTAAAATAAAATGGTGGTGTTTGATAGAACTTGTTTAACTAGCTATTCGTCATAACTATGTGGATGTGAATGTAAAATATGCATGTACATTACAGGAGACAGCAATGGCTGGAGAGATATCCACACATGACCCCATCGTATATGTTTGTCTATACCTCTTTCTTTCATTACTGTTACTAATTTGCATGTTTATTCGTTACGCTCTTTATTAATATTTTTATAGCAATTACCGGTTTATAGAGTCTACAGTTTTTTGAATGCAATTACCTGATTTCCTTTTAATCTTTAGACTGATACGTAATTATAATAAAATTTGAGATCTAAGTATTCTTTCTTACAAATTGTTTCCTATATTCTATTACGTTAATAATTAGAGCATTAAGCTAAGATGATTGTATTTGTGCCAGTAGTTACTGGTAATTATTTTATAGAATTTAATGGCTTCTTCATTAGCAAATATAATATTATATGACATTTATTCTTGTATACTGACAGTTATTCCATGCACATGTATTAATATTTCATATTATATCATGACATACATAAAATACACAAATAAATATATGTAACTAACACACCAATATTAGGTCAGAGAGTCCAGTGGGTTGGTGGGTGAGCCAGGCAGCAGCCATGTCCTCACCCACGCCCTCGGCCCAATCTCATCAACATAATTACTCCTGCATGGATGAGGCCAGCCACTTGCTTAATCGTATCTCTCCTCGGTATGTTACATATTACCCTCTTACCACACATAAACATTAAACATTCATTGTTATTTATTATACTTGTCTATTTTCGATTGAGAATCATGCTTTTGCCTCTCAATACGATATTTAATTAAATAATCGACAACTTAAAAGTTATGAGCATGCATTCATACAATTCTGCTGCATATACATGCTGGCATTGACGTGATTGTGTTCCAAGAATACCCTGCATGGATGGATACTGGAGAAATGGTTTTTCCATAGTATGATTTGTTTTACATTGTAGCACGAATTTGGACAATAGCCGTGCCATGAGTATGTCTGCACCAAGCGCTATAAATACAGATTTCTCTACTGTAAAATTCGACGACGAGACTACGGAGTGGAACGACATAGGACTGTCTCAAGTTAAAAGTGCTATGAGCCATAGGTTTGTTTCATGTTACATTAAATGGTGCTAGACTATAAATACTGAATGTTATACATAATGTTATTGTGAACTTGCATGCCAGTCTGAGTCACCTAGTTCAAAGGATCACAAGAACTGGATCATCACTCTTTTCGTAATTATTTTTGGTTCTCCCTTTCCTTTTTTAAATAGACTAGATTCTTTTCACTCCTTTAATTAACAAACAAATTGTTCAGCACTTCAGTTATTATTTTATATATGCTTGAACTTTACATATTAGTTAATTTACTTATTCTTGTTATTTCGTCTTGTGCAATAATCGTAGAATAGAAATAAACTGTAAATTATTCAACAATGAAACAATTCCTAACAGAGAACAGGACACAGTGAAAAGCGAAGATAGTGTACTTGTGCAAAGTGTGGATTTAGGATCCGGGCAAGAAGCATGGCGATCATTGAGTTGTCTCACAGATAGTACAGAGCAGAGTGCTCCTGTAAATTTTGATTTATCAAACAGGGTAAATATCTATATTGGATACTATTTTGTTTGATAAAACTACAAGTTCTAAAGTCGTAATTTTTATCTATATTTCAGGCAAAACTTCCGCGAGGCATCGATAAAATTCGACCGCATATAGAGTTGATAGACAATGTACCACTTTTGGTATCTTTGTTCACTGACTGCAACACTGTTGTTACAAGGGAAATGTTGCACATCATGCAAGATTATGGAGAGGTCGTTTGCGTTCTAGGCTCTTCTGCTAATGCAGAGAACATGCCTATTTTTATGCAAGCAGATGCAGGGTAAGTAATAGGGATGGATGGGTACCCAAAATGTTGAGCACCCAAATCTCGGGTCAAGACTTCAAGTAGACCTCAAACTCGAAATCTTGGGTACCCGCCCATCTCTAGTAAGTAGCTAATGTTTTGATAGTGCAGAATGTAGGAGATAAAGAGTCACTCAAATGACCGCGATAATTCTTTGCGACTATTATTTTACTTTATTTACACGTCACTTACGATCTTACCGCCTTCCTGGTCTCTGTACAACTGACCCGAACGATCGGGCCTGTGTCCTTATATACCCTTCTCGATCCTTCTATCGATTTTTGCACCCGACACGCCGATTTCTGTAATCGGTTGCACACGGCCCGAATACCCTTAATGTTTTCTCATGTGGTCACATTTTCCTAGTAGAAAAATGTGCCATATAATCTTGATCTCGCCATGTACATATAAAGATTAAAATGAAAAGCTACAATTAAGTTATCAAACATGTATATTGTACATGGAAAAATATCATTCACAAATCATGTTTTTCTTATTTATAAAACGACCTGGATATCTGTAACTCATTTTACAAACTGTATCTTTTTCAATTTGGGCAGAAATAATTGGTCGAGTAGGTGCTACGCGAAATTTTTGACCAATTGGTTTTATATGTTGGTAAGATAAACGACTTGTAGTTTGATAATCTGTTTTCGATTTAGTCTGCCAAAATCCTGGCTTTCTTGGTCTTTTAACGATGATAGGCATACCGAAATTTTGGTAAGACTCCTTTGTAACTGTTTTATAGTCTACTGATGCAGGATGAAGATTTTTTCCTTCATATGGTTTATAATGTTTTACTTTTGTATATCCAGGGTCTACATAAGATGTCATATGAATAGTCGTCATATCATGTGATCCATTTATAGATAAACATGATTTTGGGATAAAAGGCTTCGGTACTTTTCCGTTTGAAGCTTGATAGGATAGTTTATATACTGTATCGAATTCAAGCCTTCCGCTACATTTAGGCGCTATTTTATCGTGTTCTCCGTAATTAAATTTTTGTTTGGGAATACAATCAAATTTCGCATAAGACATACCATATGTCGTATCTGATTCAATTTGAATGGTTGGTTTTTTATTAGGTCTATTGTATGATATAGGACGTCTCGTATCTGGCTGTATATATAGTAAATTCTCGTCTTGAAATACTGAATATTGAGGTTTCTCTACATTCTTTGCTGTACAATGAGAAACTTCAGCAATGCATTCCATTTTTATAAAAATTTATGTATAAAATTGGATTATAAAAAGTTCAATTGAAACGAAGATATTATTAAACAATTGCTACTCAACTGTTCCGCACAACATGCAAATATAAAATGGCGTTTAAAAAATACGTTGATATCTCAATAAATTATTTAATTTTAGAGTGGCAGTAGAACCATTATATCCACAAGTTTGTCAAAGAGTTCCTGTACTATCTCCGACGAGAGAAGACCAAGGACCATCCCCTGTTGATTTAAGCAGGGCATTAAATTCAATTGCTTGTTCGTTAAGCGTTAAACGTGAAGATCCGATCGCAATATTTCATTTGATTATGGAGGTACATCAGTATACACTCATTAAATTTGATCTTTTTAAGTTGACTATTTCCAATATGATATTTTTAATCAGAAAATATATATTGCTCTTTACACTTTCAACGTAAAAATATTCAAATCTGAAGGGTTACATTCTAAGGTTTAATTTAATTACTGATATTAATTGTTTGACATCATCAATATTCATTACACATATAGGCTCGTCATTACATGAAGTGTCTTTGGAATTGTGTACAATTCTGGCTCTGTTGTACAGTTACTCTTTCTTTTACTCAAGCTGTATCTGGTTTCTTACTTCTACCACCTCTATTCTCTGTTGATCAAGTTTTATGGTTGAGTTGCTTAATCATTCCAATGTTATCAATATCCATGATTGCTACACCAAAGGATACTACCATAATGCAGCGTGCTACCGGCAAAAATCAATGTACCATAAATGGTCAGGTAAGAGCTTTGAAATTTTAATTCGCTTCATTTAAGTTCTCACGTTATATGCTTCATTTAAGTTCTCATGTTATATGCTTCATTTTACAGGTTGCATTATTTGTTCTGTGGTGTTACGGCAGCAAATTTTTACCAACGATCGTAACAATAGTTTTATCACAGTGTATCTCATTTTTAACTTTATGTCCCACTTATACGACAACGGACTCTAAATGTCTCTATGTGTACCCCGATACACGCGGCGAAGTTTCATGGGGCGGTTGGGGTGCTAAACCAAATGTTATTTTGGTGGTACAACATTTTGCGTTGACGTTGTTAGTTTTACATTTAGGTATACCTTATTATTGCTTGAAGGCATTCTAAATATTTATTCAAAATTCAATTATATAAATGTTTATAATTTCATTGCAGTAACAATCTCCATAGGCTTTGTACATAGAGAATATTCTATTTGGAAGAAACAACCTTTTAACAACTTTGTTTGGTTTTTAAGTGCATTTATAACGTAAGTACAAGATTCATAAGTTATTATAGCAATTGTAGGATGTATGTACCATTATTAATAATATTATTTCTTTAGATTATGCGCACAAGCAGCATTCTCAGGGACTGTATTCTGTAAATTTTGGAAAGAGGAGGGTCAAAAGATTGAAGACTTTCCTATTCATCTTCCTCTATTTTTCTTAATCTCATTGCCATTTATCTTTACAGTTAATGAACTAATTAAGTGGCAAGAAATTAAGTAAGTATACATATATCAATTTAGGCTGGAAATAGGCGAGCGACTTTTGTCGTTGCGACATCACAACACCCAAGACAGCCTTAGAATGAAACTCTTTCTTTATCAATTTTTTCAGAGTAAATGTAAGATATCAGAAGAGAGCTCGACTAGAATTTGGTACAAAGCTTGGAATGAATTCTCCATTTTAACAAGTTAATCGAAAATGGAACGAAAAGCCAAGAACATAAAATTAAGATAGTTAAATGATAAAATGTGAACATATGGACTGTATTTATGATTATAAAAATTTACATACTCAAATTTTGCATAATGCCATTGCTGTATTACATTGTAAAAATCATCAGACTCTTTAAGTTATTAGTTATTTATTACAAAACTATATGTACTAAAGACTAACAATTAACGAAGAATGTCACTTTATCTAGATAATGTTACAATGAAATGTATGAAATTATTTCGGATAGTTATAAATTGTTTGACACTTTACAGTGTATTAAATCTTCTATTTGAAAATCAAGCTGCAGGAAATTTTACAGCCTTGAAGACTTGAATAGACAGAGAATTGTTTTCATAACTTGATAAATAAATATTAAAGTATTTCTATTTTTGTATGATATGAATATAATATTTTACATTTTAAGAATTGATATGCTACAAAGCATAACATTTACTATTCGGAGCTTACAAGGTATTGTGTACTTAACTTTTGTTATAAGTATTGAACACAAGCGAGACAAAATATTCTTTTATAATTTTAATTTAAAGATTAAAACCCATCGTTTTGGGAAACATGAATTTAAATAACTGAATATAATAATTGGAAAATTCAATTCAAATGCAATATGTTTGAAGCACATAAAAATGAAAGTTTATATATAATGCGATGAATTATTTAGTTGTATTTGGGTTTTTATTATTCAAAATGTACGGTTTTAAGTAGTAACAATTATAAAATAGATTAGCATATAAAGTATTAAAAATACTGCTGCTATTTAGATTTAATAATTTTAGTATTATTCATAGTGAATACTTTAATCAATGTTTTTAGAATATCTATTTTGCATGACTACATAGTAATTATTATTTTACATATATGTTTTTAATAAATGACTTTGTAAGTTATTATAATTTGTGTCCATGAAGCAACCAAAAGAAAACTTAGTGATCTAAGATGGAAGACTATTGTAGAATGTGAAAAATACTACAACACTTTGGTGCACATGATAATTTCTATAATTTGTGATAAAACATTATCCCTCATTGAATTAGAACTGTATTCTTTTTTTTACAAATTGCTAATATTAGAAGCAATTTTATATGTTTAAGTACTTAAATTTCATTATATGTACCATTTGTTATACAACAATGGAATTAGTGTTTAAGTATATCAGTAAGGTACATGTATAGTTTAGTGGCTTTGTCAGAAATTTGTTCATTTTTTCCCGGACTTTTCATAAAAGGCTGTATCTGATCTTTATAAAGAAATATAGTTGGGGGAGGATGAAAAATTAATGTGCATTTGCATTTTTTTGACAAAAAAGACAACATTTTTTGTGAAACGACTCCGATGATTTTCGAATATCTGATAGAAGATGAGATTGTAAACAATAATTACCGCCCGGCCTCAGTTTGCGAGATATTTGCAAAAATTGTTGATATTACTGCATTCACATCGCCTGTATGTGTCCCATAGGTGCGTCGAAAGAACACTTACGTAAGAAATAAAAAGAAACACAATTCTACGCGTCACGAAACAATAACGACGCGCTTAGTTCTGCCGCGTGGTTAGGTCCCTCCTCGTCACTATCGATTAATCGCATCGATCCTCGATTACTTTCGAAATAGTTTGAAAATTACTCTTTCAAACAAAATAGGTAACATTCTTTTTCATTTAAGATTTGATCGCGTGTGTTATTTATTACATGCTGTTTAAGCTTAAAAGTTCTGATCTAATTTATTTTTAATTCGTAACATAAATTAAGGGACGCCTAAATTGAAAGTTGCATTAGAACGCTAGTACCAGACCTTAGTGCCGATCATGTGTACACTTGTATTTAAAAACGAACAGGAAATTATATGTTACAGGAACTATCGTATCTTAACAATTATGTTTAACTATATATAAACATCATTGAGGGTATTTTGGTAAGGGAAAAGTAAAGATCGCCATGTTAGATTCATTTGCATTGATTTCAGTCCATTCTTTTTGCAATTTGCTTCCCGAAACTTCTTTCCACATGTCTTGTTGCACCAAAGATACGCCACCGGACCAAACCTTCAAACGAATACGTTATTAACCGTTTTTTGAATAATTAATAACGTATATACCCTGTGAAAAATTTTAATGGGAGATTCTAGAGGCCAAAATAAGACGATAATCAAGAATATCAATTCGTTGATCGAGGTTTCATTAAAAAGTTAATAAAAAATTAAATTAAAAAATTTCAAATCGATCTGGAAAAATTATTTTCAGATGTGGGGGTCAACTACAATGATTTTCGGTGAATAGACATACCACCGAAATCCTACACACTTTCGAGAAAAAAATTCGAGTAGTGCTTAAATTTGGCGAAAAAAAATTTTTTCAAATCGATCTGGAAAAATTATTTTCAGATGTGGGGGTTAATTACAGTCATTTTTTGTGAATAGACATACCCCCGAAATATTACTCAGTTTCGAAAAAAAAATTCTTTACCGAAAATGTAATGTCTGACCATACGTTGATACGTTTCCCTGAAATTTTTCGGCGAAAAAAAATTTGTTCAAATCGTTCTGGAAAAATTATTTTTGGTTGCGGGGGTCAATAACAATCATTTTTGGTGAATACACATACCCTCGAAATCCTACGTACTTTCGAGAAAAAAATTCTTAACTGAAAATATACTGTGTGAATCTCTCTTTATAATAGGAATAGACCTCTAGAATCTCATTTTTGTTAAACTCTGAAACAATAAAATATAATTGTTAAAAGAAAACCTTTTCATAATGTACTGCCCAAGCGTAAATCATTTTGTTTTCCTCTTTCAAGCAAATTTTCTTTAATCGCTTCAACATGTTCATCGCTTTACGTTTTCGAAATTTTATCATACAATAATAGGCTTTCAACAGTATGTATCTACAACAAATTCCAAATTATTTTCCTTATAATTCGGTCAGTTCTGGCATTGAAATCACTGTTGAAATCTTATTTTCTAATATACATATAATTTCAACAACTGATAATCATTTCACCTGGGAATTACGAGTTTAATAATTTTAGTCATTTTATTTATCTCCTTAAAAGTGCTTTGTATCGTTCGCATAGTAATGGTTGCATCAATATTTCTACTATTCAGTTTGTGCACTGCAGGAATAAAAATATTATAATATTAGTAATTATTGATTATGCATTTTTAAATTTATTACCATTAAATAAATAAACGGTAATTAATTTGCCACTTAAGTTTTGGTTAATCTTAAATATAAATGTTTAACTTAAAAAATTGTTAAAAATTATATGGGAAACGTATGTAATTAGATCCCTAATTGATGTGTCCGGAGTAGAACGGTGTAATTTTTTAAGCTCGTATACGAACAGATTCTGTAACAAAATTTTATATTAAAAGCGAGTACCGTAAAGGATAAGCAGACCCTCGAGCTTTTTCAAGCTGGTAGTCGTTGCTACTACTATATGCTCGTCCGTAATAGTTCCTTTGCTCACGTTTCTGCTGCCCCATACTCTGGAAGCCTCCCACTGTTCAGTTCTGATGCTCCTTGAAAACAAATTTTACCAAATTAATCACGAAAAGTGTGTGTATTTTCATTTTATCCAAAAGGACTGAATTATATTAAATTTTATTTGTACTTTCCATTACGTGCGATAGTAAATTTCGTGTGTGCGTTAATAAAAATATGTCTGGATTAAGACAAGACCGTAAACGATGGAAATTACCACAGCCACATAGAAGTGAAGTATCGCCTTTCTGCTTCAGGGTCATACAGGCTGATCATCGTCTCGCCCTCTCGAAGGAAGTACTGTTCGCAAGATTGAAAAGAGAGTATCGTGATACCAGTGTCTAAATGCACGTCGGCGCAAAGTGCATAGTACCAGGTACGTCCAGATTTATCCAGATCGTTCTGAGACACGAATTCTATAATTTCCGTAAAACATTTTACAGTCCGTAACAGGTCTTGAAAGGTAAATATATTTACGTCAATTTCATTACCCAATTCCCTTAACTGTGCAACCACTTCCGAATGACGACAGGACAGCATAAGAAGATGCACCAGCCGAGGCAGTAACAGCAATTTCAAGAACGTGGAACCAATGGTGGCTGCTATTCTGGAGCAGACGAAGCCAATTTTCGTCGCTTTCGAGATTTGTCCCCTCACCCAGCGAGAAAAAAATATTCCCGCGTACAACTCGGCGATCATGTTCAGCTCTTGGTGTTCGATGGATTCTTTGTTCTCGTTGCAGATGTCGATGCCCCTTTCCTCCAAAAATGGTATGATGGTCCTGTGGGAATCGCGTCGAAGCTTTTTCTATTCTTCCAAATTAGTATTTTACATTTCGAAAAATATGGGAACCCCCCTTTTCCCCAAAAAGTGGCTCCTTTGAGAATTAAAATCTTTAAAAAATTATTTTAACTCACCTATCGCGATACATGTGTGCTGTGATTAACATGTTAGTGTAGGATGTGCAGAGAATGCACAAGTTTCTGGTAGAATTCAATGCAGCGTTCAAACCCCAGATGGCCGCCAGTCGTGCATGCTTTTTCATCCCATTAAACTACATAATAAAAATTAAATTAAATTAATATAATTAATTAAAAAGAAAAATATTGAATTGAATTACTCTGAAAAGATTGAACATTTGCGCTAGACAATCAGCCAATTGTTCGGTATAGAATACACTGCTTTCGTCGTATTCCTGGTCGAGTTTCCTTTCTCTCGAACAACTGAGCTTCAATCTTAACGATATGAGCTGCGTGAACGCCTTTAGATCGATCATTATCTCCATTCTTGGGAAATTGTAGCCCAAATTGTTTAACGCCGTATCGAAGCATTGTTCCGCCTCGAAGATGGAACCACTTTCCAGGAAACACTGACCTTGAAGGGTTTCGATTTTAGCGGTGAGATAGGGCAAAAGGACCAGTTCGTCTTCGTTTGATTTGAATAGCTGAAAATGTTGCAATTTTAAAAACAATGAAAATAAATATGCATTTAAGATCTTTTCGATGCATATTAATTTGAAAATTTCCATTCTTAGTTTTTAGCAACGAGATTTGGCCCATAACATGCATACATTATTTATATCAGCTATTTAAATTGTGAATCACGATTCCTCGGGGTTGAAGAAAATTTCAGAATATTTTGTTTGTTAACGTTACTTTATTTTGTATGTACCTCTTCGAGAATCGCCTTGCCTTTCGTCAAGAGCTTTCGAGCCTGTGGTATATTGCAAGCCATCACGCAAATTTCTGCGAACTCCAAAATGGCGATCATCGTCAATTCAGTCTTCCCTAATGAGAATTAGAATAAGATTATTTTTTGTAATTTTCTGAATTACTAATTTCAACTAGTTCGACGTACCGATACCGCGACAATGTTCCAGTATTTGGGTATAGACTGTTATCAATATCAAATTGCACTGGCAATCGCTGAAATCCACGTCCGAAAATGTGACCGTTGGCTTCCTTTCGACGTTTCGAAACACGTTGAAGCAAGAAAGTAACGCCTTGCTTTCTGTACATTCATTTACTTTGATAATTACTTTCATAAACTTGTTTTCGAAATTTTTTAAAGAAAATGTTTCGTAGAATCCCACCAGCTTACCTATTTTGATTTCCGCGAGAGTGTTTATGTCGTCGAAACCTACGCTGTCGAACATTTCGTCTATGTCGGTCGTCCTCTTCTTCCTGTCCTCTTTCTTCGACACTTTCCCCAGTAATTTTGCGAATTCACCTTGCCCACACGACACGCAACGTTTCGTGTGTTGTTTCAAGTATTTCAATGCCTGGTTGTGCAACTCCATCTTTTGGTTTTCCGTGAGTAATCTTAACGTACACACTTGTATCAACAATGTACCAAAATTGATACTGTACACGCGTGTACGTACAAAGGAACGTGAGCCTGATTTATATAATAATTACATAATTACTAACTGATAGGTCGTGTCACGGAACATCGTCATTTTGAACCTCATTAAACCGCACGAGGCGTACCTTGGCAGATCGTCCAATTCCTCTAACAATTAAAGATTTTCTCAGTAGTCAAAGTCAATAATAATCGGACGACTTACGTATCTGTCTCAAAATAAAAGAATATCTTAATTTAACACCTGAAATGGTAATGCCAATACAGCTGCAGAACACGTTCATCTCTGTCGCAGGATTTCGCATGTTCCTGATGAATATTATCGGCCCTTTATTTTTGGAGAAGTCTCCGATCGCGCATCCGAAGACTCGTATTTCGAACAACTTCGAAATTGCTAATAAAACACAGTAGCTTTTAGGGAAATATTCCATTTTTGATGTTCTTCAACCCTGAAATACTATAATTGGGTATCGTAGCCCCTACTAGTTTTTGTAACTGATTTATATACTTCTAAAAAGAGAATCATGTGTTCGGTATTTAATTCGTAACAGTTTAATTTCTCTACTTTTATGTATTTTCATGCTCACGATTATGTATAGGCATAATATTGCAGGGGTTAACACTGTATAAATTGTTATTATCGATTATTATTATATCAGAAAATCTTACCAAGTCCAATCTCTCTTTTGGCAGACAGGTTCATCAGGCTCTCTAACATGTGTCTGTTGACAGTTTCTCCAATCACGGAAGCGCATTTCAAAAGGAGTTGATCGAGGGGTGTCAAAGAATCGAAGAGCTTTAAGATCATAACTGATGGAACAATAAATTCTCAGTATAATTAACAAAATTACGAATACTTTTGTCGTGGGAGAAATCCTGTTTCTTTGAAGATACTGTCTTCGATCAAAGTATACATGAACAAGAAGGAGAGAAACAAATGTTATTACTTTACCGTCCATCGTGATTTCGGTGTCGATGTCTTCGTACGTAAAGTTCTCCGAGATGTTGCAAACAGCGATCATCGCCTCTTCGTTCTCCACGATCGCCGTTGATTTGCTCGGTTCCTTGATGCTGTGTTCGAGCATCGAGATCATGCTGTCCTAATATGAAATGTAAGTAAATATATCGATCGATCGTTAGATCAAATGGAGGAAAAACGAACGAACTTTGAAGCTCGTTCTGTACATCAGCCATCTGTCCGAGCGTTCTTTGCCATCGCCATTGTGATACGACTTACTTGACACAAATCTAATGGGTAATATCACGAGAAATACGTTTTAGAAGCTACAATTAATTTAGTAAAATTCTCTAAAACTATAAACAGTGAAACGTAAAAATATAACATTTATGCGTAAACCTCTTCAACATCGATATGGGAGGCAACACGTAGCCCAGTTTGTTGGCTTCTTTTTTACTGATAATTTTTATTTCTAGATCTCCAGCTTGCAGGAGGCTGACTAGGTAGCTCTCGATCCAGCCTGGATTACCGAAACTCTTTTCTTGTATGAGTCTTAAAACAAAATTGATCGGAGAAGTTAATCATTTTATTAAAGAATTGTCAAAGTTTTGTCGAGCCTTAATTTTGTATCATTGACACGTTTCTCTGAGAAGTTCGGAGATATTACAAAAGAAGGAATCGATATCTTTTTAATCTCTTATTTTCTTAATTTGCTTACTTTTCCAACTCTGCAGGCAGGCCATTCACGTTGAGTATTTGACAGGCGAGACCAGCATGGTACCACTTGTCTATTCCGATGAGTTCAATGACCTTCCAAGGGAAAGCAATTCGATTAGAATTGAAATCATTGGTTCATAATAATTGGTTACCTTTCCTCTGTACAAAAGAGTAGTGTATATCTGGGTCCGAGGGTTGCACTTTCGACCGATGCTCAGAACGAAGAACACCAGGTCTTTCTTCGTCAGAACGTCGAAGAGTTCCAAGGATTCCTGGTCGCTGCACTCAGCGTCGTCGATTATGACCACCCACAGTGTTTCGAAGCAGCTTTTCATCAGTTTCAATAGAAATTTTCGTAACACTTTCCACTTCGCGATGTCGGTCAATGCGTTGTAGCGGTGAGTAATCGTGAAACGCACGTTGAAAGGTTGATTGAGGACGCAGAGGAGCTGCGTTTGACGCACCTTGCGGAGATGAAGAAGCAGCTTGTCCTCGCGTTCTTTGCGCGTCGAGGTGACGGTGAAGCCGAGTGGCATCGAAAATATCAGGTGAATCAGGTTGTATGGTGCCTGCACTGAGAGATACAGAATCTCTTTCAATTTTTCGTCGATCAGCTATTTCATTATTCGTAATTTGACAAAATTTACCACCGATCGATAGAGAGTCATTTTCACGTGTATTCTTAACGATAAAAAATAATTTAAAAAGAAATATTAATGGCTCATCACAGCATACAATAACACATAATCAATCACAAATTTTTACGATTATTACGTGTTACTATCAAATATTTTTATACAAGTTAGTAAGAAAAATATTTAATAATAACGAAGTAGATTGTAAATGTAAATTTATATAAAATTGAAAAGTGCAAAGTGTCAACCTTGGCGTCTTCTACGTGCAGAGGAATATAGTTGTAGTGAACACCGGATGGAATGTTTTGAGTGAATTCGTCCAGCAATCTAGTTTTTCCTATCCTTGGTTCACCTCTGTACAGGTACAATAATATGATAAATTTATTATTTGGTTTGTATAGCTTGGGATTAATCACGACATAGTAAAAATAGGTACTTTATGATTAGCGTATTATACGTTGGTCTTGGACCACGATTCATTATATCTTGAGTGGAATAATTCAACAATGTTACCAATATTTCATGGAATTGTTTCATTTCAGGCTCTCGACCGAGCAATGGATTTTTGTTCCATACTAAATCCGACACATTGTACCTAACAGATTGAACATAATTCTTGACGAATAGATTCTTCTTCTAGGTTTCGTTTCTTTTAAAATAAGATTCAAACAAGACTTACTTCGGTCTTTCCTGAAATTCGTAAATGGGACCAATGTTCGAGATCCCTTTTAAGTACCTTGGTTCCTGCAAGATGAAGTGTCTTGTTTCAAGATGGGAATGGAGAAAACTCTCTCGATCGCAAACAACCTAAAAATATATAAAAATTCAGTTATTTAAAAAAAACATACGACAGATATAATGAGTAGGTGCAAGAAAGCAAATATCTGTGGGGACGTTTTCTAATATTTTGTACAAGTTCAGCCACTTATTATTGAGTTCGAAAATTAATTTACTTAAATATATATACTATTAAGAGCTAATTTCTTTAAAAGTTTTTCGTGATTCTTACCCTATCGCGATATGCGACCATAAGTCTCGCAGCCTTGTTCACTGACATTCCAATCACAGTGTATTCTCTTCGCAAAATGTGACCCACGACCCCACAATACGTCATTCCTGTGGTCACACTGACAGTAACCGATTTCACGTTTCTCAACTTTAGAAGGCCTGTTCGTACCTTCGACGCGCATTTCAAACCGATTTGAGACTCTAGCTCGTGCTTGTCGCCTCGTAGACCGAAAATACAGAGAAACATTAGATCCTTGTCGAAGAGGGACGTTTTGTTCACGCATCCGTGCATTTCACCAACGATCCTTCATCGATAAATAAGGGAATATTTAAAAACGACAATTTTAAATGCTTATTTAATCAGAGGAACGTAAGCGTACTTGCAAACTAATTTGTAAGAAGAGTCGACCAAGGAAATTAACGTTCTCTTGTCCACGTTTGTAGTGATAACGTTGACGAATAGAATTACCACTTGTCTCATTTCTGTCAGATACTCCAAAGGCTCGTCCATTTCCACAGATCGTATCACTGGCCTCAACATGTAGCTCCTTAGGGCGTCTTTCAAACGAGCCCTCGCTATTTTTATGATCTTGGGACGTACTGAAACATATTTTAGACTTCATTGTATCCAATTATTTTAATAATCGCAGTTAAATGTCACGTACAACTGTAATCGACTTGTCTAAACTTTTCTCTCTCGAAAGTGTCGCCAGCTAGACTCATCATCACCGCTTCGGTTTCTGAGTCTGCGATTGCCTTTGGGATGTACATTGAATCGTAATCGATCGGAAAAAGTTCATCGTCATCGTCTGCATAAATCAGGCGGAACAGAAATTATTTCATGTCCACGTAATTTTGTATATTTAATGTATTGGAAATGTACTCACAATCAGTCGATCCTTTCCCTTCTGTGTTCCACATTAATGCATACAAAATACAATGTTACAAAACTGTGCGTGCAAATATATAAAAAGGAAGAAATAACCAATTTAAGATTTTGTAAATATTTTGTCGATTTCTACTTGCAAACATAAATATTAAATAGTCTTATAGCATCGTAGGTCAGTTTGTTTTTCTATTTACCATCTGTACTAATTTCTACGTCGTCTTCTCTAGACTGAAACCACGTGCTTGTGCAGCCTATGATAAGAGTGTGTATACCGTCTGGAAGTGTTTCGTGTACATATTCGTTGGGATTCACCCACTGCCAGCTACTCGGAGCCACCAGAATATCGCCGCCCCTAATCAAAAATATATGACAAATATTGTTAACTTTCTAAACTATCAATGAAGCAGGAAAATTAAACATAGCTTTTTTGATCATTTAACACTAAACCTGCCTGGTTAGCTTTCGATGTAAACAAGAAATGTATAACAAAGAAATCATTAGTTTCTATCTTAGAACAGTCTAAAACGCGTATTAAAAATAGTCAAACTTTGCATGCGTGCAGTTCCGAAACTACTAGTGTTTTATTAATTGTTGAGGTATTGTTAGAAGCGGCAAAGCCTTCCCTTTAAAATGGCTTTTGGTTTTTGTCGATCGGACTTTCCGTTTTCGAGATATCGTAATTTATATGAAGCGGTAATTTTTAAAATTCCGGTCTCCGTCTTCTGAAAGCCCATTAATGGGTATTAAAAATAGTTAAACTTTAGATGCTTGCAATTCCGAAACTACTAGTGTTTACTTAATTATTGAACCACTGTCAGAGACGGCAAAGTCTCCCCTTTAAAATGGCTTTTGAATTTTGTCGATCGGACTTTCCGTTTTCGAGATATCGTAATTTATGTAAAAGGTAATTTTTCTTAATTCGACTATCGCTGTCTCCGTCTAACGCGTCGCGTCGGACCTCCTTGTCGCACGTTGACCTACTGCCGAGTGACTGAGTGACGTCACGTTTACTATTTACTACGGTCACGTGACTTCATTGATCACGCAACGTAAACAAACACTTCCGGACCCTTATATCTCCGAAACTAGCCACCGCGTCGACTTGAAACTAAAATCGCCATATCTCCGGAACTAATTGAACTATCCACTTGTTCGAACGCTCATTTTAAAGGGTGTTTTATCCTCTATTCAATGAGCATAGAAATTGTTATTATTTATGCTGTCTTCCATGTTTATTTCGACATTTACTTTGACGCTCGACTTGAAACAAAAATTGTCATATCTCCGGAACTAATTGAGCTATCCACTTGTTCGAACGCTCATTTTAAAGGGTGTTTCATCCTCTATCACATGACTATACCAACTACTATAATTTTTGCTATCTTCTATGTTTATTTTCACATTTACTTTGACTCTATGCACCCAAAGACCTGGTGTCCGATAAAACTGTATTATAAATTGTTTTTTTAATCGAAAATGAACTTAAATTTGTATACAGAAAGTTTGTGTAATTACTAGCCAGTAGGTTTAGTGTTAATAACGTTTCGACTAGAAATTTGCAGCTTATATCAGATTTCCATCTGCAAATATCACAGAAAAATGTAAAATAAGCTAATAAGAATTTCTAAATTGAAAATTTGAAATTATATTAACAAAACGATTTTGTCATTACCGACAAAGACCCTCAGCGTATTTTACATCCCACACCGGTTTTCCAGTAATAATATAATGAGACATGGTGTTTGAGTCTCCGATAGATGTGAAGTACGTTTTTCCAGAGGCTATTGCTAACTTCACTGTCACAAAAAGTTCATTATATCTATTAAAAATGATTTTAAACGGAGAACTTAAAATGAAGTAGAATAACGTTGCTTTCATTTATTTTAGTTATTTTAATTTTATTTTAAAATTACTATAAAAATGGCCAGTGCAGTTATTTATAATTTTTTAAATGAAAAATTGTTAGAGCACCTTTTAAAGTCACTCCAACCTCGGTGTCGTAAGTCCCGAAGTGTTTTTGGATAATGCAAGCGGTTTGCATCGCTTCTATTGCCAAATCTCGCATCACCTTGCCATCGTTCAGCTTCCACATCACTATAAACGCGTCCCCCGAGAATTTCAGCAAATCGCCGTTGTGCGACAATATTTCTTGTACCATTGCACCGATATAGCTGTTCAATGTGTCCGTCAATTTTGAAGGACCACCTCTGCCTGTTTTCGTGTACTTCTCAGCGAGATCCGTGAACCCTATTACCCATTCGAGATTTCTTATCGAACAGAAGTTTCGAATTTTTATCAATTTTAATTCAATTCAAGTTTTCAGTCACTAGTTTGTAAACTGTCGTGACAGTCAACGTGTTAAACTACTCGTAGTAATTATTAGTTAGATTTTCGGATAAACAGATGATAATCTAAATCATAACAGATTTTCCTTACGAACTGGTACTGTTCTGTTATATGTACCTGATATATCTCCAAGCATCAAAGTGGTGTAATACATTCTAGTCTGATAATCATCGTAATGATCCAGAATTTCGTCCGGACACATCGAGGCGAATATTTTCGTGTGTTGTTCCAATTTTATCTGGAATGCGCGTGTCTGATGGTCCACGTCGATACCCTGACCGTTGTTTCGAAAATATTCTGAACGACGTATGGTTAATAAAGTTGAATAAAAGATCGTTAAATCAGTGCCGTATACAGGTTATATCAACTACAAACAATGTTTTTGTAACCCACCTCTTTCTTTTCTTATTTTACGCCTGTCCCTTCGCAAATTTCTAGCGGCATTATAGACAGGCTGATCCATATTATACTTTCGTAAAAACCCTGGCTCTGTTCAACTTATTTTAAATATTTCATCGAATCTAGTTACAATATGCAAACGGTATTCTTCGAAGCGAGGAAAAATTTATTCTTTAAGAAGCAAACTTCAGGGTATAAAATTTTATTTTCGCAAATTGCTACGTTCCAGTCAGAACTACAATTATATATGTACATATGTCGTGCAATTCACGGAATTATACTGCACATATTAGAATGTACAATCTATAAAAGATAAAACATGCACACGATACATGCAAAAGTTTATATCGAATAAAATTTCTTACCTTTTTATAATCGTTTCTGCGAAATTAAAGGTAGAAGCAACGAGAAAGAGGGGTTCTTAATTTCATTATGTGTGTTTATTTAACCGAATGTCAGATCTATAATAAACGCGTTGGAGAAGGGATCAGCGCTTAACAATGAATACACTTTTCGTGACAATAGACAATATGTGTTTATTTAATAGTCTCGCTATATAGATACTTATATGACTTGTCGCTCTAACAGATCGCTGCCTACAACGTGACGGCCGAATTTTATTGTGCCTGGCCCTACTATAGTTCCTTATTGTGCTTGAATCTATGATGGATCGACGTCACCTTTGGTATTCTTAATTACTCATTTTTTTTTCTCTTTCTTCACACCGTCGGCTGTCAGCTAACAATTGGATTATACTCGGCGTCTGTTCCGGACGCCGCGACACGTGAAACATGAGTCTCGTGAACGCAGGAATTCGTTCTTGCGCGGGTCTCTACGAAAGTAATGACTGTTTCTCTGTGTTCTAATGCAATCGCGTACTGATGTCTGCAACAGGATCGATGAACACATTTGTCTCGCGTTGTGTGTAGCTTGTCGCCAAAAACTTATCAATCATCCTTCATGAGCGATTTCCAAGTGATTTCGTGTACATAAAGCGAGATAATACAGTATTATTTTACACATCTTTCTCGATAATTATCAACTCGCAACTACACACACGCTCGCGCCATCGAGGGACAAATAAACAAAATTATATATATACAATAGTTTCCATGCGTTATCAAAGAATCCGCGCTAATCGATTAACAAACGTTTTACTGCTTACGAAGATATCAAAATCTTGAAAAATCCGCCTGCCATTCGTGTGTAGTTGCTGGTCAAGAAAAACCGTTCCTTAAACGATACAAGAATTAGACGAAAGTGTACGCCGCAACAATTTTTTTTTCTTTTTTCTTTTCTTTTTTCGAACATTTCGCAATCGATCTTCCCGCAATGTCCCGCGTTATGTCGCTCCAGATCGGGAGACATCGGCTTCGATGGAAGAATTCTCGATAAAAACGCGACGCATCGGTACTCGACGAAATGTGCATGTGATTAATTATTACATAAAAAAATGTCTTTTCACGGTTTCCCAATGCAGGAACGAATCCTCGCAAAAGATACGCTTTCGCCCGGTCGTGAAAGCACTTTTGTCTGCGACGGAACCATTGGCGAATGGAGAAACGTCGTACACGTGCCCAGTCGCGTAAACACATATGTATATGTATACATTAATCGTTATATTTATATATGGTGCTTTCGATCTCCGCTATAATGTACATGTTGGTTCGCGCGAGCAGGTGTACGCCGATTCCACGCGACCAATTTTCGGATAATTCCTCTGGAGAACGGTTCTCTCGCATTCCACGATAAATCGGTAAAAACTCTTCGATTTTACGAACGCTCCGGTCGAGGTGGTTTTGTACAAATTTATTTTCAATTCGATAAATCTCACGGGGCTTCTTGTCAAATAATACTTAAATCCGGTTAGTTAATTTCTGCAGAGGCACTGGAAGTTGCTCCTGATTTTAATTTTCACGTTTAATTCTCAGCTCTCTCCTTGCGGCAAGGAATCAATTTACTTCGTAACGACCGATGGATTTTAATTACGCGTGGCCAGAATGCTCGAAAACCTTGTCCAGCTCGCAGACCGAAGCGGCCGGGCCTCGAACGTCTCCCGTCGGCGTCGTTCAAACCAAGAAGTTCAGACAAACGGGGAACGCGCACAAAAGATTTTTTCCATTTCACATATTATTACTTTTTTTTTTTCATTTTGCATTTTACGACAAACGTGACTCGTTATATAATGGCACACAGCATGGCAGTTGCAACAATGTACTTCAATAAACTGTTTACTTTTTTTTCTTTTCTTTAATAGCTTATCTTAGCTTACTCGTTAAACTTATGTATCTCTAGCCTCGTCGCTTTCTTCTCCCACTGTCGTCGACGTACCGTACGATCGAGGATTCCCCACGCGACGGGAGAAAAGAAAAAAAAAAACATAGCGAAATCACCGGTCCGCGGGTATTCCTCGATCGCCTCGATCGTCGTTCGCTCGTTCGATTGAGCGTCGCGAAGACTAAATATAGGCTTTGACTCGCTTTCTCGTTCGCAACCGTGTCTCTTTTTCACAGTTTCTCGCTCTCTAATTCGCGCCACACGCATTTATTATCGTTCCCTTAGGTATGTACACGCGATCGAAAGTCGCATCGCGGCTGTAATTAACGAACACGGTGATCAGCGATACTCGATCCTCTTTTTCTTTCTTTATAATTTTGTAATCCGTTTCGCGTAACGTCGTCGTGCCTCTTCTTCGTTTTTCTGTCTGTCTCGCTTAGATCCTCTGTTTCACTTAACGATTAAACACGTAGAAATTGGAGAATAAAAAAAGGGGGCGGGAAGAGCCACAGAGTCGCGGCGGCGTCTGTTTCAAGGAGGACTCGCGGCCTAATTTCATCGTACATTCCTCTTCGAGCAAATCGTGTGGCTTTCGCATGATCGTTTCTTTATCTTTGGTTGCGAATTTATTTAGTTTTTTTGGTAGGAACGGCCGCGGTTCCAACGTGGATCGTCGTGACGCCGCCGCGTCTTTCCTTACGCAATATTTCACATAAAAACGTTTTTCGTCGTAGATACTAAACAGTCGAGTCGAAAAATAATATCGAGACGGTCTCGTTCACGCGCTCTCACGACTACTCGCTTTCCACGCTTCGCATTTTCACTCGTGTTCCACGAACAGTCACAACTTAGGATCACTCGAGTTATCCGGAGGGCTGCGCGGGAACAACCCCTGTCTGCGTTCATTTGTTCTGTTTAGTAATTGGAGGGCAGTCGATCAACTCTTTATTCGACTATGAGGAACGTGGAAACGTCCGCGTACCGTTAGAAACGATTTTTAGAGAAATTTTTTTAAACTTCGTAGTTTGTTTCCACAATAATTTTTCTTCTTCTCCCGTTCCACTGTTTGCCGAACAAAGGGTTGATTTTGCTTTTTTTCTTTCTCGCGATTGTTCGTTCAAGTTCGAAGACCGAGAAGAGTCAAACCATCGGTTTTCCTCTTCGTCATCGAACTTGAGGACCGCCTGGCGTCGTCGATTCTCAGGAAATCCTTCTGAGCGTCGTCCCAGTAACGCGTTAACGCGTCGCGAATAAAATTACCACGACGCTTTGTCCGCCATTCATGCTCGTCACTCGGTTTCTCCGTCGTATTCCCTTCGCCTTTTCTCACATATTCGATACAACTTTTAAGGAGACACTATTTTAAATAGAACGACGTAACATCGAAGCATTTCGTCACACATCTCGCTTGACAATTTATTCGTTAAACAGTCTTAAAATTGAAGATAAGTTAATCAATCATTTAAAGCGATTACACCCTACGTTTACAACCTTTTAATTTTTTTTTTTCTAATAAAGACGCGACGATGATAAGTGTCGGAATGATTGTTTTATTACTGATTGAAGTGGATACTTAAATAGTTCGGAATATAAAGAGTGCCGGTAGAAGATTTGTAAGATTCGAAAAGTTGCTCACAGGCCATTTTAATCCTCGAGCGATCGAAAGAAAGACTCTTTTTCTTTTTTTTTGTTTATTCACCGATAGACACGCACACAAAACACAGTCACACCTCGTTAACAATTGTGTCGATTAACGATAATATTAATTTTTTTTCTGCTTAGCTATATTTATATATAATGTAACACGATGATATAGGCTTGATATGACGGTGGCACACGTTTACTAACCGTTTCTTTTCATTTTATTTCCCCTACTTCGTCTCTGCTTTCTCTTCTGTACCTCGTGCGTCTCTCTCTCGACCCGATCGTCGCCAAAAAAAGCAAGTCTCGTTGTTCTCGTAACTGGCAAACGTAGCAGCGAGAACGAAAGCTCTCCGTAATTATTGTTTCGTGCTATAACTATCTCAAAATTCCTCGCCAAAGAACCGACGTCAAAACGAACGTTTCGCAACTAGGTGAACAAAAGTCGACGCGAACGAAAATTAAGACTGGCATCACGCGGGGGATCGCGGTTCGATTATCAAACTGAGAGTCTTCGTTCTTGGCTTCCCATAGCACCCTTTAATCGCCAATCGGCCTTTTGTAATTTATCTTTCAACTTTTTTCAACAATAATTGAAACATTATCGCGTGACTGCCATCACTGGGTCGTTTTTAAATCTCATTCGTATTGAAGGGAGTATCTAAAGTGGGGGGACGTAAACAGTGATCGTTGGTTTCTTCTCTCGAACGCGAATGCGACCCAGCGATGGCAGTAGAACGTCAGAAAAATTGATTTCTCAACGATCGTCTTCGATTCGTAAAAATGGCCCGTCGACTGTTGCGATCTTCCTCGTTCTGTGTTCTAAACGCTAACATTATTTATTCTACGATCAACGCCCGGGTCGAGACAAGAGACGACGGAGGCGTCTCCGACTGAACGTAGTCGTTTCGTTTATTACACAGGGTAATAACAGGTTCGTGTCGCCCTTGACGATCGTCTACCTTGCGTACGATTCCGATTGCCCGTTCGATTCCGGCGTGATCTGGCTTCTAAATAGTAGAGTTCGCAAAAAGTCTTCGGGGATCTGAGGGGATGGGGGTGGTTTCGCGTTGCAGTCCGCGCACGGGGGCGTCAGAGATCGATTTTAGAGTGTCGTGTACCAGCAACGAGAAAGAGCGCATTATCGACGAATTTAAAGAGAGCATCTTTTTTAAAGTATTAACGATAAAATTTTACACTTTCAACATGTCGCTTAACTCTCCGTACGGCAGACCGACAATATATGTATAGTTTTTTTTATTCTTATATATATATATAAATATATATAATATGTATACAGTGAGCGAGAGGCGGGCGAAGAGCGCGTCGTTCGTTTTCAATTCCCTGGGGGAGGGGGGGGTCACAGTGTCGATCCTCTCGCGATCGAAACCGCGTCGTTCGTCGTTCCTCGACTGGGAACGACGCGCTTCGTCCGCGTCGCTTCCGATCTGTTCAATTCGCAATGGCGGCCCAGGACGTACCCGATCGAATGGCGAGACCGATTCGAACAACGGACGAATAGAAACACGGTTCGATACGATTCCATTCGTCGATGGTGGATAATTGCTTCGTTCTCCGCGGAATCCCGGGCCGTCGTACCGGGAATCATGCACTGGGTTTCACTATCAGCTCGTAAGGTTGTAATGCTCGATGAAATTCGTTTAGCGTGATATTATATCTATGTATACACGTAGTACAGGTGTAATCTAGTCGTTACGCGGGAACCAGAGCAAGCACAGGTGCGGGACCACGACTAGCAGGGTCTATCGAAGTAAACGTCGACGTACGATTTATTTACAAAAAACGACTCGTCCATTTTTCTACTTATCGCTATTCCTTATCCCCGTTGTCCCGATGTCGACCAATTTCGCTGCCAGCCAACGAACACGGACCGTGACAATCGCCACGACGCGAATCGGGAGGCTATCAGATATCCATCCAGATCCCGATATCGTTCCGAAAGCTGGTCAGTACCAACACCCGATGTCTCTTCGCCGCGTCTCTACGTCGTCGCGCGTCCATCCTCGTCGGAAAACGAGTTTCTCGCCAATTGTCCCCTCTGTTCGCCCGAGACAACCGTTTTTGGCCGTCGTCCTGGATAACTTCTCCGAGACGCACGAAGAAAACGCCCCTGGAGGCGTCGCACGACCTTCGTTGTTAACCCTCTATTGCATTAACTTTATTTTACCTACCAAGAGGCGATCGTTTCTTGGTCACTTAAGTAATAAGTCGGACTAAGTAATAAATGGTTAAATCTGCGGGGCTAGAAACATCGTCCCTGCAAAGTTTCCTCGTCTAATGGGGATTGCTTTTCGTTGGATTCCCGGTATTCGGGAACATTATGCAATAGCGGGTTAAATATTTTAAGTTTCTTTCGCGAGACGGAGGAGCTCGATTCCTTTGTCGAGACACGTCGTAAAACTTCTGAAACGATCCGTAAAGTTCTACTAAGCTACAACCTATTCCACAACGCCGTTCTTTCTAGGTAAATCTTACAAAGTCGAAAACAAGATTTGCCTGCATCTTCTTGGCGAGCAACTCAAAGGGATCGTAACCACGTCTATGTAAAATCGCCCCCGAATCTTAATCTCGTTCTATATATATATATATATATATATATACGTATTCATCGACTATTTACACGGATAAAGATTTTGCAACAATTTCAATAAATATCGATCTATCGTGTCAGTCGACGAACGAAAGCTTCGTAACAATCTCTATAAATATCTGCACGGCTGTCAACGTAAAATAGACACGTACCAAGTGATCCAGGCTGAGAAACTATATGGAAGTTGTTCCCGCGGGTCAACAGTTTCTATATGCTTCGTGATAATCGTAGTTCGAGTAAATACCGATTGCAATCGTTATCTATGATTAATATGCTACAACTGTGTACACGAGTTTATTGACGTTTATATATTAGATTACGCGTCCAGCGTACGAACATCGATCTCCGTCGCTGACGCAGTTTTACGCGCTACGTACGCGCGAGATTATTTTCATTTCGTATCTAGTCGTTTTCCGAATGCTTAAACGGATTAATTCTATCGATTCGAGTAACAGTTCGCGATTAAAATTCGCGACGCATGAACGTTCCAATAGGATGAAAAATGGCTCGATGGCGTTTCCCTCGTGCGTCCCTTCGACGTATCCCAAGCAGATCGAGCGACGCGCTGGCTGCGCGAAACGTTCGTTTATTGTCATCTTGAAAGCTAATCGACACCACGACTCGAGCTTTTCTCCCCCTTCTGTTTCTTCTCAGTTCTCTCGTATAATCCCGAAACCACTCTGGCCCGTTTCGAGGGTCGTTCGAAAGGGGATGATCCCTCGCGCTACAAATTATCTCCTACGACGATCCTACTATATCTTTTTTCGTCTTTTATTTAGTTTCCTTATTCCCGTTTTCCTTCAAACTAGAGCTCTAGGCGCTCGTTATTACAACGACGATCTTTGGACCCGTGACAAGAAATCTAAAAAAAGGAAAGTTGGGTCGGGAAAGAATTGCACGCGATCATCGATCCCTACCATTTGTTCTCTCATCGAGCCACTCGAATCGTGGGCGACGGAGAGAGATAGATCGACGATGGGAGGGAGTACGAGGTTGCAGGAGTCGATGGCAGGTGAGTTGTGGTTTGGATCGCGGAACGCGAAGAAAGGCGTCGTTCCTGACGAAGCTCGATGAAATTTGCAACAATGTAGTGCCAAGAGTGATGAATTTAATTCACGGAGGAACGACTCCTTTCTCCTTTGACTCCTTTAACGCGTTCGTTGTAAATGGATGTAACTCCTCAACAAACATGTCAATGTTAGCCATGCTATATAGTTGCGTCACCTGATACGCTGGACGAGGATCAAACCGCCACCCTTACGTCGTGCGTTCGCGAACTTCGCGAATAATAGAGAAAGAAATGCACGCTCGAACGAATACTCGACATATTAACGATCGATGATCAAACCTTGCTGAAAGCAGAGCATCCCCGGAGGATTCTGAGACATGCAACCAACTGGTCTACCAAAAGAACTACCTAAATTCTATCGTAACAATTGTACCGATCCTCCATGGACGCTCCGTTTCGATTTTATTCCGGAAATTGTTTTCTCGTTGTTCGTTTGCCGCGTGCATGCCTTGGATTATCTATAAATCAAAGACGCGTTGACAACGAAACCACGGGCAACGTACACGTTTTTTGGACGGTCGTCCACGCGCTCTAAAGACTCGAAGAAAGCATACACCGTTGCCTCCTAAAAAGATATCCGCTGACGGATCATCGCGCGTCCTCGGAACGGTTCTCGCGAAATGGCGAACCTCGTCAAACGATTTCTCTGAAACGAGGCCACCAGTGCCTCACGGAACGATCCTCCTCGGCTGATTCCATGGGACTTTTCGCAAGGGCGACGTGCTTGGATGACTGTGATCGAAATGATGAATGGCGAAGATGATGATTAATGGCGATGATGATCGCGATGATGCTGATGGATACGAATGAATGATGAACGACACGGGGATGCTGTCTGTCGGTATTGTCGCTGTTGGAGTCGATGAGGTATCTCTGTTGGCTGTTGGTTTCTCTCTAAGACTCTAGAAATGCTCTAGACTGCCTCTACGGTTGCGTGTGTGTGCACATGACAACATCGAAGAAACGAAGAGAGACCGTTTGTTTTTTTTTTTTTGTTTTCTACACCGTAATAACCGTAGGCGTCTCGAGTACTTATCTGCTATCCCGCCGATGGGCCATCGGATGGTCTCGCGTGCTTCGCGATTCTGATCCGTTCGGTGTCTTCTTTTTGCTGAAAACACGACACGCGAAGTTTCTTCCACTGTCGCATCAGATGACATTCTATTCGTGGAACTTTGCAAAAATGTTCGTTGGAAACTACCGCTTAAACAAAGAAATTTGCCACTCGCGAAAACGTGGTTGTTCCCTCGATCTGAATCCAATAGAACATTTGGTGGGGAATTTTATTATTTTTCTGGCGAGACCAGTGAACGTATGTGCAAAGTTTCGATAGTTCGGTGGTACTTCCTTCCGAGATTAATCGAACTTACGTGTGAGCACAGCTGTCGCCATTCGTTGTAGCCGGACGCGGGGAACTCGAATCGCTGCGACGATCGTTCGAAGTTTCTTCGTCGTCGTCAGATGTTTCCAGAACTTTTGTAAGCAGCTGTGGTGTTGTTCCCTCCGAGCCACTCGAACCAGACTCTATCGATAATTCGATGCTCTTCTCGTCCTGTCAAATAGCAGATTAGATAAATTTGTAAAAATGTTAAAATTTACGAGGAATCAAATCCTAAATCTGACTTTTGTATGATGAAGTCAAGGTACTGTTGTATATTTCGGGCTCAAGTATTTTAAGTGCTTCGAGGATACTTCGAACTAAATTGTTATTAAGAAACATATCTTTCTTTTCTTCACTGTGACCGAATATAATAAATTACCTCTTTCTTCAGCATGTCCAATAGCCTCTTCCTGTCTACCATCAACTGTTCTGCTTGTTCGGACTGAGCAGCAGTTTTTATCCCGGAATGTTCCAGCAACGCCAGATGAGCGTCCTTCTCAGAGACTGCAGCTTTCAAAGCTTCTCGTCTATCATCGAATGAAACTTTATTAGCAAAGTTCTCGATAAAAGTAACAGTTTCTTTGCAAAAAGAATTTCTGTGTTGATTCCAAGATGGTTCCTAGTGTTTCGTAACTAAGATTTTAATCTACTGAAAAATTATATTTTTAAATTGCTCACTTTACTTGACGGAGATCCTCGAGTTGCATAGTTCTTTCTTCGGCGAGACGTTGAAGCTTCGTTTCGTACTTTTGCAGTTTAGAGAGAAGGGGCTGACAGGTGATGCATTTCAACGCAGAAGCTGTTTGCATCGAAGCGATTCTCTGTTCCAACTTGGCTACCTGCGAGAAAAACGATCGGGTAATTTACCTAGGGTGTTTCGTTGAACGAGTCATTTTGTCATTCTTTGATATCTAGATTAACCAAACGTGTTTCTGCTTACTCTTTGAAGGGCGTCCTCTCTCGTTTTCTCATCGTTCTTCGATTTTCTCTCGCTGTCGCTCGCGATGACGACGCTTTCGCGAAGAGCTTCCGTGAGTTCCTCGATCTTGCCTTTTTTCTCCACGAGATCCTTGAACATCAGTCGTTCCTTGTCCTCCTTTTCCTTTATAACCTTCACCAGCTCTTCGATCTGCTCCAGATCGATCTTCTCCAGATCGATCCTCTCGTTGAAGGCCCTTTCCAGAGAGTCTACTTCGTCCTCGAGCTGTACGATCCTCTCATCCCTGACTCTGATCTCCTCCTTCAAGATACCGATGTCGTCGTACTCGCTCAGCTCCTTCTTCAGAGTAGCCGTCTCCTTTCTGAGCTTCGCTATCTCGTCCTTGCACTCGACGATCTGCTGCTCGTACGCCTGTATCCTGTTGTCTTTCTCGGAAATAGCGTGCTCCATCTTCATCATCCTCTGCTCCTTATCGAACAGCTCTGAATTCTCGTCGGTGATCAGGTGGCTGCAGGGAAGATCGTCTGGCTTCATTCCTGTCTCTCTTTCTTGCACGTTACGATGGTTCTTTTGCACTTCCTTTCCTGGAAATTTATGCGACAAATTGCAGAAACTCGTTCGTTAAACTATCGTAAAAATTAATCTTTACATCCAAGGGGAGGAAAAAAACACGAGTCTTCGAGCGTTAGATAAATTCTTTGGTGAAAACGTTCCAAAACTTGTAAATCATTATTAATCTTTACGTTCATCGTACAATCAATCTGGCATGTAGATCGAAAAACACTAATAAACAAGAATATAATGAGACGAACATGCAGACAAACATGATCCTCTGAACGTGGGAAAGAATAGCGAGTATCTGGAATATCCAAGGGAAACAATGTTATCGTTCTTCTCAATATTTTCCAAGAAGATAAAACCGTTCTACCTAAAGAAATCGAAGAATTAGAATTTACATTTTTCTTTGAAACCCCTATTATAAAAGTTCTATTTCAGTCGATTTAACAAGATTTATCGAAAAAGCTGACTGTTTTGAAAACATAGAAATTTTGTAAAGAAACGTTACTACGTCAAACTCTTGGCAATATTACATCGTTCATAACATTCAAAGAACCCTGATTCCTAATTACCCAATCGATCATCGTTCTTACCTTGACAATTTTCCTCAACCTTCACCAGTTCCTTCTCCAAATACCCAATTCGGTTCTGCAGCTGTTCGATCCTGCACTCTCGATCCTGCAGCTTCCTCTTCAATCCATCCACGTTGTGCTTCCTCACGTACTCCTCCAGCTGCGTCACCATTTCCTCCAGTTCGACGACCCTGCCCTGATCGATCCTCGCCTCCCTGTTCTCGCCGTTCTTCTGGATCCACCTCTCCAGCTCCTGGATCCTTCTATTTCCGGCGGTCACCTGGCAACGCAAGTCGTGCAGCTCCTTCACGTCTGGATTCTGCTTTAGAAAGTCCTCGAACTCCGCCACGGTGTCCTCCAGCTCCTCGATCCTCCTGGTCTTCCTCTCGATCGCGATCTCCAGCTCCCGTACGCTCTCTGTGTCCGCGTGCTCCCTGAGAAAATTCTCCAGGGACTCCATTTCCTGCTCCAGCTCCACGATTCGTCGATTCTTCGCTTCGATCACCTGTTTCCAGGACTCGTCGCCCTCTTTGACCGTGGTTTCGTTGTCGCTGCATCTCTTTACCTTGTTTATTTGACCATCCTCCTTGACCAGCCTCTTCAACGACTCGATCTCGCCCTCTAACTGCGCTATGCGACCGTTCCTAATCTCCAGCTCCCTCCTCCAGGTGTCTTTCTCCTCCCTCAACTCGTCCGTCAGCTTTGGACTCTGCGCGGACGCGACGTTCGCATCCTCGACGGTCTTGCAGGCGACCAGTTCACCCTCCAGCTCGGCTATACGTCTGTTCTTCGTCTCCAGTTCCTTCTTCCAGCCGTCGTTGTCCTCCAGGCTGACGTTCCTCACGTCCTTGATCTTTTTCGAGCACGCGTGCTCCTTCAGCAGCTTCTCCAGGGCGGACGCTTTCGATTCTAGCTCCGATATCCGTCTGTCCTTCGACTCCAGCTCCTTTCTTCTGCTTTCCTCGACGCCTCTGGCGTTTTCGGCGCGGGACGCGGCGATCTCCAGGTCCTGTGTGCGTACGTCGGTGCGCGTGGACGTCGTGACCGTGCGTGTGCAAAGGCGACGGGTGACAACGCAAAGAAAAAATAAGTGAACGAAAACAAAACGGCGAAACATGGGGGATAAAGGGGGGTGGGTGGGCGTAATGCAGGAGTTCGATCACCGTGCGACATCGAACGGTTTCGTGCATCGAACGACGTAAGGGTGCGTCTCCGAATGGCTGTGAACCGTACCACGATCCGTAATGGGTCTCTTTTTCTTTCTACGTGACGTCTTGGTGTGGCTCGTGATCGTTTCTCATTTTCTATTTTACTTTCGTCGATTCCATCGTCCATGGCATGTGACGACGCGTGGTTAACGTGTCTCAGCGACTAAAATGATCCGGGCTTTCTCTATTTTCCCTCTTTAGCCGCGTTCTCTGCCTCGGCCTCTCTCACCATTTTACATCTTAGATTTATGTATATATTTATATTTATATATCTACATACGTATATCTCTGCAGCGTACGTGTATATACACATGTACACACATGCGTCTGTCCTTTCTCTTGCGTTAATATGTATATATGTATATACATATATACACATATATATATCACCGCGTCGGTAATAATAATTAACATTATTGTTGCCGTTTCCCTCTCTCGTTACCTTTACATTTATATTTATATATATATCTATATTTATTTATATATATATATATATTTATATATATATCAATAATTATTGTTATTATCGTCATTATCTTCCCGCTATAATTATTAAATACGATAACAATGGTCGCAGCGTTACGTAAAATAATTATATATCTTGACGTGTGTTGTCCATGGGCGAATCGGTACGATCCTTTCGTTTAATTAGTTTCGTATAATAAGTTCGTGTACTTGTAAAGTTCCGCTTAATATGCAAATTGTACTAAAAAGAACGGAGAAGGCGTCCCCAACGAAAATCGACCTTAGAACAAGCTTTTTAGGAATCCGGCGGGACCCGCCTGCTTTTTTTAGAAATTTTTTTTTTTTCATTTCGAAGCGCAACATTGTCATTCGTAAACGCACGGATCCGATTCGGTTTATATTTTTTGTCGCGTTTACCGTTCGTCGTTTGTTTCGGGGCCGGGGGGACACAAACATGGAGGAACAAACACAGACAGAAAGCAAACACGACGAATCAAGCAAGCAAATATGTAAGTGTGTACGTGTCGTGTCCAGGGGCAGCGTGGAAATTCAAGAAGAAAATTCGTTAGTCGTGTTCCACTGTTGATCGATCGCGACCAGAATCGGCGAGCGAATCGCGACAATGCGTCAGATTCGCGCAAAGAAACAAGAATTAACTGGATATAGGAAATTTTAGAATTATTTGTAAATTAACTTCAATTTACTTTTTATTCAGAATCTAATTTACGAACGAATCTAAAATTCTTATTCGTTCATCGTGAATAAAACTTCCATATCTTCGTTAACATTTTTAACCCTGGAATACTATAATGAGACACTGCATTTTCCATTCACTTTTGTCAACGATTTATTTGCAATTCCCATTGAGTGTTTTTATACTCTGATTGTCGATATACTGTGAACTAGAAAACTGTACTTAACTGATAATGATAAATTAAGAACATAATTCTTTTTCAACCATTTAAACCCTGCTTTTGTTTATACAGGGTGTTGGACCACCCTTGGGAAAAATTTTACTGGGAGATTCTAGGGGCCAAAATAGGATAAAAATCATGGATACTAATTTGTTGATTGAGGCTTCGTTAAAAAGTTATAGAAACATTTCCGGTCACACAGTATAGTTTCGTGAAAAGAATTTTTTTCTCGAAAGTACGTAGGATTTCGGGGGTATGTTTATTCACCAAAAATTATTGCAATTGACCCTCCCAATCAAAACTAATTTTTCCGTGAATGATTTGAAATTTTTTTTTCGCCAGTAAATTTCAGCATACTTGATTTTTTTTCTCGAAAGTCTGTAGGAATTCGAGGGTATCTCTATTGACCAAAAACGATTGTAATTGACCCCTGCAACCGAAAATAATTTTTTTAGAACGATTTGAAACAATTTTTATCGCTGAAAAATTTCAGTGAAACATATCAACGTATGGTCAGACATTGTATTTTCGGTGAGGAATTTTTTTCTCGAAAGTGAGTAGGATTTTGGGGATATGTTTATTCACCAAAAATGATTGTAATTGACCCCCGGAACTGAAAATAATTTTTCCGTGAATGATTTGAAATTTTTTAATTTAATTTCTTAATAACTTTTTAATGAAGCCTTAATCAACAAATTGATATTCTTGATTTTTGTCTTATTTTTGCCTCTAAAATCTCCCATTAAAATTTTCCCCAAGGGTGACCGAACACTCTGTATAGGTGTAGTATTGCAGAGTTAAACTTTCCAATTAAGTTTCCAAAGAGTTTTGAATTATTGTTACTTGTTGGAAGAATTTCTTTGCGCGAATTGAGTAAAGATTAGTTCTCGAATGGAAAGAAAAACTATTTTAATTATGAAGTATATCGTTATCGTTCGTTTCTCTTTTAAATATAAATTATAGAACTTAATAGTATCGTAATCGATTTAAGCAATTCATTTATATATATTCGCGTTAATTATTACTTGCCGTACGATTGTAAAATTCATTATGTAAATATTAGTAAATTTTATATAAAATAAACATATTTAGAATCAAATTGGTTGCTTGGATCGTCTAAATACTATTAAGTTTCTAAATTTCAGAATGTAAGAAAATTGATTGAACCGTGAATTGCACACTGACCTCTTGTTGCTGTGCAGTTGCGGCTTGTTTCAACTTGGCTTGTGCGGCTTTTAGTGCACTGTAAGAAAATAAGAAAATATTTTCGTAAAATATTGATCGTTCGATATGCTCATTAGGTATGATTCACTTGGTCCACAACGTTGAGAAATAAGAAAGTTAAAATTTAACGATATCAAAATTTTTTACTAACTCTTGAAGTTCTCTGATTTGTCTCTCTTTGGAGTTCTGCTCTTCCTGAGTCATCTGCATCAGCTGCAGTAGCCTCTCGGTCTCGGCAGCGCTTCTGGTCGACTCCTGTTTCGCGTTTTCCAACTCTTTCTCTGCAGCTTCGAGACTCTTCTGCATTTCCGCCAATCTTTTGTCCGGCGACCCACCGCTCTGCTCGAAGAAACACAAATGAAACGCGTATTAAACATTTCTATAGAAGGTCGACTATTCGATCGCTATTTTGATATAATTAAAGTGAAACAAATACTTTTAAAGCTATTCACTGCAAATAAGCTGGATGTATACAGCATCTACTGATGATGAGTCAAGTTCTAGATTTTACTATTTTAGATTCTATTATTTTCTATCACCATACTCTCCAATAAAGAAGTCCGTGGAACAAGGTTTTTGACAAATTAAATTTATCAGAAGGTGAATATAATTTGAAAATGGATTAATTTGGAGTGAAAAAATATTTTGAGGTCATTGAAATCAACGTGGACCATCATCTATATAATTACTCAGGTAATACTGTTCTCTTGCAATTTGACAATAATTCACAGACGAAAGGGTCGATAGTGATTGATTTCGACAAGGTGAAATGATTTTAGCGTGTCCCTACCCTCTGTAACTGCTGCTCCAGCTGGTCCATTTTCGCTTTCCGTTTCTTCAGGTCCTGGTCGAGATTTTGGAGCGTCCTCTCCTTCTCCTCTATCGTTCTAGCTTTCTGGTCTACGGACTTCGCTCGTTCTTCCATCTGTCTTCTCTGGTCCTCCAGTTGTCGTTTCTGTTCCTCCAGCTGTCTTCTCTCTTGAGTAGTGTCGGTACCAGGTTTCCCGGCGCCAGCTTGGAGCTTCTTCGACGCCTCGTGCAGGTCCACCTGCGTCGAAACAATATTTGTAATTGCGTTCCAACGCGTCCACGAGACGCTACAGCTAGGCTTGAAAAGCCGCCATACTAGGGCCGCGACCATTCCGCAGAATTTGCAATACACGGGGTGCCTGACGCGTCCAATTTATCGTTGCTACCAAAGTGCAAGCTACTTAAATAACTTCATTCGTTTTCAAGCTCTCTCCGATCAACCTGAACCTTCTCAACTTAAATACATTTATCACTCTTTCCAAGAGCGATCGATTTTCGTATCGTTTCGGAATACGGTAATCATGAGCTAAAAGAAAAGGGCAAATTATACTTTCTGAGACTTGGTACCATTTGGAAAATAATTACAAACTATATTCTGCGAATCTACCCATCGGAAAGCATTCTAATCTTTAGCTTATCACTACGGTATTTCTGTGATACACAAATCGATTTCTCGGGAGAGTTTCAAAAATAATAAATGCATAATTTAATCTATGATACGCGACGGAGAAAAAGTATGTGTCGATAACGGTTTAAAATTATTTTTCAAAATTAATTTGGATTCTTGGTAGGGATAGTTGGAGCTCGCAATCGGCGCAACTCTGAAGCTTTTGAAAGCCCGTCAGAATCAACCACAGCGTCCTCGAAATTGTCTAATGGCCGTCTGGAGAAACGTTTCAATGTTGGTAATTTGAATGAAATTTGGATCGATCGACGGGGACGTCTGTGTTCCATTGTTCGTCATGGTCACGGCGCCGGGTAAAATGAGAGATGGATGAATCGCAATTAAAAATAAGTTACGCACGTTCGAGAACGCTCTCTCGCAATCTAGTGACGTTTTCGGCGAAATATGCTGGGCATGTATAAATATATATCGAAAAATGTCACCAGGTGGACAGATTCGTGTCTACAACGAAGAACAAAACGCACGACGCGCGAGCGTGCACCGATCAGAGAACGATAAATTCGCCGCTTTTGATCGTAGCCATTTTCCATCCCTGGGATCGGTACGTGCTCGCCGAACGAAACCAAGGGAACAAAAGCAGCGATGGTCGCCATGTTGCGCGTCATCCGGTCGCGACTCAGGAGACGATCTTCATAAAATCGATAGATTAAACGCACAATTTCTTTCGTTCGTCTCCTCGTCGTCGCTGACGGTAATAACAACAACAAACATAACAGCAAAAAACGGCATAAACGATCGAATAGTAAAAAGTAAACGAAAAGAAAACGAGCGATGAGCGCGCGAATATGGCTGTGCTTGAAAATGGTCGCGCATCGAGCGCAGCGCGACGCAACGCAGCGTGCTTTGCATTGTATATTCAATATTGAAATTCAGTTGCTGTTTCGTTTGTTCACAAATCACACGGATCATATTGATCATTAATTTCACCGTATTAAATTATTGATACGAAAGAATGTGTTACGTCCTTCTGTCATTTTGGGGAAGTAAATAATAATCTACGAAGGAGAAAGTGATTTTTTAACTATGAATCACGTTTTACTGTTCAGAATTCCATAATGAAATTCCAGAGAACTATTCAATTAAGTTAAGAATCAGTATCATGGAAGGCCAGCCTCGGATCTAATCTTCTCATTCAACGTTTTAAAAGGAAAAACTATTTATTGTGTTAGACTCTGGTAATAATAGTGATAAAAAATTACTAGTCTAACGCTTTCTGGTAGTGGTGTATTAAAGGGTAGAATCAAGGAGGTTAGATATCTTGGGTACTCTTAATCGCTACCTTCGTACCTTCGAGATAAATCTGATCTTTCATTTGGATCAGTAATGTACAGAATCGAACTACCTATAAGGGTTCCCAATGATAAAACATTCGATCTAGCAAACAGACAAAGTGTAGACCTTTTCTCCCGTTGGACGAGTTCGTTTACACACTACATTGCCAAAGTATCGATTAATAAGTCCTGTTTACGAACGAAATGAATAAAATCCTGCGTTGCGCTGCGTCGTCGTGCGCGCCGCGCACGGTTAGCCTGGTGATCGCAATGGTCGTCGGGGATCGTGGGTGGGAATATCTGAATGGGTATGATATATGATGAGGGCGATGTTGCGCTTCGCTGTGAAGTGTGACGAACGCCCGGAGATTATACATGTACGCAACACAAAGATGAGAAAGATGTGCGGGTGCATCGTTTCCGGTCTCGTCTGTATATATACATGATTATATTTTGGTCGTGATCGTTCTATTATATTTAATTATTTTTTTTTTTTGCGGCGTGTATGAGCTGTGGGCGAGTTCTGCTTCGTCGACGACGAAGGCAGAGGCTGCGGTTTAAATGAGAAGACATAGAGAGACGAGAGGCGCGGTGTGTCGGTAGCCGGTCGACAACGATCTGCCACGGTTGGCGGACAGAGGAGTGCAGACAGTGCGGGTGTAGGCGTAGTGTAGGTCAGCGCGAGCGAGTGCAGGTCGTGCTGCTAACCTGATTCCTCTCGAGTTCCTGGCACAGCATTTCGAGCTGCGCCTGGAACCGCTCGCGCTCGACGGCCGCCTGCTTAACCTCCTCTCGCGCGCGTTCGAGCTCCTTTCTCAGCCTGGCGGCCTCCTGGCCGTTCTGTTGTGGTTGCTGCTGCTGCTGCTGTTGTTGCTGTTGTAGCTGGTGCTGTTGCTGCTGCATCTGCTGGATCTGTTGCTGCTGGGCGTGCAGCTGCCTCTCCGTCGTCTGGATGCGTTTCTGGAGATCCGCGGCCTGCCTCTCGGCCGAGTCCGCCCGTTGCTTCTCCGTCTCGCAGAGCTTACGCCATTGTTCGACCTGCGCCTCGTTCCCGCCGGCCATCGTGTCCCTCGAGGCGATCTGCTTTTGCAGCTCCTGCACCCGTTTCTCGGCCTGCTCGGCCCTCTGTCGTTCCTTGGCCTGCTGCTGCGTCAGGTTCTGCATCTGCTGATTGAGCCGATGCACCTCGCGCATCTGCGCCTCGAGCGCCTCCTTCGCGGCCCTGTCGGGCGTCTGGGCTTGCGCCCTCTGCTGCTGCAGCTGCTGCAACCGACGCACCTCCTCCCGCTGACGCTCGACCTCCGCCTCGTTCGCGTTCAGCTCCTGCTGGAAGTTCACCAGCATCTCCTGCGACTTCTCCAGCTGTATCACCAGCTGATCGCGTTCCACCTGCAGCTGCTTCGCCTCCACCTCGAGCTTCTCCTTCATCTTCTCGATCTTCTCCGAGTGTTTCTCACGGTTCTCCAGTATCGCGGCCATCTTGTCGCGTTCACGTTGCGCCAGCTGCAGCTCGTGCTGCAGATGCGCCATCTCCTCGCTGCCGGCGATCTGTTGTTGCTGCTGTTGCTGCTGTTGCTGCTGCTGCAACCTTCTCAGATCTTGCCTGAGCGCGTCGCGCTCGTCCCGCAGCAGCTGCGTCTCCGCGGCTAGTCGTTCCAGCTCCTTCTTGTTCGCCTCGGCGGCCTCTTGGAACTTGGCCGTCTGCAGGTGCGCCTTCTCGAGCTCTCTGGCCAGTCTGCCCGCCTCGAGCTCCACCTGATCCCGCGCCACGATCGCCTTGTCCAGGCTGGCCCGGAGCCGCTCTACCTCGATGCTCGCACTCTCCGACCTGGTCTTGCCCTCGGTTTGCATCAGCCTCTCCAGCCGGATGATCTCGACGCGGAGCTTCTCGTTGTCCGCCTCTAGGGCGTCCGCTCTCGCCTTCACCTTGTCGTGACGGTCGCGTATCTTCTCGGTTTCGATTCTAGCCCGCTCGATCTCGCCTCGATTCCGCTCCTGCGCCGCGTTCGCCGTGGTGGTCTCCTCCCTAGCCCGCTCGAGTAGAAGCTGCGTCTTGTGCAGCTTCGCCTCGAGCTCCCCGTTGTCCGTCTGCGTCCTCTTCAGCTCCGTCTCGCGGCTCTCCAGACGTTCACGCAGCTTCTCCACCTCCTGCTGTAGCCTACTACCCTCGCTCTGCCACTTCTCCTGCTCGTACTGGTATTTACCTCGCACCCCCTCCGCACGTTCCAGATCGGCGCGCAGCCTCGAGGCGTCCTGCTCGGCCTTCCTCGCGCGCTCGAGCTCCGCAAGCGCCTTCTCCAGCCGATCCCTCAGCCGCTCCACCTCCAGCTTCGCCCACTCGTGCTCCTCCTTCTGCCGTTCTTGGCTTTCCTGATACTTGCCGAACCTGGCCGCGTACCTCTCGCACTCCTCGCGCGCGCTCTCAGCCTCCACGCGCAATCGTTCCGTCTCACCCTGAGCCTTCCTCACTTCCGCCTGTTGCCTGTCGTGCTTCTCGTACATCTTCTCGATCTCCTGCTGCATACGGACAAGCTCCTCCTGCGTCTTCTCGGTCGCTGCCTGCGCCTTGTTCAGCTGCGAGTGCGCGCGCTCTAGCTCGAAGCTGATACGCTCGTTGTCCGCGACCAGTTTCTCCCTCTCGTTCTGCAGCCGGCGTAGCTCGATCTGCGACTTCTCGTACCGTTCACGCACCATCTCCAGGTCCACCGACAATCTGTCCAGGTCCTCCTTCGACTTTTCCTCGTGCTCCTTCGTCCGACTCAGCTGCAACGCCGCCCTGTCGTACAGCTCTTGCACGCGGGCCAGCTCCTCCTGAGCTTTACGCGCTTCCTCGCGACTCTTCCCTGCCAGCATCTGCTGCTTGTCCGTCTCGAGCTCCAGACGGTCCCTGTCGGCTTCCATCACCTCGATGCGGTTCTGCAGCCGGTACACCTCGCTCTGTGCTCTGTTGGACAACCACAAAATCATCACCGGTTATTACAGAAGGAATATTCGGGGCTGTTAACACCTTATGCTGGGAATCGTTTGTTTCGAAAGTTCTTTGTAGTTCCCTTCCAATTTTACCTCGCTACAGAATCGATTTAATAGAAAGGACACTCTTATTTACCTGTCATACTTCTCTAGCATCTTCTCGAATTCCTTGTTCGCGTTCTCTCGTTCCTCGTGAGCCTTGTTCATGGAATATTGAGCCTTGTCCAGTTTCTCTTTCAGGATCTCTATCTCGGTCACTGCGTCGTCTCGTTCAAGCTACACGGTGACAATTAAACGAAACGATCAATGTAAAATCTCGAATCAGGATGCGGAAATTTTCTTTTTAATTTAGAGGAACGCCGTGAGAAATGTTTGGAAATCACTGGCGTAGAGTTCGACGACTACTTACGGTCAGCTTCTGATGAGAATTGTGCACCTTCTCCCATCTTTCCTTCACCAGATCGAGCTCCGACAGTACGTTCTCCTTCTCCCGTTGCATCTTAGCTATCTGATTCTGTTGGAACTCTATCCTCTCGTGCAACTTCTGTGTTTCCTCTTGAAACCCGTCCCTTTCCTTCTGTAGCCGTTGCATTATGATCTGCCGGAAGTAAGAAGAGACCGTGACCGAGCATACTCTTTCCACAGAATGACAGTTTCGCTTCCATACTTTCTCGAGATTTTTAATTTGTTATTTGTATAAATCTTAAACGATCAAACGTCCTCAATTTTCAAGAATCGTGAATTTTTGTAAACATTTCTAAGCTTCTTTATCCTATCCAAGGAGTCAAACATTTTTACTTCCGACTAGAATATATTAAAAACCCTAAAATATCACCAACCCATCTTACCTGTGCCTTTTCGTATTTATCCTGTAGCCGGTCAACGTCCAGTTGAATCGTTTCTCGTTCCTTCTGCATTCTCGTCGACTGGCCAAGGGCTTTGTCCAGCTGGCTCTGTACATTCTCGAAGTCGTAATTCTGTTTCTCTCGTTCCATTTGCATCTACCGGGAAGATTTTAGAATTTCAATACAATGATCATGGTATACAGTGTGTCAGAATCCTCAGGACATCGGACTTACCCTGCGAATTTCCGTTTGCGTCTTGTCCAGTTTTTCCTGAAGCTTGTCCACCTCGCTCTGCGTCTTGTCCAATAGATTTTGAAGCTTGTCCTGCTGAAGCTGCGATTTACCAAGAGTCGCCTGAGTGCGTTCGAGTTCCTCTTGGGCCTTTTCGAGTTCCCCTATCGCTTTGTCTCGTTCCGAGTGAAGTCTGGCCACGGACGCTTGGGCCCGATCGTACTCGTCCCGAAGGCTCTCCTGTTCGCCTTGAGCGTTCTCCAACCTGGCCTTCAGCCTATACACCTCACCCTGACTCTTCTCCACCTGTACGAATAACGAAAATAACGTTAAAAATGAAAATGGAGTTCATTAGGATAGATTTATTATCCTGGATAACGGCGCAAGTAGAAACAGCGAATAACTGTCAGACGCGACAGTCAAACCATATTTAATCGCATGCATACAAATTTTCAAATTCAATTATCACTAAAACGAAATATTATACACCTTTACCATCTTTGTACCATCTGTGTCTCTCATACAAAGTATTTTAATAATATTTATACTGCCACACGATGCATTCGATAAATGCCATAGACACTGATATTATTAATTGAATTACTTCCTTTGCATTCTATTATTTATGCTTAAAATTACTCTCATCTATTCACTGTCCCAAACATTGATTTCAAAAACTAAGTATCTCATCGAAATCAACCCTTGATGAAACAGGGGTTTTCTCACAATGATTTGAGAATTTTTTTTTAAAATGAGTAAAACCTTTTCATAATTTCAATGCGAAAAGGAAACTGTAATGGTTTGCCCCGATAAAAAATGCTAGTCAGGTGTCTTCGATTCCATTCAGGCGCGGGACTGCGTGCAATTTTCCGGCCACTTAACCGACAGTTTCATTACCGGTTCGTTTCGCGTCATCGACGAGGCCCGGAAGAGCGACGACACTGGGAAGAACAAGGGCGTGATTGGAAATTAGATCCCACCGCGCGACGGGCAGAGACTTCGTCGGATCGACGAGCAGAGATCGAGGTTTTGCTTCGAATCGATCTCTATTAACGTCCATTGTTCTTGATTCTTGGGAGACGGAATAAAGCTGCCAAGTCGACTGGATCGTCGATTAATGGTCACAGGACCAACGGGGTACCGATTACTGGACAGTGGAACTGGTTCAGGTTACTTCCGACTATGGTCTCTCATTTTTTCACGTAAAGAACGCGGTTCCCTGGTGCGTCGATTCCCCGTCGATCGAAATCCTCCGGTGATCCGTTACCTCCACGACGTTTCATTAACGGAGAAAACGATTTTGCCACGAATTTCACGGATCCCTTCGGTTTTCAATCAGCTTTGCTACCCAGTTCGTTAGCACGGAGGTATCAGATCAAGTTTTGCGTATTACCTCTCTAATGAAGTTTTCACAGACGATGGTACAACAAATTTATTAGATTTCTTCAAGTTCAAGTTTATCTCATACACTCGTTATTAGACTAAGGATGCATATGCATTAATTTAAAAATATAAAAAAAGTGAGATACGTATTATTATATGTAGGGGCTGAAACAACCCTCTACAAAGCTCTTCATTAATTCTGTCGTTCATAATTCTATCTAAATTGCGTCGTTTCACCCTTAAATATTCACCAATGTACTATTCATGTTACCGTCTCACTCAACATATTTATTAAAAATTCTCAAATGGAAATGAAAAAGAAAGTATGGTCATGGTTTTTGATCTCATACAGCATTCTCTCGGGGGAGCAGTATCACAGAAAAGATGTGGAAGAAGGTAGAAAAGGTCGAGGCTTTTAAACTCGAGTTTACCTTTTCTTGGAGGGCGGCAGCCTCGGCCCTGGCCCTTTCATTGTCCGCCTGTGTGACCCTGAGTTCTGCCTGGGCCCTCCTGAGTTCAGCGGCCGTTTTCTCGGCTCGTTCCTGGATCCTGTCCATCTCCTGGGTGGAGTTCAGCGAGCTCCTTCCGTAGGTGGTCTGCGACCTCTCGAGATCGTGCCTGAGTCTCTCGTTCTCCAGCTCCAGCCTGGTCAGTCTCTGTTTGGCAGCCTCCCAGTCGGCGCCGCTGCGACCGACCTCGGACGCAGCTTTGTCAAGCTCTGCTTTGCTCTTGCCTAGCTCGGACTGGGAGCTTTCAAGCTTCGCCTCCAATCTGTCCTTCTCTGCCTGCGCCCTCTCCAAACGGGCGCCCAATTTCTCGACCTGCGGACAGAGTGCCAGCCACGTTAGAGTTTTGGCCAGGGAACTACTTTCCAACTTGTTTTATTCATGTCATTTTCGGAACTACGACCGGTCACGCGAATCCGTGTACTCTCGCTGAGGATCAGCAATGGCAGACGACGAATTCAATAAAATTGCACAGATTTCAAATTTATTTTTTTTTTCAATCAAATTCGTTTGGGATCCTTGTTCCATCTTTGTTATTAAACGTAGAATGAAATAGTTACGACTAGACTGTGGATGTTTATGCATTCATGGGGAATTTTAAATTCTCAAGAAACTACAGAATGCACTTTAAGACAACCCCTAAATCTTTCCAAAGCTCCTATTTCATTAATTCTGTTAATAAAAATATGAATTTGCATAAAGAACCGCAGTCTAGTTATGACTACATGATCGATTATATTTATAAGCTTTCGAGAGATTTGAAAAATTTTGCTTGGCGTTTCGACAAGATTGAATTTAGATTCTTTATGCTTTATTAACGTTTGACATTTATTGATTTGAGTGCATCGAAGGATAGTCGTTTTGTTGATTGCGTACGAACGAATAAGTGGCAAGCTACAAAGTCAGATGATCTCTGATAAGTTTATCTTATCAGAGCGATAAACGAGACAAAGCTCATTTCCTTTGGCAAGAACCGCGAACGTAAAGGACTTGTTAAATGAAAATCTGTCGAATTACCGCCGGGGACTCACCTCAGACTCGAGGGCGTGAATTTTCATTTTGTACTCGGCTAGCTCCCTCTCGTGTAATTCCCTTTCTTCCTGCTTCTCCTGCTCCGCCCTATCCCTCTGATCGCGTAATTGCGCCATTTGCTTCTCCTTATCTCCTATCGCTTCCTCGAGGCTACTAAGTGTACCCTCGCTGCTGCAGTGGTGCGCCTGCATTGCCGTTAGACGCGCCCTGGCCATGTCGACCTGGTTGTCCTTTTCCTTCAGCAGATCCTCCAGGTTCTCGATCTAAAGTAACAACGACTCCGTCGTGAGCATTCCAGTTTTTATCGCTTTCTTTCAATTCCAGCCAGGAATAAGAAACCCTCTGGGGCTAACAAAAAGTCAAGAAAAGACGCGATTCGAATAGGGACAGATCAATCAAGACACAGGTTAGAAAGAAAACAGTGGTTACAGATTGTTGGCGATTGGAAATATAAAATATTAATTACGCGTGAAAACTAAAAAATCAAGAAAGAAAATTTTGATCAAATTTAATTTTACTTTGATATCACATTAATTGTAATCTAAATGTTGCAGATGATATACCTGAGAGCGTATGTTGGTGAAACATACTAATTAACTACGATTAAACTGGATATAGTATAAATTATATTGAATGTATGAATTGTTGTATCATTATTGTTGCTACCTTTCCTTTACATATCTAGATAAAAAATTTGTTGTTCATATATAATCATTTATATATTTACAATCAATACCATGGCCGATAATTACATTGATTGATCTGCTTGTTTTGCTCCTCCACTTCGCTAGCATGAATTTGATTGTTCTGTTTACTATGAAAGGGATCGTATTAATATTATTATAATTAGACGTTTTAACGGGAGCAGTGAAACGTTAGAAGTGGGTTAGTATATTTTTTAGACTGTTGTTAGTGGTTTAAAATTGTTATTCTCGTCATTTTTATACTGTTATTTATTGCGAGTCTTGTTATTTTCAGTGGTTTAAAGCATGAACGTATGTCCTCACTTACCTGCCATCTTATGTTCACCAATCTTCTCAAACATCATCCGCAACACATTTATACAACTTAACCAGAGTGTCCTACTAAAAACAGACTGTATGTTTTTTGCTATTTCAAGTAATAGGAGAAATCATTGCTTAAAAGATCCGTGCGAGAATTATTTCTTTGCCAGTGGGGGTGTGGAGAACGTTTGAACGTTAAAATTATTTTTAACCAAATCAATTTCCGCTGATATTTGATTTATTTTTATTTAACGTAAAATTAACATTCATATACTGGGGCAGATGAGGTACGAGAAATTAAGTATGCAAGCTGCAGTGCAGTGCCTGAATCCAACTTTAATGTTAAATTTCAAGAACAAGTAGAGAATGTATTTTTTAAATGTTCTCCACACCTCCACAAACAATCGCCATCGCGTTAAGCAACATTTATCCGTTCCATTTAAAACAGTAAAGATATTACCATGATTTGTTTTTAGCAAAACACCATGTATGCTCGCGACAATAACAACCAAATCACCCGGCGACGACTGCCCGAAAAGAACAAAATTATAAAATAAACGTTCTTCTACGGAGCATAAAAATACAAAAGAACGACGAAAATAATACGGGGTGCGGTGGTTCTACGTCAAAAGCACTAATTGGTAATCAATAATTGATGACAGTCCGGGAGGAGACATCTTTCGCGGAATTTCTCCTTCGTCGTCCTTCGTCTCGGTTGTTATCAATCATCGATGGATTTTAAAAAAAGTACACAACGGTGGTGGGTGCACTCTTAAATAAAGAAGAAAGAAATAAAAAAACGTAACGCAACGTAAATGTTTCTAATTGTTTTTTTTTTATTTACAAACGATACAAAAACTGGCCAACTAAAGGGGGTGCGAAACTTAAGGATAAAACGTGCGGGCCGCGTTCGAACAGCAGTTACACCATCGACTACGAGCACGCTAAAGGGAAAAAACATTACAAAAATGTGTCGTACGGGCGCGCGCACGCCTCACACACACACACATACACCAATCGACGCCAAGATCCACACTCATGCGCATTGGACGCAGTCGCATTGTGGGAAACAGTCTGCCCCGAGTGTGCTGGCCTCCCCCTTCGACGCGGGGGCGGCCAATTAATCGCAGGACGAAAACCACTTTCGATCCGTTCGAATTAATTAACTGGGGACCAGAAAAAACTGACGATTACGATTCTTTTCGCGGCGGAATGCTGATCACGCTTGCCTGATTACAGTCACTCTGATTGTTAATCGAACGTTAATGGACGCTGCTTGGTCGATACGATCGTCCGGTTCCTCAATTTTCTGTATACGTTTTAGAGTCACGAGAGCGAAAACGGATTTTTATTAGCGATAAATTGGTTGGGGTTCGTTTCTGTGGGTGGTGACCATGCGATGATACGTTCAACTCTTGGGGTGAAGAGATAAAAAAGGATTTGAACGAACAAATGCATTTCTCTCAAATACTGTTCTTATAATACGGTTTATAAAGAGGGTTACTCGTTTTAGAATATTCATGACGCGACGATACAACTACCCTTATTACAGTCACTTTGAGCGTTAATGGAGGCTGCTGGAACGATTTAACAATTTTAATTATTTTAAGTTACCTGCCTGGTTGATTGTTTAAAAGTTAGTTTATTATTGGTAAATTGGTTTACGTGAAGGGTTGATTTTTTTAGGACGGTGACACGATTCCGCCTTTTGTGAATTCTCAGGAGCGAAGGGGTTAAAGGATTCGTAATTGAACGAGTGTAAAATTTGAATAGTGTTCTTCTCGTCGATAATACGGTTTATAAAGAGGGTTGCCCGTTTTAGAATGCTGATGATGCGTTGATAGGGCTGCTCGGACTGATTAAAGTCACTTTCAGCACTAATGGCTGCATGACACGACCCTGTTATTTTTATCTCTTCGTTTAATTCTCCGCGACCATTTCGGAATTACACGATTAAAAATTCCAACCACCGTCACTCATTTTATTTCTAGTCAATCACAGTCCAACACGTGATAATAATATTTTAATGTTTTTTACTTCAAAGGGGCATTATTTAATATGAAATCAGCGAAGATTATTAAGTATACCAGTACATAAGTATAAAATTGCCAACCCTTAATTTCGTATCAACAATTTCTATTGCCCAATTCATTCTAAATCAAGGACTTCATAGAACAAACAATGTGCCAAATCAGCTACAACTTGAAACGAAAATTTCCTCTGTCTCCAATTTCTCTACTGCCCAAAGGGGTTGTTTCGTATTGTTTATGTATCAACGCTCGTCTCGCCAGATCGCAAATATTTTTACCCTAGAATCTCTACCAACGATTTAAAGTGACAAAACGAATGAATTCTCGTTAGGGCAGTTCAGATGCGACACATGTACTGGAACCATTACTCGAATTGATGATCACACTTGTACAAATATCCGTAATGTCGCCGTTATGCATATTCATGCGGTTTAAACATCGATCGTCGGATATTCAGATTATTTCGTTAGCATAAATTACCGTCTTCGCGTGCCGGATACGCGAAATATAAATAAATTCGGGACCCGAGCGAACGAAGTTGTTTGACGTTTCGAAAGAAAGGGGTGTTTTTCTCCTTTGATGCGACAGATTGCAGAGGTCTATGCAAAACGGGGGCGACTAGGAAGATCACTAATTGAGAAGATGAAGGGCGTTCGTATGGGGAGGATAATGAACGCGCGTCGTCGCGCGTTTAACTTGTAACTGGAGCGGATCTTTGTAATTAATTAAGGTTTAATTTACACAGGTGGCCGTTATTAACTCATGTTTAGCCCTTTAGTCTTTCGCAATGATAATTTACATTACGTCGAACGCAAACAGTGGGTCGAAATGGTCGAATTTTGGGCAACAATAGCTGCCAATAATCGTCGACCACCAAAGTTAAATATTTGAACGAATTATTAAAGAGTCGAATATTTGAGTTTGCTTTACACATTGATATCAAATTTAATTCAAAACTTTCACTAAAAATTCAGGGAACAGGATCATGCTTAGAATACATTAATTTATTAGTTCCATGGTTTGGAATAATAGGTGAAAAAGTTAATAATAAAAACCATCTAAATTGGTGTTGACAGCTTTCTCATTTTGCACAGACCTTGCATTGAACGAACAAAGAAATAAAAGGAGTTGAAATATTAACCCTTTGCAGTCGATTGAAAATTTTAAATAAATACTTTTCACAATGTAAAAGATTTTATTCGATCACCCATTGCAGTGAAACATTTTTTACGTATTTGACTTTATTGTATATTTTTGATACGCAGGTTGACGCTAGTATTCTTTTTATTAAAGAAAAATCAGATACTTCCGTTCAGAAAAAGGAGTGCAATTGCATTTTGCAAATATATCGATGCACTCGGGAAAGAGTCGCATCACAGGATAGTAGTGTTACTAAACTCTATAAAATTTTCCTTTACGTTTTCTTTCTGTCTACTTTTAGAACTACTGTTATAACCTGATCTAGTTTCTATAGACTCACACTGTATAAGTTGACTTACAGGCTCTATAGCTACTTGTACTTACAAGGGGAGTTTAGTAAGTGACACGCTCCAATTTTTATGAAACTTTGCGCAAGAGTTTATTGAATTAACCTAACAATATTTACGCGTTTTCTACTTTCAAGGAGATATTAACCCTTTCATTTATGCACTTGTAAGTTGCGCATTATAAAATATCTAAATAAACTTCATATTGCTCTTGAAGGCCTACATATGACAAAATTCTTGAAAAAAGAATTCTTTGCTGTGGCTCGTCGTATGAAGACACTTCTTTCAAAGTTCCCCATACGTAAAAATCAACTGGTGATTTTATACGAGTCTTCAAACACTCTGTCTTCCATAATTTACAACTTACAAACGCAGGAATAAAATGGTATCTCCCTCAAAGTCCAAAGGCAGCGTCCAAAGGTTGATCCAATAAGCAATCGATCAAAATCGACGCGGGTGTCACTGATTAAAGTTTTCTCGTTAGAATCTCGTCCAAAGTTACCGTAGAATTGGAATTAAACAGGCTCCGATCGCTGCGTACGAGAGGCCGGACACGTGTCCGGAACCGCGAAAGAACAACATCGAAAGTCACTCACCTTGCGTTGAAGAACATTGATCTTCCTGTCCTTAATGTCCATGTGATCCTTGATCTCTGTGAGCTCCGTGTTCATGCGATTCCGTTCCTGTTGCGCCTGCAACGCGGCCTGCGTCTTCTTCTCGATCATCCGGTTCTTCTCCTCGAGCCTCTGCCGCATTTCCTCCACCTGCACGCACACGAGCGTCCATTACAAGGCTGGAGTACTGTCAACGAAGGACCAGACCGATCCGCATTGTACGCCCACGCGCGTATGTGTGTGCACGCGACCTGACACGCCGCGGACAGTCTGCGGAACGAGGAGAGGAGAGAAGCTCTGAACGACCCAGTTTCCTGCAGCCTGGCCTTCCTCTTTCCCCGTTGTTGACCTCCCCTGAATTCGATTCCCCAGCTTCGACCCCGATTCGACACGGGGCCCTTCCACTGGACGATCGTGGGAGTTTCGAACTTACTGCACCGGGGGGAGTCTCGTGGATGCGTTTGGCGATGTTTGGGGAAAATTACAATCGTGCAGGAGAACGAAAAGGAGGATACGTTAAAAAGTTATTAACGTTTGAAGTTACACCTGTAGAACGGCAATCTACGAAGAGTAGTTGTCGCCATAGACAAGGTATAAGAGTAGACTTTACACCTCATGGACTTTCATGGCCCCATCTGATTGCCATACCGACCGATCATTTTTGGTGGATAGACATACCTCGAAATCCTATGCACTTTCGAGATAAAAATTCCTAATCGAAAATTAATTTATGGCCAGAAATGTTGCCCGAAAATTTCATGCGAATGGTTAAATCATCATAACTTCTGGATAAAAAATACGTATTAATGTGGCTCTAAAGCCCCAGAAAAAAATGAGGCGTAAAAATACATCAGATGTAATGTCTCGTGTACCTCGTCTGTGGTGAGAACTACTATTTTATCTATTCTTGATTGTCGTCTTATTTTGGCCTCTAGAACCCTAACCCAGGGGTGGTTGAACCACCTGTATACCGCGTACTGATATCGCCCTTTTGAATTTGAAATTTTTCATTTCAGAAAACCTCAAAAACCTTAAATTCCCAAGTCTTAGAAAGACGCCTTCCACTGCGCGATCTCTAGAGCAATGGATGACTTACATCAGCCTGCAGCATGTTGTAGTGCTCCTCCTTGGCGCAGAGGGACTCCTTCAGCACGGCGATGTGCCGCTGGTAGTCCTGGTGCTGCTCCTCGAGGGTCTTCATCTTGGCGGACATTGCCAGCAGCTCCTGATCCCTGCGCTGCACTTCCGTCCGGAGCTCGTCCAGCTGCGAAAAGATTCGTCGTCCAGGAGAGGATCAGTCCGTGCGTCCCGTTTAACCTCGACGACGACGAAACAACGAGCGACGGAGGCGCTGGGCCTGTCGTCTCTCCGTAGTGACCGAGCACAACGACGACCAGGCTCCCTTGGATTCTGGGTCGGGGCGTAATCGGCCGTGAAACGGGTCGACGCGCGGTCAGCCGTTTCGCCAAGTTTCCGACTCGCTAATCGGTTCGCGAACTTTCCTTTCCAGAACAGATTCGCCCGGACCCTGGACTCCGGGAACTCTAAGCCTCCGAGACGATCCGTTGCGTCGCACGGTTTCGAGTTCGACGGACGCGTCCAAACCCGAGAGAACTGGACCGCGCGTAAAGATTCCACGACAAACTTCCGTTCGTTTGTTACGCGATCCGATCGTTTTCAAATTCATCGCGAAGGTTTGTCGTCGTGCCCGGCCAGGACTCGTCATACTGAGCATGCAGCGATATCGAGACCAACGATACAAAGTTACAAACAGTGTTTCCTGCGTGTACGAGAGATATATTCATACGTGTGGAGCGAGTGTTTGGAGATGGTTGCGGTCCAGGGAGCAACGGGGGCCTTGGGAATAGATTAGGACGTATTATGTATTGTGTCTCTCTCTTTATTTTCGTGTACGTACCTACTACGCTCGTCTGATCTACACTGGGGTCGGCAGGCCGCGTGAGGATCCCGTCGCGGGCTCTACGAACGAGATTCCGCGGCGGGATTGCAAGCAGAGTTACACAGCTAAACGTTTTCTAGCTAATCAACTAGTAGAGTACGCAGCGTCGAGCGGATGTCGCGGTCCTCCTTGGCAACCAACGACCCCGATGGTCCAAGTAAACGTCGCTGATCGTTACGCCTCTCGATTTAAAATTACAACGTTTTTACAGTGGAAGCAGTTGGTTGGAGAAGACAGTGTCTTGGATAAGGGGATGGTACAAGTTGACAAAGTTAAGGAATCGATAATTAGGGAAATTTGCATCTTATTCCGCTTTTTAAGTCCTGACAACGAGAAAGTACCAAGATAGTGACTGTTTACGAGGAGCTTGGTGCTTGAAATGGATCGTCGCGAATTGCTTGGACCAGAGGCTGCTCGTCCGAGGAGGACGTCCACGCATCGCTCCAACATTCTATGTCGTGCCAAGTAATAAACAACAGGTCTACGGAGAGGCGAGCGATCGGTTCCGACCGCTCGTTCCGCAAGGCGGCGTTCATCGTCTCGGGTTCCTCGGGTGTTTCTCAACGACTGCCACGGAGAACCACAGAAAAATAATATAGTAGTAAAATCTACGTGACTATCTACGATTATCGTTAGGCTGCACACACACGCACGTACGCAGGAAAGTGTCGAACGCGGGCGTTCCGTCTTCTCCGTTCTCCGTATTGTCGTCCGACGACGAACGACCGCGCCATACGCGGAGAAGGCGTCGCGCCCCGGAGATCGCTTTTGCGCGCGGTACGTGAATGATTGCGAACAGTCAGAGCAACGACTCACACCAGAGAAAGGGACAGATAAAAAAAAAGATACAGAGACAGACGTTGGGGACGGCTGATGACTTCCCGGGCGAGTTTCAACTCGAACGTGATCGTCTCCATTGGTATCACGCTGGAAGGATTCATCGTGGCTCTTGTGCGTCGATCGTACAACGAAAATTACTTCCATATTAAATCGCGATGGTTACCAATTAAGAGTATCGTCGAACTTTTAAAGTTTCGAGAGAAATTTAATGAAAGAGTTTGACAAGAGACTCGATAAACCGTTACCAGCAACGCGTAAAGTTTGACAAAGCTTACTACGAGTTATCGAATGTTAAAACCGGTTAAAGCATCGTGGACTACTTTTCGTAGAACAGTCACGGTTTCCGAAAATTGACAAAGTCAACGACATCGCGTTACTGGGTTAGAAGTCGTCCGTGAACTCGCTGACCGCCCCCAATAGACAGAAAGAGAGAGAAAGAGTGTGTGTGTGTTTTGTGTAAGAGAAAGTGTTACTACGGAACATCGAAACACTCCGTTACATAATACGGTAATCACGTAGATGGAATACGAAGGATGGGTGATGGCTTGGAAGTGCTGCTTTGTTGGGTGAAGAATATCCTTACCTCCTCAGAAAGCTAGAATATTGGGGCACCACATTTAATAATGCTTCGCTCACCACGAAGGCCGCCCAACTCCGCCTTCCTCTTTTCCAATCGTTCTCACCTTTCGACCCTTTCGCTGCTCAATTGCTGAAAAGATCTGTTCATTAAACACATTTTACCGAAAACTTTCGCGATGATCTAGCTTCCGTATGGACCACCAGCGACTATGATCAACGCTTGCTCCTAACCCCAAAGAATTATCGAAATAACGATGCACCGAAAGGGCGAAGCTGACTTTTCTATTCCCTCGTTCGAAAAAATTGCACCGAGCATCGAACAATAATATTGTTACGCCGCGATTACTGCACGTTGCTCCCGATTCCTCGGCGTTCGATCCACGGAAGGAGGAAGCTTTCGGGCAGCGCGGGCGAACGTGATCGGATTTTGTCGTTCGCTGATTTGTTTCCCTGCTAATTCCGGTCACGTACAAAATTTATTCCGTACGATCGTTAAGAGCAGTAACGTTATTAACGATCGCGGCGCGTTTCATCGACGGTCGTTACGTTATGGCCATAGAAAAGGGAATTGGACGAGTTCAGCGGAGTTGGGGACTGCCATCCATTGCCGTCTTATTGCTAACTTAGCTCTAGCTTAACTGCTAATGTACCCTTATGCCTAGACGAGTGACGAAGGGCATCGTTCGGTTTATCCACGAATTCTATTCTTTTAGCACAAACACGAAATATTATTCAAAGGTCATGTTTAACTGCCAAGTCAACAGACTTTACGTAATTATCGATCGCAAACAATAAACTGTTTAAAAGGTTCTAAATTTTACGGAAGGATAGAAGTATGAAAATTCTAGACTCGGCAGTTGAAGCGTTCACGGAGACCTCGTTGCATTTAAAACGACAATCTAAATTTCTCTAGGCGAAAAATCATCAGGCTATATTTTCTTGGATATTCTTGGATAGTCTGGCCGTTCGAGGTCACCGCTATGTCCCCTCTCGCGATGAAAATTCTGTCTCTCGAGCAGAGAGCCAGTAAAAGTTTAAATTGTGTTCCGAGCAACTTGCAACGCGGTAGGGGGAACGGACTTGAGCGGTCAATCGAATTCGCTCGGACTATACACTACCAAATTATTTCTAGTTATCGAGTTACGTTGCACGCGTCCCATGGACGAAAGATCAGCTATGGTTAAAGATCGACGAGAACAGCTATCGTAGATAGAACGTCCACGATTTAGCGAGGGAAAGACGAGAAACGCGGTGGCGTAACAGCCGAATAGTTTAAACCGAACGACCCTTTCGTTTCGTCGCTCGACAGCTGGCCAGCTACGAGCCTCGCGCAGAGGACGATGGTGATCCCGGCTTGTTCGTTTACCTTATCGATAATCGATCAACGAGAGACGACAGACAGCTAGATGATGAGTGGATGCGTCGAGTGTAACGAAACCGGAGTCATCTGCGTATCATGCAGCATGCACAAACACGACTCGCATGCGCTTCTAAGATCTCGTACTTCGTAACGCCAACGATGAATTCGTGAATGTAGGTGAAACGTCGGACGGATGGATGGTCGCACGGCGGACTAAGCGTGGTCAAACACGAACAAACACGAACAAACGCGAAACGAACGAAATCGTTCCCGCAGCCGCTGATCGGCGCGTGAACTCTCTACGATCGAACTTTGCCCGATCTCGCTACGGCCGATAGATAAACCGACGGCGAAAAGTGGTTTTCGAACGGCGTGAAGCGGACAATCGGCCGGACTAGTTTATCCAGCGGTTACCAGTCCTCCTCTGGGATTCCTTGTTATCGCTGGAACGCCGAAAATTCGACTCGATTTAAAGTTCCCTAAAGGATATCACGAGTTCGCCAAAGAGAAAACCTACAGGGCTCAGCTACCGTATTATTTATTCCCATCGTGGAAAATTCTAAATATAATTTCACCGTTTCCCTCTCTCACTCTCTACGTTTTACCGTATTTGTACTTGCCGCTAATTGCGCGTCGAGAATATTGACTTCGATCGAGTTATAGCTAAACGTTAAAGTGTCGTATATAAAATTATACGTTATACCATTTAATCCTATGGACAGTGTATATGAACACGATAATATAGATAATTTATTAATTCGAGTACTTCGTAGATTTACCGCTAGTCTCGGCGCGACGATATCAAGGAAACCCAGTCGACCTGCGAATTCCTAGATGATTCTAATAACAATCGCTAGTCTCGATGAAGAAGAGTAGTTGAGAAAAAAAATATCTCGTTTGTGCTCGTTGTCTATTGTATGAACGCGAATCTTTGTCGTATCGGGCGACAGTCGCGCAATCTCGACGAAAGCTCAAGACTTGAAATAAACAACGAACGATGCTGGAAGCTCTATCTAATGTTACGGATCTCTTTAAAAATGTTCTTCACTTCAAGTCTTTAAAATAGCCACCGATAAGACTCGTTTCGGAGTTGACGCGACCGCGCGAGCGACGCCAAAGGATCGACGCCTCCATACGAACGAGCCTGAAAATGGTGCTAGCGAGAAACAATTGTCTACCTCGCCCTACTCTCTGACGCATGCATCATGCCTGGAACGATAAATTTGCATTCGAACTCTACGCGACGAGAGAATGGCTTGCGAACGACGATGATCTCGCGATGAAACGATTCTCGACTCCTTTCGTGAACGTTATGGCCGCGATGAGACGAGTACCCTTAGCACCGACACCGTCTATGATGCTTGTCACCTAATCGAGCGATGGTCTGCGAATGAAATGATCGATGGTGGCCGGCGAAAGTCCCTTCGAAATGCTAGATTCGGGTGAAACGAATCGGGAGACGATGGAAATGAGTGTGACACGATTTTCTTTTTTTTTTTTTTTAGCAATGATTGGCTAAGTCTAAAGAGTTTATGGGCTGGATGAAGCATGTTTGTTGAAGGATAGGACTTGTGCCAACCGATCCTTTTCGTGGTCCGTGAACGTGGTGACTGTGATTTTACGCTTGTTCAGTGTCGTGGTTACCGAAAATCGAACGAAATTGATATTACGGGAGCGAGGGATATGGACAGATCGTTGCCAAATCTACCGTGAGGGCCAATAGGGGATGTTGCAGGAACCCGAGATGTCCAGAGGGATGATATTTTGGTAATTTTAGCGACGTTGAACAATGATCCTCGTAGTATGGGATGAAACGACTCTACATTGGGTGAATTTATTTATTTCGTGTGGGGTGAGTGCGTGACAAGCATGGTCGATGGCGAACGTTTATGGCAACGATGGAGAAACCAAATTTTGGGGAAATAATTTCTTTTCAACGATAAATCATAAACTGGGGTGGTAAATGTTTAACACGTGCGGAGAATTCTTTGTTCGAGACACGAACAAAAGGACAAGTGGACGAGGATAGAGGATGGGTCAAGTTGAATCAGGAAACGATTGAACGCAATCGTTCTTTCTTTCTCTCCATTCTTATTATTCACATTTTTAATCGACGTTATCTTCGTTAATTCGACTCTAGTATGATGAGTCGTCATTCTTGCCACTGATGCACCCTTTGGCCTGTACTCTGTCTGTATCGAGGAGATTGGAAAGATAGATCGTTCTAAATATGGAAGAAGGTCGGTGTTCATTTCAAGACACATAGAATCACTGAAGAGAATCGAAACTAAAGTCGGATCGGGGTTCACCGGAACGAGATTCATGGGATCCCTTGGGGTTCACCAAAGAACGTGCAACAGGGCTATTTCGGTATTTTTTTCGTTTCGACTTGTCTGCGTTTTCTTTTCACCGGTTCCTTTCGAGGCGTTCTTGTAACGCTGGTGCGGCCTCGAGGCTGTCAAGGTTTCAAGGAGAATCGTTACGCACAGGCACGGGTACACAGAGAGAAGCGACAGGGTGGCATAGAAGGTGAAAACAAAATCGTTTCTTTCCATCGGCTCTCGTATTTTGTCGTTCTTTTATGCGTGTCATTGTTATTTAGTCGTTCGATTATTGTAATTTCCAGGCTCGCGTTAGACCGTTTCGAGTCTCGTTCTTGTGTCAAGAGTCCGAAGAGGATCGGTAGAAACGTGAACGTGCTTTCGTTTAGGCTCAGTGTGGACCTTGCGAACGTAGAGTCGTCCCCAAGATGGTTAACACGTGATATTCGTCAAACATCGTCGAGGTGGAAGGAAGTCCGGAGATCGGGGATGTCCTGGTGAGCAACGCACGTCGAGTTCCGGTTGCCACGGTTCCATCCTCGGGTGGGAACACCGGGGGGAAAAGGGGGATTATCCCTGCAGGGCTAACGATTAGGGTATACCCAGCTCGACCACCGCAATTCCACGGATGCCAGAATGTCCTATGTAGCCTGCCCCGATCGTCCGATTACGGTACAAGAGAGCACAGGTCGTGTCTGAAACGTTCACTCGCGAACGTCGTTCGTTAATTTATCAATGTACAATTTAGACCTAACCCTCGATAAGGATAACCAGTCCTATCTTTTAGTAGAAAAATAAAGATTGTCGCTAACCCCCGAACGTGGGAAATCATGTATTCCGGGGCACGTAAACGATCGGAAATAGAAGGTTGAGAATTTTAACTTTCAATTCGCGTCCACGCAACGCTTCGTAATCGATACGCCTGATTTCGTTTGGTTAAGCTAGGTATAGCACCTACACAGGGGATGACACCAACATTTTGGGGACGATGGTGGACATCGAGGCGGGTTAAAACGCTCTGAGCTACGAAAATATATCGTTGGAAGCTTCTTTACTTTCCCTCGTCTACCCCACGCTCTGTACACGCACGCTTTCTTCCTCTGTTCACACGTTTCTGCAACGTCGTTTACGTTTGGTACACGCACCACGAATCTACACGTACGCCTGGCTACTTTGACACGTCCGTGATAGGACACGAGTCCTTTGGGTCGCTTCGCAGAAAAATAATTTGATAAATCTTGGACTATTCACTTCACTGAAAACTGATTTGATGATACCTCAAGCAACATTAATTTAGACTTTATTAATCTTATACCAGACTTGATGAACTTCTACAGATCCATGTGTTATTTCTACAATTTTATACAGAGACAATAATAGTTTTAAGTTATAGGGCAGTGCAGGTGGTAATAGTATTTCAAAGTAAAAATTGATCTTTATATGACTAATGCTGTACTAAAGCTTCAACTAAGAAACGTGATAATTAACACGTCGAGTTTAAATATACAAAACTATTTTCCAACCTTGAATATCTCATCGGAATCTCTTCTGCAAAGTGATCAAAAGACACGTGTCATATCATGGACGTTTCACGGAATGGCGTGCCGCGTACACGTAGCGAGACTCTAACATAATCGAAACAACTTTGTCTCCTACTAAAGACGCTCTTCTAATCAAGGTTGTACAACGTTAACATCTATAGACATCCCAGAATTCAACAACATATATCATCTTCTAAGGCCTACAGATTAGGTACGCACGGTTGCTCTCGGACTTAACACGTAGAAGCTACCGAATTGTGACTTTCTCATTGACTTTCTCTCGGAACTGCTCGAAACCCGTTGTTCCCCGTCGTCGTCGCGCGATCAAACGATTCGTCCTGGCAGGGAAGAGGCAAATGGGGATGTTGCGAGGGCTGGACGCCCAAAAAATCGCCGGGACGATCGCGGGGAAGACCGATCGATGATGGTCACGGGGATCAAGGTTGACCGCGCGGACGCGGGGAACGAACGTTGGGTTTCCCGCCGGTTCTTCTCGTACACCTACGACTTCTTAAACAGGTACAATCGAGTCAAAAAATAGAAACTCTGCTGTTCGATGAGAAATGGATGTCGGGAGGTAAAGAAAACAGGTACGCTAATGTGTATACGTGCTCGTATACGAGTCGATGAGAATCGAAACGCAGATTATCGTTCTCGATCCTCGAGGGGAAGCCTGTCGAACGACGCGGTTCACGAATAAAAAGTAGAAAAGTAAGCGTATCGTGCCTTAGACCAACGGGGGGGGGGTAGGGGTGGTTTCTTTCGAGCCATTTAGGGGTTAGGTTGTGTGTGCGTTTCGATAGCGTTAATGAAAGAAGTGGTCGTTCGATGGGGCAGCGTCGTCTTTGGTCTCACGGACTCGTATACGGCGGTCGGAAGAGAAAACGAAAGGCATCGAAGGATCCACGGGACGTTTCAACCTGAACGATTGATGACGACCACGTCGTGCAGCTTCCTGGGCGATGCGCGCTCGTTCGGCTTCATTTCCTCTCTACGGAGACTAGGTAACAGACACGTACGGCTACATGCGCCTCGACATCATTGATCACACTCTCTCTTTCTCACTGACACGCATTCTCTCTTCCTAACTCAAGCATCCGAAGACTTGAACGTCCGAATCCGGGGTTTGGGGTAGGGAAGATACCGGATCTCCGGGAGTCCGGGGTTGGCTTCTTCGCGATCGTCACGCCCCACGTCCTTGGCTCGAGGATCGGTGAAACGGACGCTCGGCCTCTGTTTCTCTCATTTTTTTTTTTTTGTCGTGAATCTCGAAACGAGACGCAAGGTATCGTGATATATCCCTTTTCTCTCGATACCTGATGAGAGATCGGGTTGTGTACTCACGCGGAGGCACCTGCGGTGCGCGAGGTCCGGCGTGACGCATCGGAGGAGAGATATCCGTTCGGGTGTCCCTAGACGGCGTCGTTCTTTTCGATGCGCACGTTGTTGATGAAGAAACTTACTTGCCGTTTGAAGTTCATGTCGTGCTTGTTGAAGGTGTGCGCGTGGAGCGCCAGCGCGCCCTGCGCCGCTGGCTCAATTTGTTTCAAGTGTTGCTGCATTTGCTGCTGATGCTGCAACTGCAGCTGATGCTGCTGTTGGTGGTGTTGATGGAGATGAGGCTGATGATGATAAGGAAGATGATGATGAAGCTGATGGAGATGATGATCGGCGTAACGATCGGTATAGGGATTGACCACGCCAGTGGTAGCGCCCGACGAGATGCCGGCCAGGCACGAGGAACCGCCCCCACCTCCTCCGCCGCTCATGATCCCACCTGTCGAACCGGCAAGTAATGAACTGGTTAATGCCGTGGACGACGAGTGACCATACGGTACCAGCGAGGTCATCACGGACGGTCCCCTGGCCAAGTCCAACGTGCCGGGCTGCTGCGAACCACCCATGGCAGTCACCAATCCCTGTCGCACTTGCGACTCAATACCTCCCGTAGCTAGCAAACTTTGCTGCTGTTGTTGTTGTTGTTGCTGTTGCTGTTGCTGTAACGCCGATTGTTGCGATTGCTGCTGCTGCTGCAGACTACCGCCGCCGCTGGGGACGGCGGTGGCTTTCAGCAGCTGTTCCCTTAGTCTACCTCCGCACTCCTTAATACGCTGTAACTCAGTCTCGAGCAACGACACCTCCTTCTCCAGGGTCTGTATACGCGCGTCTTTTGTCTCCATGATAGCCGTCAGGGTGGTGCTACCGGGCACGCCGCCTGGAACCGCCACGCTACCCCCAAGGACGGTACCGCCTGCACTTGATACGCTACCTATCCCGAGACCAGCAACTCCACCCGCCACGGCTGCTCCGGAGGACGCGGTCGAGGCGTACGCCAGCTCCAACTGCGTCTGGAGGCTCTTCAGGCTCTCGTTCGTGGCTTTGAGCTCCTTTACAACACAAGCAATAGGAGCAACGGTTACACTCGTCGACGTTCCGCCCGTCTCGTGTCTCTCTAGCGAGCGTGCGAGGGTTTTTTTTTGTTTGGATTCTTTTTTTTTTTTATTTGTAATTTATAGATTTTTTTTTTTTTTTGGTATTGTTACTGCTACATTATTTTTTTTCTTGGTGTGAAGTATACGGTGGTTCGGTAGAATGGAGATGTACTCTACGGTGGTCTGGTGCGGCTTCGCTAACGCACGAGGATCTGTCCCGTGGTTTGATGCTCGAGCTCGAACGGGGGGGGGGATTTTGGAAGCTAGGTTCGTCCACTGCACACAGGTCGTACAATATTTGCGTTTGCGCTATCGTTTCTCCTCTTTCTTTTTATCGAGGTATACGAGAAAGGAGCAGCTGTTGTTCGGGTTTGTTTTTTGTTCACGTTTCTTGACAGTGACGCTTTAATTCACGATTCGCGGGGAGCATCTTTAACGGGGGGCATCTTTAGCTACTTAAACTGTAAAAGAGTTTAATTAAAAGTTCGAACAGGATCCTTTGAATCGTTATTCCGCACAATGGGGAATTTTACATCGATCCTGTACCTTTTCCTCACCTGTTGTCTCAGCCGAGTCGAGCAATTTCAATTCAGAACAACTACATACTGCTTTTTAAATCTTCTAATCGCTATCGCAGCTTCTATGGCAAAGCCTCTGTCACTCTTAAAAGCTAGCGCAAGATGGAAAATAAAAAGTTTGCCACGAATATCTTCCCTACTTACAATTAGTCGTTAAACATAAATCCTTCAGCCAATATATATATAAATCACTAGAATTCTAATGAAAACGTTCTAAATTTCTCAAACGTCACATCGATGACGATACTACCGTCGCGTGCAGTGGAGCGGATACAAGAAAAGCAAGACCAGAACGTCTTTCTAGTTCCACACGGGACAGTCTCTCGAGGAAGCGGAAGTGGCAACGGCAGCGTCCCGGTTGACGAAAGAAAAGCGACGTTCCGCCGAGCTTCCTTCCTCCTTCGACACATCCAGACGATCGAATCTTTTGCGCTCCTTCCGAATGACCGCGTGTGCTGTATCCCGAGGCGTTCTCTTTCAAACCGTTTCTCTTATTAATTTTGTCCGTCTCTGACGAATAAGAACGATCTCTTTGCGACTCTGACGCTGCTCTCAACGGGCGGCACAGGAGCACCACCGATCACCGATGATACATATCCACGATCGTCAAGGACCGCAGCGTTCTCGATATCTAACGCGATCTCTCGATCCCGCGGACGCCGCGATCGCAAGGTCACTCTACGAGCGTTAGGCTCCTCCGGTTCTCAATTTCGACCCGTGTCACTGCGATATTACGTTGTTTACTGTCGGTTCTCCACGGCAGAAAAAGATCCTCTTGCGGACGCCGGGCGCCGCCGCAGTTCTTTCGCCCACCGCGACGTACGGCCGACATCGTTGTCCATATTTCTGCGCGCGGCGTTTCGACGACATTTTTTTTTTTTTTTACTTTTATTTACTTTTAGCCTCCGTTTCGTTTTTGCCTATCCTCTTTCCTGTTCACCGATCGTCTCGCGTCTCGTATCCCGAGGCGTCCGAGTCGCTTGCTCGTCCCGGGAGCGACGGCCAGCGAATCGGGAAACGTCGGACGAGCCTCCGTTCGCGCTAACGAACGAACGATGCACGGTCTCGTGGCTGTTATCGCGTTATACGGCTCGAAACGCGGCCACGTCGCATGGACAAGATGATCGCGAGATCAATGCGTATCCACGACTCGTACGGCTGAACGCAGCGACGCGCTCGGTGCGATGAGGATGATGAACTTGTGATCTCTGCGCGACAGGTCGAGCACTGCGGGCTGTGCTGTGATAAGTACGTGCGTGGAAGTCGAGGGGGACGCATGATTGGATTTGTGGTGTCTATGATGAGATCGGCACGTGAATCATTAAATGACGACGATTCGTGGATACGCATTTCGACGAGTGTGAGTGATTGTGTGTACGATGAATCCTAAAGGTGATCGCAGACCGTCGCTGACCGACGTGATACGCGAATGGTAAGTTTAACGTAGCTGATTCTTACGTGGAAACTGTTAATCGGTATCCCCAAGAAGCACAGAGTTGGCTTTCTTCAAAAAATGTTAATACGTTGACTGTTTGCTCACCCACGTACAGGTCTGGACGATTTTGATTCCACAAGTCGAAATTTACGGCTCTCTATTGACCCCCCAAATCACATACATATGAGCACCCTCTTTATAGCTCGATATATGTGTTTTCATTATTTAAAAACCCCATCGTTGCTCGAGAAGTACAAGCATATTAAACAAATAAAACAACTTTAACACTAAACCTACCGTTAGCATCACATGTAAATAGGAAATATATAGCAAAAATGAAAGGAGAGAATTTTCAGTTGTCTTAAAACAGTCTAATAACGTGTATTAAAAATAGTTAAACTTTACACACGTACAGTTCCGAAACTACTAGTGTTTTCTCAATAATTAAACCACTGTTGGCAGCGGTGAAGCCTCCCCTTTAAAATGCTTTTTGAATTTTGTCGATCGGACTTTCCGTTTTCGAGATATCGTAATTTATGTAAAAGGTAATTTTTCTTAATTCGACTATCTCTGTCTCCGTCTGACGCGTCGGGCCTCCTTGTCGCACGTTGACCCACTGACCGAGTGACCGAGTGACGTCACGTTTACTATTTACTACGAGTCACGTGAGTTCATTGATCTCGCGACGTAAACAAACGCTTCGGACCCTTATATCTCCGAAACTAGCCACCGCATCGACTTGAAATTAAAATCGCTATATCTCCGGAACTAATAAAGCTATCGACTTGTTCGACCGCTCATTTTAAAGGGTATTTCATCCTCTATCATATGAGCATAGAAATTGTTATTATTTACGCTATCTTTTATGTTTATTTTGGCGTTTACTTTGACCCTATATTTCTAAAAAAGATTCAGCAGTTCCTATTAATTACATTTAATTGGAAATGAGTTTAAGTTTGTATACAAACTGTTCGTATCATTATTATCCAGCTTTTTCTGCGGAACTAACTACGATATCGACTTGAAACAACATTCTATTTAATTTTTTAAATTCTAATTGTACTTGGAAAATATTGTAGAACGTTTGAGGCGTATTCCGCGATTGCAAGCACGGACAGTCAACGTGTTAACCTTAACAGTGTCACATATTAAGTGCCTAGTTCGCTTCTAACAGTCGAAATTTTAGTCTTTCATCGAATGCAGTCAAGAATTAAATCCAAGACGTTAACTCCAAGGTTTTAACGTTATTGTCAATGTATGCTAACTTCAATAAAGACTCAATATTGTTGATCCAAACGATTGTAAAATTTTTAAACGGTATTCCCAGCTTTCTTGTCACGACAAATCAATTTGAGATCGTCAGATTCGTTAATTTAGCGAGTTTAAGGGACCGGTCCTGAATCTGTCGACGCGGCCAACTGCCGGGAAATGGCGGCAGCGGAAGTTGACACGATAAGCTCGGCCTGCGATCACCCGTGGCGGGCAAAACTCAAGAGGTATAAACGGTAGAGGATAAGACAGTAGATTACGCGAGGAGAACGTCGTAGTATTATCGCATGTCGCATCAGGTCGGTGCCAAACAGTCGCAAAGTCCTTCCTTGGGCCTGGGATCGGCTCGCCTTGACGCGACTTGACGACTTTCGGACCGTCCCGCTGCTCGTGCATCGATTACGACGATTGGCCATGATAGTGGTAGTAAGTCGTGATGGGCAAGAACGTGTCTGAGACGTACAAGAACGAGAAGAGAGAGTATATATATAACTGGGCGGTAAAAACATTCAGTGAGTCACAGTGGAGATGATGATATCAAGTCAACAGAAAATTATACAGATTAATATAAATGTACAGATTTTTTTTTTTTTAAGTGGTGCATTTTGTGTATACGGAGGGTCCCATTTGTCATGGGTGCGTCAACTATGTTTGCTGCTTTCGAAAATACGAGCATACGACTAAGGTCGAAGTCAAGATGATCATGAAGTGACTTTCAAAATGAGGAAACGTGAACGAGAAGGATACGTCTTGATTTGTCATAAATAAATATCTTGTCCATTTTTGCTTCTTGACTGTTCCAATAGTCTCTCAATCTAACTTGGTTTGTACGGACTAATTTAGACATAAAGTTTGAACTATTGAACGAGGATTAATAATAGCTTCTAAGCGCGTTAACGAAAGGTCAAGCAAACATGAATACTGTACCCAGCTTTAATACTAAATTGGGAAACGATTCGACGCTAATTTTTGATTCGTTTCTGATGAACTTGGAATGAAAAAAGTAGCCTTGTAGCAATTGTACAACTTTCCCTTGGTTATATCTCATACCTTCAATAGCAGCAGAGATGTTTAAGATACTTATGACAAATGGAACTCCCTATATAAACATATATAGATAGTACGTATATATGTGTGTGACGTAAACAGGACAAACACATTCCGTATTGTAGAAAAATATACATATTTAAGAGTAACCATTCATTCGTGTATGTGTACGTACACAGACTGAGAATAAAACCTAAAATGTTTCTTTAAACTACACTCCAGAGGAAATGGTGTTGAAGCAAGCTCCTTAACTTGTATTATAAATCTTGGACTTGTGAGGATTGGAGATCGAAAAAATTCAATAAGTAGTATTTAGTCAGTTATAACTACAAACATTTTTTAATAAGTTATAACTTAAATAAACTCTCTGTAAATAAATTAATCGCACTGTATGAAAATCTAGTTCTTGATTATAAATTTTGTAAAATATTCTTTGGAAGCTTTATTATAGAAATGGCCTGGATTATAAATATTAAACTGCGATTAAGAACAGTCTGCAATTAACTATCGGCTCTTTGTAGCATAAGATTAATATCAACCAGCATCAAACGAATAGCGTTCAACACAACTTTCCGCGAAGTTAATAGTTGATGAAACATATAAGGCCCCGATTGTTGGCTCAGCCAGTGTACGCGTTACGTAAAGAATGAACTTGCACATCAAAGAAAATGATCGAATGAATATGTATTTCTTACGGGACGAATCAAAAGTCTCGCACGGCCATGTTGTTCCCCGTTCTCCAGCATCTGGGCTGATGTCCGTTCACCTCTTTCTCGTTACAGAATTCCCAACTAACAAAGCTGTGACAGGAGTACACTGAATCGACTATTCGATTCCTCAATCTATTTTCGTACTACGATTCGATTTTGACACAGGTCAAATTAAGCTTTGAAAAATTTTTTGTACTTTTATTAAAATTCAAAATTGATTTAGTCGTCAATATAAATGCAATTTAGGTTTGTATATATATTTTTCTGTCTCAACAATGGGCTCTGTTGTTACTCTAATTTAGGAATCAAACATAAACAAAAGCTTGTTCGTTATCATTAAATCAAATTTTCCAAAGTCTCTTTCAATGTATACTTTAAATTAAAAATTTTTACTAAGCAACTGTCGATCTTCCCGTGTTTCGAGCCTCCAATATTTCACAACAGTTGCTCCAAAATAATACTATTGTCTCGTTTTACAATGAATCCAGGTACTCCTCGCACAAACCATGTCATCCATCAATGGCTTACGTGATCCTGCTCATAGCATAACCGATAATCTATCTTCACCGTGACTGACGATCCAGTCATCGATGCTAAATCTTGTCTCAGTGGAGCACAGTGAAAGCGGTGAACGTGCATTGATTTCGATGCACGCCTCGACTAATCAGATCGGTCCAATTTAAACTATTCGTGTCGACAATGACACGAATTCCCACAGTCGGTGAATATGACTCGATTTTAGAGAAAATCTGTGCACGGTGCGTCGCGGTGCAACGAAAAAATTGTTGCCTCTGTTCCTACACGCGCGTCCATTGTATATTTTCCCGAGTTTCTGAATTAATTCACTACAACATTACTTTTCACGCCTGAGTTTGTTGCTTCTTTCGAACATCGAATTGAAAATTATTTTCCGATCCAAAGTTCCGTCTGAGAACGTCGTTTATTATAAATTTCGAGGAGATCTATGCGAATTTGGCAGAGGGTTGATCATCGAGCAGGAAAATACGCAATCCACGCGACGCGTGTGGGTTAGGCGTGACTTTTGACTCGAGTTCCGCCATTTGTGTGGCATACATACCGTGGCATTCTCGAAGGCACGATCTCCAGCAGGTGTACATGTACAACATATACACGCCCACGTAATATGTACGCATACGCGTTGTTTTCTATCGTAGGTGTGACATAATATTTGACAGAGATCATAGATTTCGCGCAAAGGGACTCGTCGAGATTCTCGAGTCGATGGTGTTTGGTGCTAGAGAAAATCTATTTCTCTTGATCGCAAAAGTAAGTAAAATTGTCATATTCATTGCAACCTCGCCCTTTCATTTTCCTCGTGAAAATATGATATTTATTTCCAGGAATAATAGAACGATACTTTATATTTTTCTCATCTAGATACATGCAACTTGCTTGGATACAGCAGACTAGAGCATTGCCTCGCTTTTTTGCAATCAAATTGAAACTATCAGCTTTCATACAGATAGGTTTGGACGAGACTTTGTTCTCGAAACTGGTCGAGCTGAAATGGGCCGCTCAAATAGGATTTTAATTCTAGAAGTGACTATTACAATAGTGGAATATTGTACACACTATTTATTTTTGTTAATAGACTGTAGAAAAGCGCTCGTGTTATCCAATATTTGATAAAATGATTTCTTTTAAAACTCTACTTTTACTTACTTTGTATGATTATGATTTAAAGATTACGTATAGGTGTACTATTGCAGAAAAAAAGCAGTGGTAATAGTGATTCAGTTTGCAAGTGTCCCTAACTCATATTGATGCAAGAAACGAGGCAGTACTGTATTTTTTATTTAACTTTATTCTGCATAAACCGTCCATAAGTATGATTGCAACTATTCTGTATGTCGTTGTATAATTTTGGAAAATAAAAATTAAAACTGAAAAGAGTGCAAAGTTGAAGGTAAATATAAAGTAAAGTCTTTCAATTTTAGAAGCAACGGAAAATGTGATACCTTTATATAGATCTACTTTTTTAATGCGTTAAAATAGCAAATTTATACGAAAAAGGTCAGGTAACTTCGAGGGTAGTTTCATCCAAAATGTTTAAGACAACAGTCTACAGCTCTGAATCTATTACACATTTTTCAATGAAAAAATTCGTGTAACTTCGTAAGATGTGTGCAAGTAATGGTGCAAAATGTTAAATCGATATTTCAAACAGTTTTCCATTTATAAAATTCCGTTCTTGAGCAGGTAGTTGTCGAAAGGTACAAAAATGATCAAAGTTCGATTAATTATTACACGTAAACCACACATATTACACATCCAACGTTCCATGTACCATAATACTCGACGATGCAAATAGTTCTGAAAGGTTAGCGTTATTCAGATTCCCGGGTGCAATTGAACTTATGGACGGTAATGCTTCTCGATACCTATGCATACCTAAATTATTCAATCCTAAATGTATTCGAGCGCCCGGACGCAGAAACGATTTTAAATAGCATTGAATACCAGCATCGATCGAAAGACCTCTTTTCCTTCGATCAATGATTGCCTTGGTTCGGATTTAGCACCAAACGCCTCTCGTTTCGTCATCGATCCCGTCCGATTGCGCGAAATTCCTTCGATGGCTGACGCAAAGCAACGTTGGAGAATCGGTAGAGGGCATCGACGGTCACTTCGTCCAAACTAATCGATCAGCTTACGCGGTGTTCGACATGGACGTGGGGAAGTCTGGGACGAGGGGCACGGAGGCGTGTGTGTCTGTTTCCCTTCGTTTCGATCGATTAGAATCGTGATTAACGTGTGATCAGTGTACCTGTTGGTTCCTCCCTGGCAGGGCCTGGATCAGGGAAGAGGTCACGTGCATGTCTTCGGGCCACTAATTTCGGAGTATGTCGTGGAGACTCGAGGAGACTTAAACCGTGGTGATTCGTGATGATGGTGTTCGGATGTTGTTGATGATGATGATGGTTTTCATGGCGGTGGTACATGATGATTCGCGATGATGGCTGATCATGTGCGTGGTTGTTTTTAGTAGTTGTTGTTGTTAGAACTGAGGTGAGTGACGAAGGGGGCGGATGCGGGCGTGATATCTCCCCCCGTTAGGGGTTGCTAAACGTCTTATCACCTACACATCCAAAGCAGCTCATTCCACGCATTCCAATCGCAGCACTTTTTGTTCTTTTTGTATATATATATATATATATTTTTTTTTTTTATGTTATATATTATTTATCACCGCAATACGGTTCGTACGGTTATCCTTTACTGTTATTTTTTTTTTATCTGTAATTTTTTTTTTCCGTGTGTGTATTCTCTGTACTCTCCCCGATCAGCGTCCGACTTCCGGAAGTCCTTGTCGACGTCTCGTATTGTCGTCGTTCGATCCGCAGGGTGCAAAGAGAAAGGCAGAAGAAGAGTAAGAGGCAGACAAAGAAATAAAGACAGAAATCACGTGGGGACGGGGACGAGAACCGGAAACGAAGGAGACTCTGTGCACTTGCGTATCCCGTTTTCTAGGAGACTGATTCCTGGCGCATGCTATGTCAAGGATACATACACGCATTGACATACTTCATGGACGTCTGGTCGCGTCGATTTATTTTGCCATACGTTTACGACCGAGTCTGGCCAACTGGGGTTCAATTAATTACGAATCTCTCGCTCGGAACACGAAGCACTCGACGATCGATTCGATCGAAACAAAAGACGAAGCTAAGAAGCATGCATCGTTAAAATCATATCTTCGTTCGGCGTCTGCTCGATACTTCCATAAAAGTTCCTTCTACTTTGCTTCCGATGAAATTAACTGTTCAATGAAAACAAGTCTCCCTTTAAAACTGAAAATTTTCCATCGAATGTGATTATCAATATTTTGGCTCCTTCGATAATGATATTAATGAGTAATATTTTTTAGCATTTAGGGCATTGAAATGATCTTGTTTTAAGCCATCTATGTTTTGAATGATCCCAAATATTCAATTTAGCGTCGAAGGGATATATATTCGAATTCGAACGTTTTGGAACATTGTGTGCAACTACAATATTTTTCGAACTCTCTCGTCGTTCTGGAGATATTTCAATGGGAGAGAAAAATATGCAATTTTTTTAAAGGGCATATATTTTAAATTGACCCTAAACTAAAAGTGGTTTTGTATTACTTTCATCACAATTTATATAATATATGAAAACATTATCTAAATTTTCGAATTTGCAACTGTTTTTTGTTAGTTCTAAAAAATATTACTTGTTATTAATATAATATCAGGAAGGTGGGTAAATAGAGGTCGTAAAGTAACGATGTTATTCGTTTTTGCGTTTATTTGAACGGTTCGACCATCTTTTTTCATTCACTCAAAAAATAATATTAATCGATATAAAATGTTAAGTATGTAATAACCTTGGAATCAACTGTACCTAATTAATCCTGAATATTTCGTTTTAGATAGACAAAAATTAATTTAACTTGTGACCTGTTTTGCAGCTAATATTTCACCAAATTAAATAGCTTATTTTTATCCATCGAAACAGAAGCAACAAAAGTTTCATCCAAATTGGATAAAAATAGTGAAAATTGTAAACACACATATTTAAAATTCTATGTTAATATCAATTACATATCATGGTTGTATCCTTTTGACTTATTTTTTCCATTCCAACTAAAATGAAATGGGCACAAAAAATGCTCTACTTATTATATAAGTGACACAGAGAATGTTCGATTAACAATCAAATAGAATTAATTAGATACTATAAATGTTATTATTGTCGTACAAATTACTTCCGAAGAGGGTCACGGAAAAGTGGTCGAACCGTTCAAGTAAACTATTTCTCTCTTTCCTTGACTCGTGGCATCACGGTCGCTGCAATAATTTTTCTTTTACACACGAAACGATTTCCCAAACGAAAACTATCACGTTTCTCTGACAGGACGTTCGCAGCAAAACCAAGCAGAGAAGAAGATCGTTCGAGATCGATTGGGATTCTACGTGCAACAAAATCCACGGGCAAAATAAAAGCTGCAGAAGAATCCACGATTCTCTAAACGACGTTGGCGGTAACGATTCGTCTGTTTCGCAGTACAGAGACTACGCCATACGGTCCCGTGACCGGAATATCGTTATCGTCTCGCGAACGTGTCGTTGAATGCGAACAAAAATCCGTATACTCGACGATCGCGAGCGGTTTCTCCGAGGATGAAGTATGTCATTCGTCGATAGGAATTGGCTGGATCGTAACGTCGTGGTCGGAGAGAGAGTGAGGTGAAAAATCAAGGCCCCGGGCGTGAGAGGATGCAGCTAAAATTGACGGAAAAAAATTCCGGTGACGAGACAGGCCATTATTGGGGTGCTGGTGCATTGTTTGATCATCGTTCGATGTCTCGCCCTCGGAGCCCGACACCTGGCTCCGTCGACGGAGTGGAAGGGTGCACAGTGGCCCGGTGCACGCTCCCGGTGCAAGAAAATAGAGAGAAAGAAAGAATAAGAGAAGTGACGATGAGATACACGTCGGGTAAAGTCGACGCGCGCTCTGTCCGGCTCGTACCGAGTTGGGCCCCTCTAACGGAGCTGAAAGGATCAGTCCCGTGTACTGTACGCGGAAAGAAAGATCAGTCCCGAGCCACCGGAACAGTGGACGGTGTTAAAAAATTTTCAAGTTGATCGAAAACAATTTTTGCGACGTGCCTGACCATTGCTCTCTTTCTCTACTTGGGCAGACGTCCAGACGAATAAATTTGGAACTCCAATAAAAAGATGTTATCTTTTCTACTCTTTTTTTATATAAAGAAGCCTACCTTTCTCTGTGTATACTCTGGAAGATAGGAGATTATGTCCAATGACATTTAACTGTCTCAGTTTATAAGAAGATTACACTATGACCAATCAGGCCTGATGGCCACTTTCCCGTCTACGTTTTCTGATCTTCGATTACGATTACACGGTAACTATAATTGCGAATCGTTGATCGGATTACATTTTATTCAACTACGATCGCAGACCCAATAAGAGCTGATTAAAATGACCGACCTAATGCGAGCATTTCCAGTAACGATCTTCCTTTAATTGTTGCACAGTCGCAGATTCGATCGAAACGTCCGACCCAATACGATTGGCAATTCCTTCCAGGACTGATCTTTCTTCCCCCCGACTATACGAATGATTCTCTGTCCTCTTTTGTGCGACCCCCCCCGCCCCCTGATCTGTAAATGCCGCTCAAGCCACGTAGACTTCACCTAAATCCTAGATCTGACACAGGCACATACACGAAGATGCAGGGAGTTCGGTGTGTCGAGACGGATGCGACGTCGCCATTGGCCCTCCGAATTATTTTTCTATTCCGTTCGAGTAATCGCGGAGCTTCGAGTCGCCTCGTCTCCTTTTGTTCACGTGATCGCCAGTTGCCTGGGTTAATAAACGCCACGATTCGTACTCTGGGTACGACAGTAGCCGAAAATACCCTCCTATGTAGTTTGAATTCGTTGCTATCGTTATTGTGGTCCGTCGTGTTCGCTGGATGAGCGTGGCCGATTCTTGAGACGAGTTTCTACCGACTGGTCTGAATACTAATGGACTACTTTACTGGATCACGTGGCTGTGCATTGTCGGGCAATTCTACTTATTCCCTTTTCACGATACGAATGATGGACATTTATTAAGAATCGTTGTTGCGGAGTTTGGGCGCTGCAAATAGATTCTACTTGTCTGTTTGCGATGAAACATTTATGGAATCTTCTACTGATTCCGCGGTCTGACTAACGACAGGATTTTTTAACCGTTTCTACTGATTTAAATAACGCGACGCAGACACTTCACACGAGTTTGTTGTTAATTAAATTAAAATTGTAAAAATTAACTAGTGTATTTCAATTTTATATGAACAAACTCTTGCCAACGAATATTATACATTTATTTTAAAATCTAGCAAAGCACGAGTCAGGTTTTATACCAATAGAATTTCATTTGTTTTTAATAGACGTAAATCTGAATTACCTGAAAGTAGTTGTTATACGTATATTGGCATACTTATTTCTACATTGGAAGTGAATTTATTAATACAGAACGCGACATTGCATTGCAGAAATATTCCATTAAAACGATACTCGAAAATGAATTCATTTCCAACGTATAAATAAGTATGCAAATTTACAATTATTCTCAGGCAATTTGAATTTGTATTCATTAAGAACGAATAAAATTCTTTTGTTATAAAAAGCGATCAATGATACGCAAACAAATAATATGGAAGTTAACGAAATGTAATTTCAAGATTGCATTAAACAATATTTCTAAGTTTGTGTGTAAAGTCTCCTTGATATATTTGTTTTTCATTTAGATTTGAAAATTTTAATTTTCTTCCCGAAGAGAATCAACAAACTTGATTGATAGAGTTTAAATATAATTATGTATACGCCGCATTATTTAAATCATACAAGCACGAATTATTCGAACTACATATTTGTTTCTACTAATTTTCAGGCTGATACGTTACGTGTTTATTCTACTGTTCGCTCATAACTGGATGTTCTACTACGAATGTACGAACTTTTGATTGCAAACTATTTGGCGCTCATCTCCGGTGATATTTTTATTAAACAATGATAGAAAACGATGATTATTAAAAAATTAGAAACACTATTCGATTTTGGAGAATTTAAAAAATTTTCTTTTTAGTTATTTTAAAATTCCATCTAATAATAATAAATTTATGGAAGATAAAAAAATGGTAGATTCTAGAGGCCAAAATAAGACGATAATCAAGGATACTAATTTGTTGATTGAGGCTTCGTTAAAAAATTATAGAAACATTTCCGGCCACACAGTATATTTTCGGTAAAGAATTCTTTTCTCGAAAGTAGGTAGGATTTCGGGGGTATGTGTATTCACCAAAATTGATTGTAATTGACCCCTGCAACTGAAAATAATTTTTTTAGAATGATTTGCAATTTTTTAATTTTGCCAAAAAATTTCACACCTTCTCGAATTTTTTTCTGGATAATGAGTAAGATTTCGGGGGTGTGTCTATTCACCAAAAATTATAGTAATTGACCCCTGCAACTGAAAATAATTTTTTTAGAACGATTTGAAAAAATTTGTTTTCGCCAACAAATTTCAGGGAAACATATCAACGTATGGTCAGACATTGTATTTTCGGTAAGGAATTTTTTTCTCAAAAGTGAGTAGGATTTCGGGGGTATGTCTAATCACCAAAAATGACTGTAATTGACCCCCGCAACTGAAAATAATTTTTTTAGAACGATTTGCAATTTTTTAATTTTGTCAAAAAATTTCACACCTTCTCGAATTTTTTTCTGGAAAATGAGTAGGATTTCGGGGGTATGTCTATTCACCAAAAATAATTGTAATTGACCCCCGCAACTAAAAATAATTTTATCAGAATGATTTGAAATTTTTTAATAACTTTTTAACGAAGCCTCAATCAACAAATTGATATTCTTGATTTTCGTCTTATTTTCGCCTCTAAAATCTCCCATTATAATTTTTCCCAGAAGTGGCCGAACACCCTGTATATTAATATATTTCTATTTGTACATTTAAAGAATTTTGAATCTTCAGACTTATTTATTTCTTTTAATATGAAAAATATACTTTTCTAACGAAAGTTACAGAATTAATACAAATTATATCTAATGACAATAGTAGTCAAAGACATGGCGAACTACTTTATTTAAATCGAATAAATCAGTCGTTGAGTTCAGTCAGAGCTGCCGATTTTGCATCGTGAAGTTTAATTCCATCTTACGCGCGTTTAAGCGACGAAAATGTAATTGATGGCGTTTCCCCTGTTAGAGGAGAGCTTGATTTTCGTACGCTGGCGAGAGCTGCTTTAGTCAGGACATCTAGAAACCACCGGAAACGCGTTAGAGGATTTTCCAGGGCGACATCGCATCCGTGCTCAGGCTAAACGGGGTAGAGCTATAATACAAACGTGAACGACTTTGGGAATGACTACGACTGTTCTAGCACGAATTACGTGAGGTATGCGAACATGGTGGCGGCGGTGCTCATGGAATAGTAACCACAGTAACGATACAAATGTTTGCTACGCGACTGTGGTGTGCGAGGGCAGCAACAGTATAATGCTACAAGAATAAGCACTGCTGTGACACTGATGGAAACCGTCCAAAAGCTCGCGTTTAAGACGACCATTTCTGGCAACGATTTGCATCACGCAATTATGCGATAATATCGGAGGGAGAAGCTTTCTATTGTACTTTTCACGCTACGTTACGTTACTTTTTAGTGGATTCCTCTAAGCAACACTTGTTACATCGATGAAAGAATGTAGAAATTAAATGATATTGGATGTGGTCACAACTAGTCATTCATTGTTTACAAGCGTTTGTGGTCATCTTCAAAACTGTTTAGAATTTTTCTACACATTTTGAAGTATATTTCATTCAACACAAAATGTCAATGTAAAATATTGTATACTAGAATCTTTTTTCTTAATAATTTTAAAATCCACTGGATCCGAATTTGTCTTGAAAATAACAAACGATGATGTAAAAATTTTTGCCTCTCGTAATTCTAGAAAATGCGAGGAGCCTTCTGTAATTTGTTTCAGTGGACGGAACAGTGTTTTGCGCCGTTAAACGTTACCACAGATTCCGCTCAGATGAATGTGACTCGTTTGCTTGCGGCTCGTTTCGCGCTCTTCGTGCACTTTCAACGCGATAAGAAGGAACATCGTGTTCTAAATGTTACCAACATCACGATGAAAATGCATCAGAGTCTAAGCGGTGACATTAAAAAAATTAGTAACGTTATCCCGAAAACTATTCCAAACTGATCGAAACAATTTCAGACTAACGTGTAACCACTGAATCATGACACGAGATTCATTAAATTTCTCCTTTCAACTGTGCAGAGTATCCCAGTAATCATAGCACAACAGGGTGACAAGTGATTTTTCGTTGAAAAAGTAATCAACTATGTGAAATTAAATTTGTCGTATGACCTACAAATTTATACGGTTGAACAGTTATTAAATTTTGATGAAAAAATATTTTAGTTCTCTCTCTATATTCATAGTTTTCTACGTTTAAAATAATTGTTCCTCCAACCACCAGGCTGAGATGTTGTCACAGACAATTGGTTTTACTACGATTACTGAAACGCTTTGCAAAGATCCCAGGTTTATCAATAACTGATAATTAATATGGAAAAAGAAGACCTCTCCTCCCCTCTTTCCTGAAACGTTTTCAAACGCGTCGACACCTTGGACGCGAAGTTTTTTGGACGCTTTCCACGTGACAGAAAAGAAAGGGATACGCGCGCGTACGAGCACGCTGGCGACCGCGCGATTTAACAGACAGGAGTACGGTGTGCGTAGGCGTGCTGGTGGTCGCGGAGATACGCGTGCCTAATGCTAGGTATCCACTTGAGAATTCCACCTTCGAGAATTGCTATCGGGAGTAAGAGCTCCTCCGCAAGAGCAAGTTCATCATGCCAGAAGTTAACTTCGTTGCTCGTAATCGACGCAGAGCAAACTTCTCATCTACACGGAAGTTTCAAGCGACCAGTAAAAGGTAAATAACTCCAAACCCTTCATTTGTCGAATGAAAATTGAAATTCCAATTACATAATGAAATTACGTTTCGCGTTAAATAAATCGCTTTTACAAAAACAAACGGAAGAGTTTTTATTTCAAAAGTTTGAAGGAACGCTCTCGAGGCAGTCTTACTCTGGATATCTAATTTCGCGAGTGAAACTGTCAAGCAGACACCCGCCATAACAAACAGGGCCGTGTCTGTGTGCATGTGTATGTCTGTATTCCCCTAAACGTGTGTTGTTCGTGTTTGAACGTGACTTTTTCCGTAGAACCCGTGGCGTCGCAGGCCTTAGAAAAACCCGGGATTTGGGGGTGGCTTGGGGGTTGCTGATAGTCTCGAGCGACCGTACCTCCTGGAGGAGGACACGAAACCAGGAGTTTCGCCGACGTTCACGGTAGTGAAGCTTCTTGCCGCGCCGCGAAAGGAAAGCAGAGTGTTCACGGCGATACGTAAACGGCGCTCACCATAAAACAGCGACGCGAGGCATCTGATCGTAGCTCGTGCGAGTCTTCTCCAGCATACCGTACCTTGTACGTGTGTCCGTGTTTTGTCGCTCTCTCGGGGGAGAAACTGGCCCCAAAAAACGCTTGCTCGTGCGAAATTCGTGCGTTCGCGTGCCAGGGACCAGCGCGTGCCTCGTTCGCGCTCGACGTCTTCGCGATTCTATTGCTGCGTTCGCGTGTCGCGTAGTACTACGTTTTCAAGCACAGTTTCACGTAGTCCATACCTTGGTATGTCCGAGGCATTCCCACTTTTCGCGTATTACTACGTGGCGTAGCGATACATTCACAACGTAGTAATACACTGTTGCATGGTAATGTATTGTCAAGACTATTACGTAGTACTACGTTTTCAAATAGCGGGCAAGTCATTTTGTAACATACAATATTTTCGTAATTTCGGTACTGTTTAGAGTGGTGAATCTAGAGCAGTATTCGATCCTTAGATTCGCCCCTCCAAAACTTCTATCGAACAGCTGTAAGATGAGGATATATCTGGTCGTTTCGAATTTCCACGTAGCACTGCATGACGTATTAGTACGTTCATCATGGTGTCGATTCAACTTGCTTCCGTATACTTTTGCGTGCAGGGCTTTTGGAGCACTCGAGTAGTACTACGTGACGCGGTGATATGTTCATCGCGTAGTACTACGTTATCAGGTATTTTTGCATATTTCGAAGCTCGAATAATACCATATGACTTAGTAGTACGTTCAATACAGTGGTATGTGACGTACTAGTACGTTAATCGCCTATATCTACGTCTGCATGTGTACGCGTATCAGGAGCTCCACGTTGGTGCATTCAACTCACAACGCTACGTGACGTACTAGTACGTCGATCACACGTAGTACTACGTTCTCGCGCATCCTTGCGCGTCCGAACATTTGAACTTTACGATACCAACTTTACGTAGCCATATCTTGGCGCGCGCTGAGCCAAAAGCAACAATTTACCAAGCAGAACACGTAGTACTACGTCCTCCGTCCGATACAGTGTAATTTCGAGGAAGACGACGAACGATCGAAGGATGTTTCGCATGCGACGAGGCATAGCGTTAGGTTCCCGGTTGGAAGTAAACCGCCCTCCGAGAGTTGGCGGCTTGTTTCCCTGGGATACGATACACCGTTTGTTCCCTTTTGCCCGGGCGCGCAGCATGGCGGGTGATATACGGCGTGATCGCGTAAGGGAGGGCTGAAGCGTGAAATGACGCGGGACAAGAGACTGAAGCCGCTGGCAGCGCAATAACACTCTACTTTGCAAGCAATAACTACTACGCAACAACGGTGGACAGCGATCGAGACAAAAATATGTTGATCCTGTATATGCTATGCGCGCGCTTTCGTTGTGTACGCTCATCTTTGTCGCGCGTTAAGCGCGCACGCTCCGTGGTGCGGGCGCGCTCGCTCTCAAGACAGATGCGCGTACCGTTCTCTCGCAGACGAACGATAATATGGTATGTACATATATACGTTGATGAGCGTGACATAATCGTCGATCAAGTGATAGTGATATACATATATGTATATGCATATACAGATATACATATACATATATGTATATATAGAGAGAGAGATAGAAAGAGAGAGAAAGAAAGTTAGAGAGAGAGAGAGAGAGAAAGTTAGAGAGAAAGAAAGTAAGAGAGAGAAAGAAAGAGAATAATAATAGTAATAATAATATATATGTTTATGAATATGCCGACATGGGTAGAAATAGCTTAAGGACCTGCTTCTGAGCCATCGACTGCATCTGCTGGAACATGATCCTTTCCTCCTCTTTTCCTGGAACAGCAGAAAGCAACGAGAAGCTCTTGGGGGTTCTGCTCGATGTCCAGAGTTTCGTACGGTCTCTGTCTGCGTTTTACGATTCAATATCAATGTTATTTCTCGCACGGTTCCATTCGATTTCGTGTGAGAGGGGAGAATGATGACGTTTTTGCTCGATGAAGTTAGAAATGTGTCGTAACGAGAGGGACCTCGCAATGTTATTTGCGCCTCTTCCGTTCCAGTCTTTTTTACACCGTTCCGGCTTTTTTTTTATCGTCGTGGAACGCTTCCCGCGGCTGTTCCCATTTGTTAGACAATTTACATTCCGTTAGGAAATTTTCGAGGCAAGTACACCGCCGCGCGATATTACGCTCGGAAATTTCCGGCGTATCGCGAAAATTCGCCAGCGACCCCGTGTTCCGCTTTTCGTCGTTCTCTATGCGCCCTCTTTATGATTATTACTTCGAGAAATAGTTCGTATTCCGCGGCGTGCAATCTCGTGGAAACGGGGAACTGCGGCTGAGATGAACGCAACGAGCTTAAATTGATACGAAACTCACCACCTTGACCGTACACGCGCGCGAAACCACGCTATTAAAACGTTTCCACGTATATTAATCACCGATAGATTCAGTCACGTCAATTACTGACAACTTGTTTACACGAGGAATGATTCAATTTAAAAATTAAAATAAACGGTCCAGAATGTTCATTATGTAAGTACAATCGCGACTCTGGAACTGATTAAACTTTCAGAATGAAAATTGTACAACTGTCGTGTTTTCGATAACCATTCACTTTAATTTTTTATCACTATTCTTTAAAAATGATACCTTTTGATACCTAGTTGTTGAATGTTTCTAAAATATATTTTAGTAAGAAGGACAATTCTGTACTTTGTTGCCCTGCTGTATAACAATGCTTCCAAAGTCTCAAAGGTATTATATTGTTTACACGTTATGTTCTCGACGATGTTGCCAATTAATGTTTCCCGTCGCTCGAAAAAACACAACTGTAGCGCCACTTTGTGGACGCCGTGACGTCAAGCGCACAAAGTGCGCCCGCGTTTATGCAAATTAAACCGGGCAGAGACGATCAGAGTGTCAGGAGCGTCCGTTTTGTCGGGGCGACTGGGATTCAACCCGGAGAGCTTAATTTGCCTTCGAGGCCCACGGTGGTGAGCTTCGTCGTTGACAAGCTGAAAAAACGCTCACGCGGAGAAGACAGTTAACCCAAAAAGAGTTGAAAAATTCATTCGCAATCACGGATCACTCGAACAACCCGTTTGATAATAATCCTTCGCGAGTTCACGCTTTTCTCTTTCCACGTTCAGCGATTTTCTTTTTCTTCGTTGATAGTTTATGGGATCGGCGTGTCTCAGAAAATGTTACGTATTTTAACTAGTTATTTAATGTATTTTTAAAAAGATTGTGAAATATGCCTCGAAAAATTAGAAATCGCAGATCTGTGATGACACAGATGTAAGACGAAACGCCATAATACGGTCGTACACTTCGACCCAGAGTGTTGTTTTTCCAATTTACTACGTAATAACTTTAATAAAAAAATAATTTCTGCATGCAAACTGCAACACACGACCACGTTTGATTCAACGTTGCTCGGAAAAGGTGATAATTGGATGGAGAAAAGTCTAGACTATATACACGAAACTAAATAAACGAAACGAGAAATGTATTGGTGTATGTGACTATGAGCAAAAGCAACTAAAATTCGCAATATTTTCTGTGACACTCTAATACAATTTGGAAAAGAAAGTCTCTGCAGAAATTTAAATTTAAATTATCCGACTGTATTTAATATTTAATAAATTTAATAATTTTACAATAACAGTAATAAATTGAATGAATTTCTTTAAAGACTTTCTTTTTAATCCTATACGTCAGATAATGAGTTTTAATGTTTTTCTATTTTTCTTAACGACGTCTTTTAAAATCGTGTTTTCCATTCATGGGTATTGATTCGTTTAACAGGAGATTATCATTTTTTCTAGGAATTGTAGACCGTAGGATGTAGTCAATGATGATAATATTGCGTTACAGTAATCGTCGTCGAAGTAATGGCGATGTCAAGAGAATGTGCGCTGCTATAAAACAAGTTTTGTTAGATAAAATGGCCAAGATGCTGCGTGCTGAACTAATCACGATTTCTGGGATCGATCGAAACATTGTCGAACAACGCTGCTAATGAAATAAAAGATTTCCTGTTGCTATTGTACTACGTATAGTATATAGGATTGCTAATAGGTATTCGTAGAATGAAGCGTAGTTCGATGGAGAAAGATGAGATATTTCAATGAGTGACTAAACGCGAACTGAAATGAATATCAATTAAATTCAAACGAACGGGTTAAAAATTTTTCTTCGACAATTTGCGTTTCACGATTGCGATGATCTTGGTGCTGTTACAAAAGCAAAACTATGAAAAACGTGATCAATTGCTGTTCATGTAAAGAATTCTTTTTTCGAACGAATTGCTTATTATTTTTTTGGTTATCGAATCGATCGAAAAATCTGTCCATGATTGTGCTGTGAAAATTAAGATCTGAATATACATAGGTCAGATTAAAGGCTCAAGTTAAATTGGCTTTGGTTTCACCAACGTTCGAAATTATTTTAATTTTAATCTTTTTCTCTTTCGCTTCAGATCTGCTTTCTCAGAAACACCGTTAAACGTAATTGTCGTACAAACAACGCGTTCGTTAATAAAATGACAGCGTTTGTGTAGGGAAGAAAAATTTTAAAGGAATGCCTCACCCATTCCCTTGTTTTGGAGCATCTCGAGGAGCTTCTTGATGCTTTCATCGCGAGCTTGCAGGGTTTGTTTCTGCGTTTCTATTCTCAACTCCAGCTCCTGCAACAAGAAAGAAGACACGTTTCAAATAATTCCTCTCGATGGAAGATAAACAAGTATTAATTATCGCCCGTTCATAATCGAAAAGCACAGTTTTACTTTCACGTTTTTCTCCGTCGTCTTTATTTACCAAAAGAATTAACAAAGACAGAGACAACTTTAGAAGCAGTTTTATCTGTTTGAATAATAATTAACAGCATGCAGGATAATGTTATTGGAAATATAAAAGATTGTAAATTAAAATTCTAAAGTATCCATGTTTCGTATTTTTGTCTATCGATGAAATAATTCTTCTTCTTGTCAGTTTTATAATAGTTACGATTTAAGGGTGGTTTCCTTTTTCACTGTGTTATAAAAAGATTTATATGCTTGATAACTAAAATTTTCAATAATGATTTGTGTACAAATTACTACCAAATAGAAAACATCGAATAAGAGATTTTAAAGAGTACAATTTTGGCAATTCTCCCTGTTAAGGCTTGCCCTCAGGGCACGTGGCTAAGTTTACGCTGATGGGAACAATGCCATGTTTTTGATGGTCGACAGCACGTTTCTGTTTTGTATACTTTCTTAAGGAGCCGGTTACGTCTGGAAAATGTCAGCTAACTTTCGCTTGGAAAGAGCCCAAAAGCACACTGCTGCTCGTAAGTATTAAAACACTCGTTTCAAACGAGTTTTATTACAACTTCGTGAAAAGGGTTCGTACAATAATTTTCCTGGGATTAATTTAAAGGCTGAACCCTCCCTAAGATCCATTTATCATTTTTATGGAAAATAAACAACGGTACTCTGTAAAACTACAAACACAAATTATAATGAGAAATTTAAAAAACAGCAAATTGTAATACTGTACATAAAACCGATCAATGGACGCCGAAACGTTGAACTACGATCACTAACAGTAGTTATTGAGTCTTTATTAATTAACGACGCCTTTGGAATAATAATTTCTCTTTCGATGGGATTCGTAAAGACGCTCAAAGACGGACAATTGTCCTCTCGATTCTGGCTACGACGGCACGCGAGAGGGAACGAAGGAAATGAAGTTGCGAATTGTTTCACTGGGAAATGCTCGATTCGTGTTACGTAGCCGGAAGATAGCGCCGGTGCTTGACGCCCGTGTAACGAATTTAGACTGTCCCTTTGACGACGGGAACGCAATTAGTACGGAATTAGACACCCGCCGACCACCCCTTTTCCTTTTCTAACTGACACCGCCACCGGAAAAGCGCAGTCGGTCTCGGTCCCTCGCCAATACCCTCGTCTTTCCACGCGAACCTCCTTCGTTGCACCATTCTTCCCTAACCCTAACCTTTGCAGTGCGCTCTCAATTTTCCACCAACGCATTTCACACGGCAGAACCAACGAAATTCTTCCACGGACGATCGATAAAGAATTTTCGTTCGACCAATTTTGTCGAAAAAACATCTCCTGTGCATTGCAATGTACACACACTGACTTTTAGATTATTTTTTGATACGATATAATTGATTTTATTAGTAAATCCCACATATCGTACGTTTTATCTGGTTAAGAGCATGAGAAATAAATAAAAATTGACTTTATTTATCTGACCATTCTCAAGAGATGAAAAGGTATTTGTTGTATCTGTTGAAAGATTGAAAGGAGATGATTAAAAATTTAGTACAATTATTCTGAAGCCCTCGAGTAGACAAAAGACTTGTCGAAGGGTCCACTAGTAATGCAATAAATTAAGCTGATCGAATTACAATTGGTATAGTCGACTGAAAATTGGTATGATCGAGGCCTTAGTCTGTAAGACTTGCATTCAAATTTTTGTTTCCAAACTAGAAGATTTGACATGACGAAAAGTAACGTGACCCGAACAAATGAATTAACAAATACGAGGGCTACGGCAATCGAATTGGAAAACCCTGTATTTATCGACGTCCACGTGAACAAGCATAAATTGATATCAACGCGAACAGCTAAATACTGCTAATTTTTCCTCTTGTTCACGATGTATAGTAATTTTGGTAGGATGTGTAGTAAAATTGAAGTTTCTTGGTTGCAACGATAAGAACGTCCCGAGTTTCGATTTGTTTCCCAGCTAGGTTCGCGGTTTGGCCCGGTGTGCGGCGGTTCGTCACCCGAGAAAACGTTCGTTCGCCGATGGACCCGGCCACGATCGCCGGATTTGATAATAAAGGCCGCGGGGAACGTGGCCAGAAAGCGACTGCATAATTTGGCGAGTGGCCAAAGGCGACCAGTTGCTCCCAGTGCGTTGCACGTTTGACCTGTCCGCGCTACGACTCGTTCGTTGGACGTCATCGTCGACTTGTTCGGCGAAATTTTCGATCCTCCGGCCATCGAACGGCGGATTTAAATGGGGGTTCTTGAACTTTCTGCGCCCGTGTTCGTGTCGTATTTTTGGAACGACCGCCGCGATCGATAGACGAGCATGATAAGATTAGCCGACCTACGTTCGATCAGTCCCTTTTGCAGCTGGTTTCCCCGTTGCTCGGGTAAATGACTTTATTTTAACGGGCAAATCGGCGCAGACCATACCACGTGAACGATCGGAATAAAATTTTCATCGAGAATGGAATCCATTGCAGTTATTTTTACAGCCGCATAATCTTAGAAAAAGCAGATATTTCCGATGAGAACTTTCAAACGTCGTAGCCACCATATTGGTTCTTTAAAAAATTATTAAATTATTACTAGAATTCTTGTGACGGATAAGGATGTAGAATTTTCATTTTTAACGTAATGGGTACAATAATTTGGTATCAATGCTGCTGATCTTTTTCGAGATATCGCCAAGGAGGCTATTTCCATCGCGATTGTCCGAGTGTAAAGTAGTATTTTACCAAACAGACTATAGTATCCAAACGACAGGAGAACTTGACCAACTTAAACTTTCCTCTGATAAGGAAGAAGACTATTATTAGGCTAGAAGTAGCCGAACGATGGTACAATACAAATTTCCAACACTTTCAGCGAAACAATAGATCCTGAAAATTTCAATTGCGTTTTATTCGAAATCATATGTCGCAAAAAGTTTCAGACTATGATACATGCAGGTTTTATTGGATCTTGATAAAATTTAGAAGAGATATTTTCGAATCGCCTTGTCCTACACCAGCAGATAATATCTCTATTTATGAAAATTTATGGAGGACAGAAATCATCTACGCCGTCGTACGAGATAAGGCCGCCATTTTGAATGCAAAATTATGGTCCAGATAAAATAAAAATATTTGTGTACTCTAGAGATAATGCATATTCATGCACCACGGGCTTAAATATTCCGAACACATGATTCCGTTGTAATACAGTTTTGGAAAACTATGAATATATTACGTTTACAACCTCTTAATTGTTTTTCTGAATAATTTTTCGAGAAAAGAAGAAGCCATTATTTCTAATTTCACAGAAGACTCCTACAAATTGGACCATGGAAAATAGAAATATTCGATAAATCAATCTATTCCTACAGACAATCGTTGTTAAAGTTCTACAACACGAAGAAACAACCTCAAAGAATTAAAAGAAAATTATTTACGTTTCTCATAGAAGACGTAGAGAAATTCGAAGCAGAGGTTTTTTTAAAATCGAGTTGGAAATGATTTAGCTGAATTTCCTTCTAGTTACAGCGCAATCTTCTCAGTCGCGGAGGACTGATTGTAATACAGAGTCGAAACGTTTAATAAAAATCTGCTAACCGAGGTCTCCTTTTTATTTTATACGGTGTTTCGATGGAGTCTGGAATGTTTGACCGGATGTGTCGAAAAAAAAATAGAAAATCGTCAAACCATCGCGTTGTTCGCGATCTAATTTCGCCCGCGAACAAGACGGCGGCTGTTCCGTCGTCGTTTATTGATCCAGCGTTATCCAGAAGTGCGGGGATCGCTTTGGGCGCCACTGGTGGCAGACTTAACGGAGTTATTGCGGGTAGCTGATACCCGTTGCCAAGATTTCCGGAAGCATCGCGAACCGTTGGCAGACAATCGGTCGTTTACCTCGAACAAGACCTAAACCTCTTGTCTATTTCGGTTTCGAGACTTCTGCAAGGCGTTCGAGCGCCCGTCAAACCGCACCCGGAGGATTAGTATAGCGAATCGCCCGCTACATCGCTTGTTCTCTGTCAAAACGTTGATCAAACCGAATCCCCCGATCGTCCTCGAGCTTATACGCTCGCCTTGTTAATTATCCACCTTCCAATTTCTTCTTTTCGATATCGTAACACACGACTCGTCTTGTAAATAAAATTTTAGTAAATTTATCGTTTAGTCCATACAAAAACAATTTGCTAAACTCTAAAGTGGTATAACTCTTGAATTATTAAGTTCAGGGCGTAAGTACGTTAGTATTTTTTTAATTGTAGTGTTCCATTTTGAAAAATGATGTGGCTCCATTTTGCAACTATGGATAAAATTATATTTTAATGTTTTATTAAAAGAAATATATAAAGGAATTGTTGTGTATTCAATGTATCGTTTTATTACAGTTGTGTACAGTTTAAAGATTCTATCTACGTAGGAATACGATCCATGTTCTTCTTTACTCACGTTATTTAGTAGTTGTGAAGTGTTCTGTGTGACAGGCAGGTTTATTATGAAAAGAACTGTAGAAGAAGGTTCATCTGTTGAATGATAGATTATATTGTACAGAGTTGTTGGATAGTATAAAAGAAGTGCAGCATATTTGGAATTTTCTGGGCAATTTAAAAAACTACTAACGTTATGTAATTTTTAACATAGCAAATGATAATCATTTTCACATTCTCAACTCAATCTATAAAGCAAAAAAACGTCAATTTGCAAATTTCAGCAAATATTCCATTGTTACAATCATGGTTAAGTTACATACAAATTTGAAAGTAAATTGTTTAATTTACACGTGGTTTCGTGTCAATTTTAATCATTTTGAAAACACAAAATGTAACATGAAATTTAACATACTCCAAAGTCAAGGCAAAAGAGGATAAAAAGTGGATGCAGCGTTTCGTGTGTAAAATGTGGATACACTGTGAATCTGTTGGATATGATTTCGAAAATTACACCTATGTATACTGCAAAATAAATTGCAAGACTTAGGACCAATATTTTCGTAAGAAAAAATAATTTTATGATCAACTTATTTTTCTTTTAATTTCAGATACTCTTCATCTTTCATTATTATTTATAATTTAAAATATAAAAGTTTCTCTATTTGTTCCCATCCTCCGTAGTAATATTGTATTTATCTTAACCAAACTGGTATTCCAAACATACTGCACTTCATCTATTCCCTTTTTCTACTCGGGCATCGTTTGACTAACGCATAAAGTGAACAATGGCGCTGCGAATTTTTCCGGGGAAAGTAGGAAATAGCGAAAGTGTATCACATGCCAAAAGCTGAGATTCGAAGCAGTGTCAAATGCGCAAAACAGAAGCCTCAATTAGTGTCGAATGTAAAAAAGCAGAGCACGCAAGTAGAATCACCCTGTCAAGGATCAGACCTCGAGCAGTGCTAAATGGGCATATAAATACAGAGATCTCGGGTAGAGTTATACATATGTCGAAAGCTGAGTCCCTCAGTAGCATCGAATGTACAAAGCAGACGCTTCAAGTAGTATCGAGTGTCCAAAGCAGACAGTTCGAGTAGTGTCAAACATAATAAAGTAAAGGCTTTAAATAGTATCTCTCCCTCGAAAATGAGGCCTCAAGTAGAGCCCAAATACCGAATTCTAATTCCTTGCGTCTTATAACTTCGATTTAATTTCACCAGAAATTTTGTGTCACTGAAAGTAATTTTTTCAAAATTATTCCAATAATCCTCATTTCGAAATTGATCGATCTAAATTTTCTTTTGTTATATGTAATGTAAAAAACGAAATGAATCTTTCCTGTTTGGTAAAGTATTTTTCGATACAAGATGTAGAAAATAAATGTCGATTTTTAATAAAACAATAGGTAATTTGATATTTAATCCCATTTTACGAGATAGTATTTGCTCGTAAACGTGTAACGTGTGCATTGATCGTTGATATCTATTCCAAGCGCGTGTGTTATCGGTGAAAGAGATACAGTGAACACCTCAAAGCCCGTTTAAAGGCTAAATCATACTATACGTCGGACAACCGTGCATCAAAGCATTCTTTGAAGGGACCGCCAGATGAAATAGGGACAGAGACTCTGAATCACTCCGTGCATAATCCATTAAAGAATGTTTCGACGGACGGTTGATTGAGAATAATACCCTCGTGGGTGCAACCTGTTAATTCCAGCACTAATTGCAGAAGTAGTATGCTATAATCGCGACAAAAGCAATTGGAAGTTCAAGAACTCCTCCGCTGTTGAAATCAAACTGAAAACGATTTCTCCTGTTGGCGCGACGACTTTCACAGATCAAAACACACGTCACGGGGATCCACTTTTAATTCTGCATTTTTGCTCAAAGGAAAAACTGAGCATCCCTGAGCCAGAGATTTACGAGGCTGGAGGGTGCTTCAATATTTTCCGCGTGGGAACAAATATGGACAACATAAACGTTTACTTCTATTAATAATAATAACGATACATCTTTATTGTAACTTTGCGAACGTTACGAAATTATTATTTCTCAAATTTTTTATATTATTACTTCTTTCATGCTTCTTTTATATCTTTGCAATAGTAACGTTTTAGGCTAAACATTTTATAATTCTTGAAAATCGCGAAAATAAAATTTAAAATGATTATTTCTTGGTTATTTATATGAATTAATTGTCTATTTTATAGACAGCAAAATTTAAATGAATTTATTTAAATCAGTTTTTGAAACGAGAAAAAATCTTATTTATGACTGATTAGACAGTCTTAAAACGTGTTTTTTTCCCCCGTAAAAGATGTTTTTGAAATTTTTCTGGATTAAAATACTTTCGTATTTTCATAGATCAGAAACCGAAAGGACAATTGGGAATCTTCCGAACGAGATTACGCAACGAGAGGAGAAAGTCTCGGAGGTTTTCGAATTTATGGCTCGACCCCGGATATTTTGCCTTTACCGTCGTTTCGCACGTTTTATCTCCGTTATTCGCGATTATAATGATCCCGCCGTTGAACGCCATTCTTCCAGCGAATTCCAATCGGAACGAAAGCCAACGATGCTCCATTATTCGCGAAAATCCATTATTCTCCGTGGATCGTGCGTCGCGATCAATCTTTCCACATCGAAGGGAAGATTTCGCGAAAACACGAGCATATTAATTAAATTGCGATCCGAGAAAATTGACAGTTCATGGGTGACGCTGTACAAACTTCTATACAACACATCTATCTAGTTTAAAAAATAAATAGTGTGTGGGACACCGTAAATAGTTTGTAAAGACCAACAAATACGCGCGTATTACACCGTAATGAAAATAACAGGCAGATAATCGTGATGAATGATTGCCTTGATGTGCAAGATGTGAGATCTACGCCGGGAACGTTGAAACAAGCCGCTTACCTTTATCGTGTCACGAAGTATGGCGATCTCTCGCGTCAGATGCTCGTTCTCGTTGTACAAAACTTCCATTTGCTGTTGTATCTCGACGCTCGGCCCTCGCATCCTCATTCTGAGCTCCTCTTCCAATTGTCTCACCATCATGCTTTGTTTCTGCAAGAAACGAACAAGATTTACGTTAGCAGAAGAACAAAAAAGACGCGGGCAGAGTGCGAATGTCGATAGGAACGTGAGAAAGCTTCTTTCTTTCGAGGTGTCGTTACATCGACGGTCGTTTGATTCCTGGAATTTACCCGGGGAACGAATCGTCGGCGCCTGTGGGCCTCGTTACCCTTAAAAATACACTTTCGCGGGAATAATTGAACACTCGAGCCGTATGAGACTACTTCAAGCATGAACTGATAAGCGGATCGATAGAAAGCTAGCACGAGGGAAAAGCTCGTAGCGTTGCGCGAAACCTAAATACGTCCGTCAAAATGACCGCTTATTTCTGCTGTTTCGAGTCTTTCGAATCGATGAATCGTGCCCCCTGCGAAAACACATAAATTGGCAAATAAATTACGACGAAAATACCGATTGTTCCGATCACGAAACGCTTCTTTTAACCCCGCTGTTTTGCTCGTTGCTACGCCTTCGACGTGCTTTCTTTACGTTAGGAAGACGAGTTGTTTCAGAAGTGAAATAAAAGAACAAATATTAACTGTCAAAGTTTAAATTTTATTTCGAGTCGTGTAAATCCGAGGAGAACAGCAGGGTTAAAATTTATTCCAAGTAAACGACTGGTCTGAAAGTTTTATCTTTTTGTAGTACCATAAATAGTCTTTCTATATCGACAAGTAAATAATGTCGATGATATATTCTTTTTAAATAGTGTTTAGAGCCGTATCAATAGGCATCAGCGACTATAAAATAAGAAATAATACATAAAAACATTGTGTTGTTAAATATCGTTCACCATAATGTTAACTATATTTTTCACATAGTATTTTATATATCGTTGGACCAAAAAAAGCAAAACAAGTATATATACTTTCAATAATATTGTACTTGATATTATATTTACTTCTCTCTTGGTTGCACTTCTGGTATTCAATAATTATATAGTTTATTGTTGAGGGATATTGTTAAAGGAATGTGAGTCCAGACCTTATTTTCGATATTATTAATTATTCTATAATTTGTACAGACATCAGAATTTGCACAGAAAAATATTAATACCAGCTGAAGACGTTAGTAAAAAAATTTCATCGATTAATGCCCTTAAATGCACGATTTTCATTCTCAATAATGAAAGATCAAAATGATGGCAATGAACTGGGTGAAATTTGACCAAAACGGGACACCTAGGACTTGAAGGCTTGTCCTGAATTAGATGTATAGATTAGGCTTCCTTTTTATATGTAAAAATATAAATATGAGGTGTACTTTATAATAGTTGCTTTTGTTCAATTTTTATTTCTAATATTTTGTAAAAATCGATATCAATCCATGTAAAATGAAGATAGAAAGGCTTGATTTTTATTTTTAAAAGAAACCTGTATAAGCTAGTATGATAAACAATGTAATTTATATTAAAATAACGAATATAAAAAAGGTCTTCTTATTTCTTAGGATTTCTTATTTTTAATTACAGACATTGCAAATATCTTAGTATTTGACAGCCTTTTAGGATATCCCGTTTTGTCCAATTGTCTTGTACACCGTTTCGTCCGTCTGTGCATTGCGATAAAAAAACTCGTGGCATTTTTCAAGCAAGCAAGCTATCAAAAGTCTAAGAATAGATTCGAAAAGGCAAATAGAAACTGATTGAGACACAACACTTACCGTTTCATTATTATTTGTCTTAATCTCAGAAAAAATTGGCAGAGATTACCAGAAATTTGTCGCTGAAAACTTCAACACTCTTCGATTCTTTCAAATAACGACACGTTTCTAATCTATTGCACTAAATATCCTATTTTGTTTAAACCAATTTTCCCCAAAGTATCTTTCTCGTTATACAGGGTGTTAAGAAAAGGTCCACGTCTTAATGCAAAACGACCAAAAAAAGAAAATAACAAAACGACAAACGATCTACAGATTCGAAGGAGAAATAGCAATGTTACATTTTCGAATTTAAATAATGATCTTCACGCCTCCCAGAACTCGGTTGTATTAGACAGTACGATGCACTCGGTATAAATTCCCTCTGTTTACTCGAAAGAATGGCGAGAAGCAAAACAAGATTGCAAGGAACAAGGGTGCGGCTGAAATTGAGAAAATCGTCTGATTATCGAGCGAAAGACGATTTGGTGCTTGGAAAAGAGCTTTTCGAAGCGCGCCCACACCATATTCCACGTAACAGCATACGAAACCTTTCGAGGATGGCAAAGTCAATATTTCTACGGAAGTTCGATCACAGTGCATGTTCCATCCGGATTCGTGACTCGGGAAAGCTCTTTCCCCCCCCACATTTTCCTCCTTTTCTTTAGCGTTCCCTCCAATATATATACCTTTCCTGTTTCGTTGCTTTTTATCTCCTCTTCGACCTCACTGTACCTTTTATCCTTTTTTAAACGTTCGAGATGTCTTCGATTCGCCTAAGTTAACTCAACTTTGCACTACATCGATAGTGGACCCTTCAAAGTTTTTTTTTTTTAATAAACTATCACGATAAATCAGTGGATTACACAATGAATTCTTTTCCATCTTCCTATAATGAAATGCAAAATATATTGCCTAATTTTTTCCTAATTCCTGATCCCAAAAATTATTGTACTCAATTTTTCTATCACTCGTTTCTTGGCAAACCTTTTAGAAGGGTATATTTCTTATTCCACGTAAAAGAAAGAAATAACTTTTCTCTGCAGCAATTTTTTGTACAAGCTTTAGCTTTTAAGATATCGAGGGACAATACTTTTTATTTTTCTATTCACTCCTTTGACGTTCGTCTTCTTTCAGTATTACGTAATTCGTAAATCCCCTGTACACGGTGTCTGTTTGATTCGGCTAGAATTTCGTACACAACTATGCTTTCGGGTATATCGTTACAGAATTCTTGGATCCAGCTCGTTAGGCGTCGTTAATGACGACGCTGCGAGGGCTCACAAGCGCACACATAAATGCTACGTTAGTTGGACAAAAGGAAGACCGACGAAAAAGCGATGATATATGTCAGCAGACCGGATGATTACGAGCGGAATATTTTGAGGCACGACTTACGTAAAACAGTACGACACCTTTTCCACGAATGTTTCCTATTGTGAGATTTCCATCTTGTTCACAGTCGACGGCGTTTTGCTTAATTTCTTCGAGAAATCGTAGTCATGGTTCCTGCATTCGAAACCGACAAAACGAGCCTGGATGCTTATTTGAATAGGCAGTGGCAAGAACGCGATTGGAAACGTTGGAAAATAAAGAATGGGTTGCAAAGATACTACCCAGACACTTTTGTACGTAGAATCGTAGAATAAGAAAACCGAGATAGGAGAGTCGGAAAATAAAGAACACGGATGTAAAAATACTACTCGAATTCCTTTGTAAAATATTATCTATCGGAAAGGGAGGGAGAGATATGGAAACACTGAGTCATAAAGAATTACGATAACAAATTCGTCGAAATTAATAGAGTTAGAAATTTCTTTAGTAATAAGTTTCCTCGCTTTGTTAAATGTTCGACGAAGAGCGTGCTCGTAGGTGACGAGAAGATGCCTTAACGAGGCAACATGGCTCCACGGAGTAAAGATCAGGATATTCGGTGGGGACGGCATTCCACCGGAAGTGGAGGCGTTCGATAGCGCCTGGGGACGTGGAAGAGCCAACCCCCACCAGCCAGTGACGTCAGTTACCCCCATAACGAAATCACCCTATGAGAAACCATGGCCGAATTCCCCTGTTCACTGGTAGCCTACTTCCCTCGCACTGGGCCAATTGACGCCGCGGGTATAATCCATCGATTTATGCGATATCGTTGCGATCCTTTCAGCTCCTCGGCTTTAACTCACCCCATCGGGATCGCAATCGCGTTATCATGAAAAATTGCACGGTCGTCCTTCGTTTCCTATCAACCGCGAACACCACAGAGACTCGGAAGAGGCGCACAAAGTGTTAAAAAGAAAAATTCATGACTCGAACGGGCACCACAGTGCAGTTAAAAAGTTAACCTTTCGAAGGACCTGTATAAGTTTCCGAAAATATCATAAAACACTAATCAGATCTATTATTTATTTATTTTTAAAACATAGAAATGTATCAATATTTTTTGTTTGTAACAAGTGCAGGAAAAAAGTTAGAACAGTTATCTAAAAATTGACAATTAATTCGCGTCCTGGATCCTTTTTGTAACACCCTATATTTATTATTATATTTATATAGAAGTGAATGCCCATGGTAAACTTTCTAATGTTTTCGCTGTTCGATCAAGTAGACCAGTTGAGAGAAAGTAGGTTTAGACCTTTGTGCGCGCAAGTTGCGACAAGTTTGTTATTAAAGCCGAGCGTGTTACACGTGGAAAACAGAATTAACATTTTATTACCCTCTGTTCATTGTTCTTCGCGTTTAGGTTGTTTGCACAGGTAACTTCGTAACAAGATTTCTCTAGCGAGGAACGTTTTAATTTAGGACACGTGCGATCACGTTGCTCGGCGCTCATACGTGCACGCCTCTTTTCGTGAATTTTGTTTGATTATTAAGCCGCTGCGAGTTATTACGAATACCGTGGAATTGTGTAAACCAGCGGTCTCCAATCTTTTTGGAAGACTCTGAAATAAAACAAAATTCCTGCGTTCGAAATTTATATGCAACAAATTTTCGTTACATTTACTTTATCGATTTTGAATGTTTTACTGCTTGCTTATAAAGAATTATTTTTAAAAAATGTTTGGACTGATTTAAACATGAAACGTGAATAACGTATCTGTATAATCTTCGTGAACCAAAATTTAGGAACAGATATTTATTTATTGAAACAAGTGACACGTTTGAAATTAATGTATCAATGAAAAGAAATGTTCCCGTTTAAGATCACCGTACTCTGATACAAAGGTACACGTGTCATAAACTAAAATACATACCTGGAAGTCAAACACATAGTAATTAAAAAGTGATTCAAACAACAAAAAATTGGTGTGACATTTAAAATTCTACTGGATAAATATGTTGTAAATAGAAACGTGTGATTTCATGCTTGTAGATATGAACAAATTTGTTATATATATTTATAATATAATCAATAGGAGCACAGTTCCAAGAACATAAATCATCCAAGAATAAAAATATATAACAATTCATTCGGTGATTAGCGTAGAACAGCGCAGTAAAAAACACAGAAACATCAATAGTGTATAACATAGTACAACAAAAATATTGTGAGCTTTCAAACCGTTCATTCTCACTTCCAACAAAATCAACATCACCCACTCTCGCGTGAAATGTGAGATCGATGATTAATTTTCCACGAATTTCATTAAAATATTTCGATCTGAACTGAAAGTCTTTTTATTCGAAGTTACAGATTTTTCATCGATGCAAGATCGCGGTCCATCATCGACGATGAATCGTTTTGGCAGGGCGTCGGTGTCCATTAACTCGGACAGGGTACGACTAGTTGTTGTTTTCACGACAGGGTTATTCGGCCCCCGTGTAAGAAGAAACGCCGCGAGATAGGATTTACGCGATCGTTAATAGGATCTTGTCTTAAGAGGGGCTTCGTTTAAACTTTAAACCCCCCATCTTCCATCTTTCTCCGTTCTTTCGTGCTCGATCCGCGTAAGTGTGTCGATGGACGATACCAATCGCACCCCCGAGATCGGGTTCCGCGTCGGGGGTTAATCGAAGGCTAATCGTTTCGAAACCAGAACACGCGACACCCTGTAACCGATACTCCCCCCCACCCCCATACAACCCCTTAGGGCAATCGTGGCGACGCAGGACGATGTTTTTAAAGGTAACGCGGAGGTGGTCCAAGACTATAACGCCCCGAACGCACACTATCGTTCGTAATTATTCCAACGACAACTGTACACGTTAAGAAACGGAATCCTGCACGTTCATCGTGTAAAAGTAAATCGATAATGTGAAATAACATTTTTTTCCACGAGCCTTCGTTTTTTGAGAAAATCGATTTGGAATTATTTGTGGGCCTGTCTGTTCGATGCGTACCATTTCTACTTGTTTCTGTGTAAATTGTTTGTGAACTAGCTAAACCAGATTCTGTACTTTTCTGTAGTCCTTTCTGAAAATGTTTAGATACAATGTGGTTGACACGACTATATCTATACCGTATTATTAAGAATTATATTTATCATCGGTGGTAATATTCTAATATTTTCCAACCGCTTCTTATTTATTTCTTTTCCCAATAGAATACTAGAGAGTAAAACAGTACTTCAGGCTTCAAGAAGTACGAACACTACGTGACTCTGACGGGAACTAGTTTCGATATTTATAATGTAACGATAACGAGCTTCCGAGAATACGTAAAATAGGTCGCAAACTGTCGCGTGTTTTTACCGAGCAACAAACCTGCCACTCTTTGATTTTCCTGAGGTCGTTGCACGATACATCGACCTCTTCCGGGACCCCCGGGCGCTTGTGCATGTTTTATAATATATTTTTTGTTTCGTACGCCTGGGAGTTGTAAACAGCATCGAATCAGATAGGCGGCTCGCGTACTCGCGCACGCGTCGTAAACGCGATGTTTATGTCGTCAGAGAATATGATAAGAATTGTGCGGAAACGTTCGCGTGTGACGTAAATTTCTAGCGAAACGAATGGCGGCATTTTCTCGCTTGAATGACGAATTTTTGGACCGAACGATAAAGGTAGGTTGTAAGAATGTAATCTCAAATTATTACAAAATCACAGAAAAATACATTAGTCTGCACTTTCGTGCAATTAGATGGCTCTGAATTAAACTATAAAAACGATTTGACATTTTGACAATTATATTTGACTTCCATATAAAAAAATTAATAAATGCTAACAATGAGATATAAATTGAAAGTTCAGTGAACATAAGCTTCCAACATATTGGATACATATTTATAATTTTTAGATAAAATAGATTTCAAAATTTTTAAATTTTTCGTACTATTTTTCTGACAAATATTTATAATTATTTTCAACGATTACAAATATTACATTCGTTTGTATTTTGCTAAAAACTCGATAAATTATAATCAACGAATGAATTTATGAATGAGAAGTAAAGGGAATTTATAAAGGGATTAAAAGTTTTTATTCGTTACTCGCGTGTAAAATGTCCTGTCGACCCGTTCCATTTAACAATATCCAGGAATAAATGTCAATTAGATCGGCCAGAATTTACATTCAGTTTCATTCGATATTTGCGAAGGAGGAAAATAAGAATCAAGATGCATCGAAGCATCTCGAGTGGCTGTCGTTGAAATAAACGCCACCTATTGCTACTATCAGTATTATAACACGGCGTTTCGTTTAAATGGAACGGTGGCCTACATACGCCACTGGAATGAGGTCAGAGAAAATCGCGAGAATTAGGCCAGGGGAATTTGCATCCGCGGAATTGGCGTTGCAGTTTTACGTTTCACGTTGTCCTTCGCGTTTGACGTCATCGATTCTTTCGCGCGTAGGTTGTAGTACATTGGAAAACTCGTTTTCAATTTTATTGTCGAACTAGGAAAATCGACCATCGTTCGCGAAACGCTTTGGGAATGATGTCTATCATATAATATCGTTAAAAAAAAGACGACTAAAGTTTTCTCGTAGGACTAAAAAAATATGAAAGAAACTAAAAGTTTAGATGTATTTTGCAAATTATATTCTTGGAAAAAGCGTAAGGAAAACTCGACTTTCTCAAAGGTTTTAAAGTAGAATAAATAATACGGTAGAATATACTCTTAAGAATTTTCAAGCGAATTCCGAGACTTTCCCAAATGGCAAGGGTAATTTCCGCGATGGTCTCCCATTTCTAGAACGAAGCACATAAAAATGTGGTTTCAGACGTCCGCTGGATGTCTCTCTCGACATTTCTATCGCATTTCTCGCGCTTTTCAGTCGTCACGCGATGACGGAAGATCGCGAACCGGTCGAAACGCCGAGATAACCGTGTTATGAACGAAACGACCAACATTTCGTGCCAGAGGAGACCGCTTTTATGCCAGAGCCCGGCTGACAAAGCTCGGTTCTCGCTCGGAAGATCGATCTGTGAGGTACGACGACCCCAAGAAACCAGAGACTAGTTTCTACGTTTGCGTTGTAATATTGGGCTTTGCGCGAGTCTGCAAGCCCCGCGCTAGCGAATCCCGAGGGTGAACGGGAAGTTCTCTGTCTGGGTGTCGACCTGGACTTCCTTCATTAACCCTTGCAATACCAATCCTTTTCCTGTTACATAGGCTGTCAAGGGTGGGAGATATTCCTTTACCCGTTAAATATAAAAATAAAAAAATAAAAATTTTTTTTATCAAGGGTTTTAAAATAAAATATTCTATTAAAAGTTTTAAAACGTGTTAAAAATAAACTGTTTTGTAACTTTTTTGAGAATACAGAACCTTTAAAAATAGGATTTTCTACAATTCTGGTATACATATAATTGTTTACTGTGTCTGCAGTATACATATTTGTTACAGGAACAACAAATAATTGTATTTTTAGTTTACATTGTATCGTACCATTTCTTTACGATTTATAAAAAATTGTTTTATTTGAAATCTAATTTTCAATCATTTTAGCGAGAATTATTAAAATAGTAATACGATGAGCATAAAGTGACTGTTGTTGAAATGTAAAAGGTGATGGAGACGATACTTTCGATAGCCATGATTGAGGTTGATGGTTGAACGACCTTAAATGTAGTTCTTAGATAATTTTATGAATTTCTACCGATGTAAATGTAAGAAAAGAATACTACACTAGACGTGCAAATAAGTAAATCGAAAAATTTTCATACCATTCTGTGAAGTCTAGTTCGTGTCAGCTAATGGTCCAAAAAAGATAAATTTGAAACATATAGTATAGCAGATATAGTCTGAGCAAGCATAGTTTATATTAATCTAAACGTTTCGACTTTTAATTCAAGTCCAGTTCAGTATACGACAGTTAATTGTTAATACATATTAAATTAATATAAATTAGCCAAAGAGATAAAACGTATAAAATTTGGAAAGCTTAGTCTTGAAACATATGTACGTTAACATAACAAAATAAATTTTAAAATAATATTTATATACCGAAGAGGGCTTAAATTAAGGGTCCAAACGTTCGAATCAAATAAACTATACTTATTCAAACTATGCTTGTTCAGTAAGCAACATATATACTTATACTAAAGATAAGTTTGAAACTTTTAAATATATTTTCACCCTTGTGACTATTATCTATCATATTGTTTTTTCGATGAAATATATTTTTTCAATCGGCCACGTAATGTGTTCGTTAAAAATGTTTTGAAAACCTGTCGTATAAATATTGTTCAATCTCGTCCAGAAAGACGGTGTAGCCTGATTCTACGACGTTATAAAATGATATCGATCTCTAAATTTATAAACGTTTATATAGGACATAAAAAGTAACATAAAATATAGTATACCTTACATACAAGAAAAAAAATGGTGTTATTTTTTGCATGCAACCTTATTGACAACAATTAATCAAGGTAAATAATGCTATAACGTAAAGTAAGAGTCATAGGGATTAAAGAGTGAACAATTCTTACGAAAAAGAATATAGTTCTGCTACTGACTATTGCGTGTCACGGCTATTTAAAATGCTACTTTTATTTACAAGACATTCTCTTTAGTTGCAGAAATTAACGAAGGAATAAAATTTGTGTCAATAAAATCTCTCTTGGTATTATTTTAGGAATTAATTGTTGCAGTGAAAAGTCTTGTCACCCATATATGGTGATAAATATTAAAACACATTTACCGTAACGTACAACATTTGATACAGAATACAGAATGAAAAATTATTAATATCGTTTAAAAAACTCAAGGCAACTTTCGTGTCTTGATAAAAAGAAATATTTATCGTATGCTGCTCTCGATACTGAACAACTTTCATTCGTAACATATTTTCATAGAGGAAATAGTTTAAAAAAGAAATTCAGATCATACAGTTGCATGACTTCCCTCGTACTTCCTCTTAATATCGTAAACCAATGGGTCTGGATCCGTTGAATATCGATAAATAAATAACGGAATATTATTTGACTTTCGTCTGGGTCGAGAAGGGAGAAGGTCGTGCACCTTTGATCTGGAATCTGAAACGAGAATCTCGCAGGAAACGTACTTCGCCGGAGGACCGAAGAAAATGGTGGCGCCAACTGCTCGGTGAGCAGAGGGCGAAGGGTGGCGAGGGGAAACCGATACCCATTCATAAAAATCGAACGCGCGAGACGTGGGAGGGGTGGGGGAGGGGGGAGGGGTGTCGTAGAAGGGGTTTCGAGTTACGAACTTTCAAAGACTCTTCTAACGGAGCTTTTAACGATCCGGCGAGGCGAACCTTGGACGATCGTGGCCCGTTTCGTCGTAAAAAGTCTTCCATCAAAGTATCCGCCTCCTCTCTGGTAACCCGTCACCCCTCCCCCCCCCCTCCCCCCTCCACACCCTTTAGCCCTCTCTTTGTCGAAGTCAACGGGGCTGTTATCGATCGACCACGACCGCCTTTGTCGTCCGAGTATTATGAAATCCATCTCGGTCTGAGCGTGTACCGACCGAACTGATTCCCCTGGCCATCGCGTCAACCGAACCAAATGGAACAATGAAACACTTCCGGTGTCCGGGGCGAGTTTCTGAACGACCGTCCGCGGGGGAGTTGAACCAATTAAGGGCACACGTTCGCCGGTGACACGATCTTACGAAGTATGCCACGAAATACGGGTGCCAGACGTCGGCCACTTTCGACGATTGTCTTCGCCCGACTTTTGTTTCGGTTCATAACGAGCTCTCTGTCTGGCCGCTAATTAATTTTAGGGACGGTACGTGTATTATCGCCGACGACCGGTTCGTTGAACCGACGCGACGGTTGAAAATTTTTGATAAACGACCACGAAACCTCGCGTCTAGCCTCCGTAAATGGGGCTTCTAAAGCAAGTGCGTGTACACTCCCGGTAAAAAATTACTCGGCAACGTACAGTGGATGAAATTTGTATGAAAACGCTATTATTTCGAATAAAAGTGGCAAGAATATCACAGTGATTCTGTTATTTCGGTTTGTAAACAAAATATTCCTGTTCAACGCACAGAAGTGACAGAAGTGAGAACTTTGACATCGATATATTGCCCTCTTTTTTTGTACATTGCACGTGATAAAATTCTCCACAAATTTTCTATTGGATAGAAATTCAAACAAATTCGTTTCCCCTTTGAAGCGCCTTTTAAATTCAATAACATTTTAACAAGGTATCCTTAACAGTACTCAGTAATATTCAAAGAGGAGCACACGCTGGCCAGCTAAAAAGTATTATAGAATATTTTAACATGAAAAAGAATTTTTTACTAATTTGAAAACGAGACACAACTGAATTCAATTACAAATTCTTGTCCAATAAGTCTATTTAGGATAACAGAAAAATTAGCATGGTAAGAGAACGAATTACAAACGTGATAACGAGGAATAATAAAAGGAACAATGATACTAAATAGAATTAAGTTCGCGAAGCTTCCAGCGAACTAATCTTAATTAGACGCGCCCGCCATTTGTCCCAGGATTAAACAAGACGTTCAAATAACGAGAATGGAATTTTAAATATCCGAGGACCGATGCGTTTCAGAGCTTTTGTTTGGCAAACTCGGTTACTCAGCGAGAAACGGTAAAAATTCATGCTGTAAACAGTGTTCCTATAATTATTGCGCTTAGCCATTAGCGTTTAGTTTCGTTCGTGGCTAGCTGAACCATGAAACTTCACGGTTCCTTACCCAGGGGATAATAAAATTTTACTATACAGCGGAGAAAACAAAGAACAAGTAACAGCGAGCAAGTTTGAAATCTAATTAAACCTTTACATCGTTAACCGAGTCTTTGTTTCATGCTCGATTTTCTTTTCGAGTAACGCGAGCTTTAATTGCGTTTATTCGGGCATTCGGGTAAAACTTAACTTCAATTAGCATTTCAACTCGGAATAATGCTCCTTTTGTCGAGGGCTTTCATTTATAACGTGGCAATTTTATTAACATTGTGCAACTAAAAAAAAAACTGTTCGTTCAATTTTAAAAAGTACAATGTTATTAGGTCATGTTCGAGGTTTAAGAAGAAAACTATACTGTATATGTACTGTGAAAGAATAAATAAATTTACACCTGCACCAATCGATAAAAATTAAATTTTCTTGCCTTTCTGTTTCGTGTGTTAAATTATATTTTAATCAACAGCCATTATGTTCACTGAATCCCAATCAATTTGACGCACGCGAAGAGTATGTTTCTCAGCCGAAGAAGGAAGTTCAAGACGGAGGAGGTTAACTTCGTGCTTTATTATCACGTGAGTACGCAAAAATCGTCGAAGTCGACGCTTTTACGGCCTCCGCGTGCGCTGCATAACGAATGGAACCGTGATAAAGCTTGGCCTGAAAACGCAAACGAGTTTCTTGATTACTAGGGGCTGCACAAGATATCAGTCTAAGATATCGAAATAAATTTCAACCGCGAAAAATATCGGGAAGATGGAAATAGAACTGCTGATGTTGATAGCAAGGAGAGAATTAATTTCTAAGAAAAGTTCCGATTGGCTCCAGATGCGCGAAAGATTGCATTAACAATTCCCATCAACGATAATAATAATTTAAAATTCACAGACATCTCCCCTTAAGAGACAACAATTGCAAAGTGCAACGCGTGTCAAACTGTCGCGACGTCTCTGCAAACGAGCAAGATGGCTTCCGGTAATCGCGAAAGACAATTATTTCGAGCTGCGTTGCTAGCGTTTAACGAGTCTCCCTTTCGTTTAATTCCATTTAGTTTAGTTAGATTAGATCGACGTCGGAGATTAACGCTACCCTCGAAGCGAGTGACGCGATTCCAATGATTTAGAGAAACATTCGCCGCTACTACCGAGCAAACGTTGCAATCCCTGCAATTGCAACACGAGGATTCCCCCGTTGCTAAATCCTTTCCCGGTTATTTCGTCAGAAAATTGAACCGTGAAAACCAATCAGAAAATGCTTAATCGCCGACCGTTCGACCGACGATAATAATAAATTCGCGATAGCAGTCGTTCGAATTAGAAGACACTAACGCCTGGATATTAATTGTAATTTTCTGTTTCTATATCGTCGATTAAGAACGGAATTTCAGGGCAATAAGTGGACCATGTTGATTAAATAACATTTGTGTTTCCAATTATACGTATACCCGTTTGACGAGAACGAAAGGAAAGTTCGCATTCATAAATCAAATTATTCGATAAAGCGATTTACGAACAATAGATTTCGTCCGTTCGTATCGGGTCTCGCGTTCACCTTTCGAAATTACTGCCTCGCGCGGATTGGCGGACAACAATTTCCATGGACCCGGCGCGGGAAATACAAAAGCACGAAACGAGACGTCCAGACGCCGACGCGCGGCAAACATTAAAAATTTTATACGATCGATAAGCTCGAACCGGCGTCTATTTTAATTCCTCCGCGTTCCAATATCGGCTATGCTTTCGAATTTAAAGAGAACGTAAACATTTGCACGGTCCAATCGGGCGAAGCAATATCCGTTTTAATTTTCGCTCAAATGGATGCGTTAGTGGACATTAAGTACGCCAAAATGAGGAACTTTCGTGGGGTGATTCGTGGGCGAACGTGATTGATTAGCCAGGAAATATTACGAACCATAGATAATAGTCGATCGCCGATGATAGAAGATCGATAACAAGCGTTGATCACCATTGACACCGTTTCGTCCCTTGTAACTTTTACAAATACCGTTATAAGAATTATAATTTATGGAAAACGCAATTTAATTACCTCGATACTAATAATTCCAAATTGAG